CGTAGTGATCCTGAGTTGTGGTTTGCTCAACTCGAGCACTATTTCACTAGACACAATATCAAATCTGAAGGGATTCGCTATAGAGATTTGTGTTCTATCCTTCCTCCTTCAGTCGCCAAAGAAGTCCGTGACTTGATTTTAGATCCACCATCACCACAACCGTACGCCGTCTTAAGACGAGAGATAATGAACCGTTTATCATTATCAGATAGTCAAAGAATCCAAAGACTTTTTCAAGGTGAAACACTAGGTGATCGGTCGCCGTCACAGTTTCTACGTCACCTCCAGGTCTTAGTGGGTGATAACACAGTGGGTGAAGCAGTCCTAAAACAAGGATGGATACAAGCTCTCCCATGCTACGTCCAACACTGTTTGGATGCACAAGATCCTGAAACCTCATTATCTCATTTAGCGCGTATAGCTGATAGAATAATGGAAAAAGGTCCTCCAACTGGATCAGGCACAATAAATCACACACAGAAAGTAGAATCAGCAAAAGACCCCGTCATAGAAGGACTCATTGCGAGTGTTAAGAGTCTCACTGAGGCTGTCACCAGAATGCAAATGGGTCATACAAACAGGAACAGGTCACCACAACGATCACGATCCAAGTCACAAAATAGGTCACAAATGTCCAGATAATCTGGGCAGTTTTGTTGGTACCACTGGAAGTTTGGTGTCAACTCAACCAAGTGCAGGCAACCATGCGCCTGGCCTAAGCATAATTCCAAGACAGCGGGAAACGAGTAACCCCTCCCCAGGTCGCGACAACTGAGGAGGGGCGCCTAAACAGTCGCTTGTTTTATGTCAGAGACAGAAACTCGGGCTTGAATTTCTTGGTGGACACTGGCGCTGCTCTTAGCATCATCTCTCGAAATAAAACTGAGATTAGTCGAGAAACATCCCCGATTACACTTCAAGCTGCAAATAAAACTACAATCGCGACATTTGGGCAGAAAACGTTAACCCTAGATTTGGGGTTCAGAAGGCAATTCCCTTGGGTTTTCACGGTAGCCGACTTAGATCTGGCAATACTGAGGATGAACTTTCTAGAGAGATACGAATTTCTAGTTGACACCAAGAAACGGCGATTAACACTAAAAGAAACTTCGTTTTACACAAAAGGCAAAGAAAGTCACATCAGCTCTCTTAACTTGATTCAAACCCCTCCAGTAACAACAGCAAAATTTCAAGATATACTCGCGGAATTTCCAAACTTAACTAAACCAAACCCACAGCCTTCCAAAGACAGACTAAAAGTAAGTCACACTATCAAAACCGAAGGTGAACCGGTGTTTGCAAAACCCAGGAGACTAGCACCAGATAAGCTCAAAATCGCTAGGGCCGAGTTTGATTATATGCTACAACTGGGTATTATCCGTCCCTCTGATAGTCAATGGGCATCCCCTTTGCATATGGTCCCAAAGAAGAATGAAGGTGACTGGCGACCGTGTGGGGATTACAGAGCCCTCAACCGTCAAACCGTACCAGATAGGTACCCAATACCGCATATACAAGATTTCACAAACGGTTTACAGGGTATGAACATATTCACTAAAATTGACTTAGTAAGGGCATATCACAATATCCCGGTGGCTGATGAAGATATCCCTAAGACAGCTATTACAACACCCTTTGGCTTATTCGAGTTTGTACGCATGCCATTCGGCCTGAGAAACGCGGCACTTCCTCAGATATTCTTATTCCACAGTCTCACACTCTTTCTCATGAAAGCACGCAGCAAACCGTCAGCGATAGTTGTAGAAGAAATCACATGCTACAAAATAAGATGACAAGCTAGTAAATGAAGAGACATCCATGGACTACCGTTGACAACGTTAGTTGCCACTGAATGTAAGTCAAACATTGAGCGAGTTGATAATTTTCCCTTGAGATGAGAAATAGAACTAAGGTGTTTTTGAAAGATAGGTTAATCGAACCGACGTTCCTACGGAAGTCGATTCTAGGGGGAAGCCAATGTAACAGCATAGGTTGGTTGGTTAAGAGTTGACCCCAAACAACCAAGCATATGTCAAAACAGTATTGTTCAAGTATTCATTCACTTCCTTATTTTGTATAAGCGTTATACTCCTTATTATCTTATATTGAATGTTGAAAGCTTTTGTTTGTCTGAACAGATAACTCCACGCTCCACTGTGACTGCGCTAAGATCGAAATAAAGACGTACTCACTACTTCTCTGGTTTCTTCTATCAATAGTACGAGGGTTACATATAGGCACGAAAAACCCACCTACTGATTCTATGTACTATCTAAGTCAAGTCACCCTGTACAACTCTTTATTCTGGTAACGCCGTCAACCCAAGAGGATCACAAATACATTTCATTACCTTCAGCTAGATGTATCCATTAGAACCAGTGAGGTCGGTATCAGTGTCGAATACTTAGAGAACTATTTTTTGGGGTTTGTTTACCTCTACAAATTTTACCATGAGCAACTATTTCGTTTTACCCTCCGATTAGTGAAGAAAAACAACGAAGATTATACCTTCACATCGTCATTGATGATCTTCGACTGCCCATACGCAGATTACAAGGACCGTATAGTCGACTAATCCTGCCGAGAAAGGTAAACTTAAGTTCTGGTGTACCAACGGTAAAAGTCTTGTAGTAGGCGACTTTAATGCACCATATATAAACTGGGTTAACTTAGAAGTAGGGTCATCGATATCGTCGTCCGACTGCAAACTGTTAGAAACCTCGATTGAACTAGCATTATTCCAGCACATTAAAGATCCCACAAGATACGAATTAAGAAACTCTTCTTCTCTTTTAGATTTGATCTTCACACACGGTGATGACGTTGGTCAAATGGCTTTTCCCCCACCAATTGGGAGAAGTGACCATGCAGTCATCTTATTCAAATTCATGGCTGAGACTGCCTGTCAAACAGTTGCACCGGCCCGTCCAAACATATGGAAGGCAAATATGCAGGCAATTAACTCCGCAGCATCGGCTGAGAACTGGGAAATTGACTCAAAGGCAACAGTACAAGAGGCATGGATTCTATTCAGGCAGTTATACAATCGGGTAACTCAACCATACATACCCTGGACTGTCCCAAAGAAAAAGAAGCACGGACATCCCTGGATAAGGCGGGATATTCGACGTTTATTAAGACAAAAGAAGAAATGATGGGACGTTGTCATCCGCCTTGGCACAGCAGGTACGATGGAACGCTACAGATCGACAAGAAACGAGTGTATAACGAAAATTCGGGAAGCTCAAACAAAATATGAAATGCAACTGGCACAATCTGCACTCAAGCAGCCCAAGAGAATATTCTCGTACATAAACTGCAGAACAAGAATGCATCACTGGATTCCCAACCTAATTAAATTAGGAAGTGAATCTGAAATGATAGAGGAAGATCAGGAAAAAGCAGAGGCTATGGCTGACTATTTTGGGACAGTTTTCACTCAGGGACCTCCTCTAGATAAAGAACCAGACCCAAATACAGAGTCAACAAACCAGCTTCTCACCGTGGACTTCGACCAAAACGATGTGCTTAAGGTTCTTAGCACCCTAAACATGGAGAAGTCAACAGGACCAGATGAAATACACCCCAAAATCTTGAGACATATTGCACAATATATCGCGGCCCCACTGACTGTGATATTCAATATGTCATTTGACCAAGGTGTGTTACCTATGGACTGAAAGGACGCAATCGTCACTCCCATACATGAAACAGGTCCACGACAAGTTCCATCGAATTACAGACCCGTAAGCCTCATCAGTGTGGCAATTAAAATACTGGAAAGAATAATTAAACCGACCATAACGGCATTTATGGAAACCAATAACTTGATAAACATAGAACAACATGGTTTTAGAAAGGGTCTTTCCTGTACAACGGACCTCCTTATAGCACGGGAGTTCTGGATTAATGCGCTAGACAACGGAAACTCAGTGGATGCTGTCTACATAGATTTCAGTAGGGCTTTTGACAAGGTGCCAACTAATAGACTGCCATTGAAGTTGAAAAACCTTGGTATTTCTGGACCTCTTTTCAAATGGATTAAAGATTTCCTAGTAGGTCGTAGACAAAAAGTAAGAATAAATTCCAAGTGCTCCATCTGGAGACCAGTACTTAATGGAGTACCCCAAGGTTCCATCCTAGGTTCGTTACTTTTTATAATGTACGTTAATGATCTTACAAGTATAGTACAGTCTCCAATGTTATAATACGCTGACGATGTAAAAATTTGGCGAGTAGTAACTGGAGACAAAGACGCATTTACTCTTCAGGCAGACTTAAATAATATGATAAACTGGTCTAAAGAGTGGCTGATGCCTATCAACGCGGAAAAGTGTGTCTACACGCACTTGGGGGATTCAAAGGTTAATAAGTACAACATAGAGGATGTGTCATTACTCGTAGTCCGGTTTCATAAGGGTTTCGAACCCTCTGGGCTTTAAAACGGACATTCACTAAGTTAGATACTACCATGTTCACCACAGTATACACATCCTTAGTGAGAACTAAGCTAGAGAACTGCGTTCAGGCTGCAAGCCCCTGTTTAAAAGGTGACTCGGGCATACTAGAAAAAGTACAGTACATGCAATTCCGGAACTTCGGGGTTTTTCATACAAAGAGCGACTTGAAAAACTGGACCTCTTTACTCTGTCCTACCGCAGACTAAGGGGAGATCTAATATTAATGTACAGAATACTAAGAAATGATTTCGGACCTAACTTATTCTCTCTCTTTCTTCCAACTAGATCGGGACACCTTAGAGGACATAGCAGGCGAGTAGAAAAGCGAAGAACGAACAAAATACCCGTGACATACAGGTTTTCACACCGAGTCATCAATACTTAGAACCTGCTGCCTAATGCAGTGGTGTCCGCACCTTCAACTGACTCTTTCATGAGAAGACTGGATACCCACAGAAGCATAATAGAGAAGGAATAACATAGACCGTAGGCCTTCCGTCCTTACTACACAAATCTGAATCTAAATATGTTTGACGAATTTCTGGCGGTTGATATGTTTTCTTACGCTAGGTTAGGTCTGGTCCCCTTTATTGGTCGTCGCCTAATAGGAGTTATACTAAAATGTAGGTTGCTACAACCAATGTAAATTTTGGGTACAGAAGTTTATCTCATTAAATCAAACAGCTCATTGCTATAGGCTATCGTCAGCTTGATAGAGTACGGCGCATATGTATGTATGTATATTAAAATGGGATACTTTTCTCTATACTTTCGAGAACTCGTATAGATGCTAGTTGTTTGTTTAACATAGTAATGTTTTCACCCTCACACCTTTTATACAAACGGTTATTCTATGATGAGTTTGCTACATAAATTTAGCATGAGCTTTTATCACATAGGTTGAAGTTATTCATTAATGAGCTTACTATACGACAACTTATTTATAAGTAATATTAGATAATAGTTTTTGCAAAATGAAAATAAAAACGTGTACTCTATGGCATTCAGCATTTCGTATTTTTCAAGAATTGTGACATGTATGTCGTAGTCACGTAGTTTAGGTAGTAGAAATAATTCGTGGGATATTCTACACGCATTTCAGTTAGCAGTGAACTTTCGTTAGTTATCGTCGAAGGAAAAAACTAATGTGTTTTGAAGTTTAACTTAGATACCCAATTGTTTTTAAATCAAAGTGAGAAAAACTACTTAAGTTAAAGGCTATTCTTAAGGTTTAAGAAGTGCAGTCCTACAGCATTTAATAAGTATAAGTATCCCTAAATTTAAATAATATGTTGATGAGGCAATGATGGTGATTCGGAATATGTGATACTTGGGGACATTGGTTTAGTACTGTTTTTGGATACGGATTTTTCCCATGTATCCTAGCAGTAATTAGCAGGTCTGCTCTGCTGATCAACGTCTTATTGAAGTTTTAAATTAGAAAACAAGTATAATGACTGGACTATTGTATTTAAAGACTAACTTTACAGCATATAAGAACATAATCAGTCATATATTTTTAATTACCAAGTAAGTTGCTTAGTTTTATTCAAGTAGATTTCTAGTACATTTCAACAAGCAACTTTGAAATTATCATCTATAAATTAGTTCACTGTAAGATATCTCCCGTCAGAGGTTTAGTATGTTCAGTGACCATATGTTTTGCTGTCTCATTTACAGTTCTCGGGGCATAGAGCACTAGCATTTGTTCTCATATATTTTTGCTTCCTCACTTGGTAGAAGTTAGTTTTTTGTAGGCATTCACCATGTTTTTCCTAGTCGAGTCTTTTTAGTTAGATAACCACATAATTATGGCGGGTTGTATCTGTGAAAACTTATTTATTACTTGTCGTATGAAATATGACAATCAGAATATTCCACGTCGTTTTTACGTATTATTCTTGTATCGATTTCATTTTCCAATAATTATGTCCAAACAACACTTTGTTGCTGTTAAAACCTGGTTTGATCAATTTTGGGAAAGGTAATAATCTGTTCTTTAATAGACATGCTTGTACGCAGTTGTCAGCGTTGTTGAGTTTGTGGTTCAAAAGTATTGTACTAACAACACTATTGATCCATACAGTATTATCAAAAGGTTAGAATATGATTATCTGTGGTCTACAATCTTTCGAATCACACCTGCCTTAGTACTGGACCTCAAATACATTCTCCGACTTCTATGTACAAACATGGGTTTCCGGTTGTCCAGTGGAAGTATCAGTTTAAAGTATTGTTGTATTTGTCTTTCCAGAGATCAATATCCCTAACTAGCACTGACAAACAATCGGAAACAGACTTGTTAATATTTGACCACACTCGCCTTACGTCATAAAATATGTTACGTCGATACTATGAAGATACTCATATATTACAGTGTGTTTTGCATTCACTTCTGACACATTTTACTTTATCCTTATGCATAGAGCTTCCTGATGTGCTGCATTGTGTAGTGATTTGTCATAATCGGTGGTTATCATAACCAAGATTTTTCTGCTTTGCGCACTTTAAAATGACATCTACGAAGCCTGGAGAATGGGTCATGCAAGCTCTACTTCGTCAGTTAACCAACTTAGCCCAATTGAAGATTGAGAAAGCACTTGGAGATGGTCAAGAAACAAATCTCGTGAAAAGCATGAAACTGAATGAAGATGCAGCCTATGAACATCTCATAAGTGCTTTTGGTGTTGCTGCCGAATTCGCTCTTCCTTCAATCTTGTCTACACTTTCACTATGGTATAGATCTCAGCACTCATCTGGGAAATATTATCAATTCCACCAGTTTCAGTCTCTAAGTTCAGCCAATGAGTACATTGGAAACGCTACTTCAATGGCAGTCCAACGTCCTTTAGCTAACGATAGTAATCACGTTGTTGAAAGCCAACAAGTTTCATATCTTGCTGTCAGTAAATCAGAAAAGACTATCAAATGTGCCTCAGAATCATCTTCGTTGTCAAAATCCCATAATTTACATTTACCAGATATATCTGTTCTATTTGAACGACGTGATGTATGTTATCACACATATTTATATTACATTTTAATTCTAGCTTGCCATTGATATTATATTTTGTCATGTCATGCTTGCAGTTTTAAAGCAATTGCCTTTTCATCCAGGCCATAATGATGTTATTGAATCAATCTTAGAGCAATGTTTTGGAAGATTCAACTATAGAGAGGAGTAAGTCTTCTGATATTGTTTTTAAAATAGTGCTATTTATGACCGGATAATGTAGAATAGCCGTAAGTTACGACAATTTTTTATTCATATGTTTATATAAGTTAGCAAAAACTTGTAAATCCCAACTTAAATTGGTTCTTTCAAATTTTAATCATCACACGTGGTTTTCATATATTTGGACAGCTCTTATTGTTTTTCTGCCGATTACTCTTTTTTATTGATGCTGTGACTAATAAAAATGTTTTTGTTTTTGAAAAAAAATACAGTTTGCAGCCGAAAAATAGTGAAAATATAAATCTCGTAGCTGATCTATACGCAGAAATTGTCGGACTGTTATTCCAGTCAAGGTAATTTTGTTGCACGTTTATTGGTTTTTTAGTTTTTTAACTATATACGTACGATATAAATGCATGCAGCTGTTTTAAAATGGGACTTTTGTTTCGTAGATTTACAGTAGGTAGTTCATTTTTATCTCAAACCTCGAGTTTTTTGTTTGTGTATGTTCAGCTGTTCATAAGCATTGGTTAAAATTCGCGTATCTAAATAGCGCTTTATTATTATCATTATCTCCGGAATGTTAATTGGATTTAGTACTTATCTAGACATAGGTATATTACACCTATAAGTGTTTAAGATTATTGTTTCTGATACTATTGCTGATAGTGACAAATAGTGGTATGATGACTCCTGATGGTTTAACGCTTAGCATATTCCATAATTAATAAAAAATATGCGTACATCACTATATCATATGCTATTCTAGACAGCTCACCAAGTTTACTAACAAAACACTTTCAAACAAAAGTTTTCGATTAAGGTTTACTGTGCTGTAAGATACTGTATTCGTAGCTGTCGTATATTTTTGTTCTATACTCAGATTTGCTCTGGTACGCCACAAATTTATGAGTTGTCTGAATGATCTGCGATCTAAAGAAAACAGTCAAAATAATAGAGCTAGTATTGTATCTCTCATAATGGGGATGAAGTTTTTCCGGGTTAAAGTAAGTTTTTTTTACCGTTAATTATATCAATAAATTCAGATAAAATTGCGAATTCTAAAGCTAAATTAAGCAGCGCAGAGTAAGCTTTTTATCACTCAAATGTCTTTCACATTATGTGACCTATTTAAGCGGAATGTTTCCGTCATTGAACCACTAAATTATCCAGAGTAGATATTTTTGTGTTAAACTGCATTACATAAGTTAGTGTGCAGCCAAACGTATCGTTTTAGCGGTTTATTCACGAGGTTTTGATTTTCGTACAGATTCCTCAGTTGTCTACTAGGTGTTTCTGATTATATTATTGTCATCACTTGACAATAGTGTACCTCTGTATATATTAGTTCAATAATTATTTTTGATTTAAGTAGTATCCAGTACATATTCTAATGTCTTAATTTTTACGACGCATACAACCTCGCCTCCAATGTTCATATTATCAGCCACATATATTCATACAGGAAATTCATCACAATTATTCATAATATAACCTGCCATTATTAAATCTGTTAACGGGACACTGGTAAATATTGTTGTTCTCTAAGTCATTTCTCGTTAGCGTCATTTCTCAATATAAAGTGTTAATCAAAGTCCATTTAAGAGACTGGTCTGAATTTCACGACCAGATCAGTAAGCTGGGTAATTTTTGCATGATTCAAATAAAACCTAATCAGTTTCGAATAAGTCCACTAGTCTAGTGTTTCGACCTTAAATGTAGTACTTATTAGCTATTCTGTTTGTAATTAATTATACAAATAACTCAAGACCGTAATAATGAAAGTAGTCTATACTGTTGAAGAAATAGCGTTTCATTTACTACATTTTAAGTATTAATATGGTAACGCTCTCTTTCGAATTGTAGTCCAAGGGTATGTTAACCTCCCCGTAGTACAGCTAATAAAATCACAGATTTTGTTGTTGGAAATTTTTATACAGTCTGATGTTTCATTTTCATAATACAGTTCTACATTTCTAAAACATTTTTCAGATGCATCCAATCGAAGATTTTGTGAAATGTTTCACTTTCTTACAAGAATTAGGTCAATACTATCTGGAAGTGAAAGAAATTGAAATCAAGCATGTACTCTCCGATTTATTTGTTGAAATTTTATTGCCAGTAGCTGCTGTTGCACGTCAAGAAGTTAACATTCCAGCATTAAAGACATTTGTAGAAAATTTATATCCAACAAGTTTGGAATTGGCTAGTAAGAAGAAACATATCCCAGTGAGTATCTTTTTGCATATATATTATATATTACGGTCTAAGGTTGTTGCTTATTACTGAACGAATTAAATTGATCAAAGTGTTAAACCGCGTTTGGTTATCATTTCATCACAGCGTTTTTATTAACCTTAATGTTATCGCGATCTGAACATTAGCAGAGGTGAAAATTATGGAAGTGCAAATAAAGTTGTAAGATCTGACAAATAAGTATCATATCCTAAGGTAGATCTTGGAGAATCCGTTTGTGATTGTAGCAAATCACTTGTGCTTAAATTAAGTAGTTACGCAATTATATCAGCTTATGGTGGTTAGAAAACAAAATGTTTGGAATATATTAAGTTAAGACCAGTCAATTCAAGTCATGATTTTGCATGATTTATATAAGAGTTCAGCGAAGTGACTTTATTTCATATATAAAGACTGGTATGAGCGGGGAACAAAATAAGCATGGGCCACAAATAAAGAAATGAAATAATAAGGAAATAAAGGGGGGTGGGAATTGCAATCAAAATTAAGCAAATAAGTAAAAGTAAGCGAAAGTATTTTACAATAAGAAAGTTCAGTCCCAAAAATATAACCAGAAATAATTCAGTTAGAAGAGTTCCTATTACTTTTACGAAGATTGTAATAGAAAACTAAACAAGGATCCTTACTAGCTTTTATTTTCCACTCACGCCTAGTAACTTCTCAAGCCACTAAGTTACCCGTTTCTAGGACCTGAATCAGGAAGTCTATATATTCGGTCATATGGGAGTTATGTGCAACTTCCTTTCACACCATGGCTTTCAGTGTGTGTGGGTTGATCTCATCTGTCACATTACTACTGGCAGTTACACAACCAACCAGATGCACAAACTTCACTACTAATTCTAACGGATCACCACAAAAAGTGTGCAGGCACATGTTCCCACCAGTCTTGCAGAAATGCTTTCGATTCAAAAAGTGCAAATTACATGCCATGATTATGGACACTGATTGCTAGCTGTTTAAGTGCGATTCGGATAGGTTGTTTATCATCGCACAGTAAGACAATATCATCCCTATACTCATGGTCTTAAGGTCTCTCTAAGAAGTAGCTTTGAAAAGAGTATTCGGTGGTATTGTGTATCTGTTTCGAGAATGTCAGTGTTGGCAAAGTTGAAAAGGAATGGCGAGATTGGACAATTCGTCTCAATCCTCGTTGCTGGGATGGAACAATAAGGAGAAATTATTATTTTCCTCACTCTGCCTGAGGTGTTTGTATTCAAAGCTTTGAAGGTGTTAATAAAATCTTCAGCCACACGCTCCTTCAATAGGGAATCTTGAAGCACGGCTCTGATGTCAGGAAACAGAACGATTATTGGCCTACAGTAACTGTGGTGGTGCTCCAATACTTGGTGAAAAGTGGAAATGTGATGAACACATCTACGACATGATGGGAAACCAACTAGCTCCTCGCAACTCAGTTTATCACGGGTTTTGCACCATCTACAGAGTATGACAGAAGCCAGTAGTTCGGACACAACCAAAAGTAGATATCTCCCGTTAGTTGTCAATTTAATTACGTAGGTCCTTTTTAAAGATGGTGATGAAAATTGCTTAATTCCAAGATGTTTTAATAGTCTATGTTTCTCAAACTTTTACGAACAAACCAGTCAGTTTCCTAACCGGAGTTCTACACCATCCTTAAAAGGAGCAAGTGCTAGGTTGTATGTATGTAGTCTGGGATACTCTTCGGACGTCCGAACCAAGTAAGAGGTAATCGTTTTACAATCATAAGGATTACAAACAAAAGATTTCACTCATTGTTGATGATAGTCCTTCACTTAACAGAGAAAACGACATATTTAGCATCTTGTTAATGTTCGCAATATAATGTACAAGTAATATATGTATAAACAAGTAGTTCTGATAAGTATATCCGGTTAGAAGACAACTTTTAAGATTGTTTAATAATTACATACCTTCATTATACAGAGTATTTCCTCAACTTCAGTAGCTTTTCAAACTGCATTTATACTTTTTTTTTCTCAAAGGCCTTATTCCCGTTAGTGACTTGCTTGCTGTGTGTTGGTACTAAGTCATTTTTCTTGAATAATTGGACCAATTTCTTGTCTATCTGCTTAAGTCATCTTAAAAATCGGACTTCTAAAGTAGCTTTGGTCAGTTTACAATCATTATCCTGCATATTGTGGTAAGTTCTAAGCTGTTAGTTTCAATAATTAAAGTCAGTTATATTATCATTCAACTGTTGGTACGATAACATATATGTACTTTTGGTTTGACATGTTAATCGTTTGTTTATCTAAATAAACGTTGTACAAAAAGCAACTTATTTTATAATTTTTGTTCACCCATCTCATTAATTAACGTTTACATTCGTCTGAAGGATATCAGCTATGAAATTAAGCTGTTAAATGTTTTTTTACTGTTACACAGAGGGTCTTATGGATTTTTGTGTTCTAATTGCAATAATATAAATCCAATGGACTCTTAAGTGTTACAGAAAACTTAAAAATTTCTGTTTTTTGTCCACTGATTACATTCTCTTTGTCGTGGCCAAAAGGTTTTCTCTACGTATTATTGAATTATGGTTCACACGATAAGGATATAGTTATCTATGTGGTGAAATATTCTTTTAGATCTCAAAGTGAAGAAGTAACAGTGTTATAAATATAAAACTGTCGGGAAGTGGATCAAGTACTTCGTTTTTAACTACACAATCACAGAATTCAACGCTTATCATATCTGAAGTTTTGACAGTAAACTAGTATTGTTAATCATTGTCCAATATGTGGTCGGCCTTTTACCGCGTAGAGAAAAAATACATTATGAATTTACATCTTTTTGGTTAGAGATGCACTGGTTCCAGGTAGACAATGTTAACTACCATCAATAGTTGTGATCAATTATAGAGTTATTAATTATTATAAATGTCTATTTGATTCGTACGCTTAAACTTCTCAATGATACATACCCTCTAAATGTTATCACTGCTGCCTTTCAAATGATGTTGCTACTTTAAAAAATGGATTATTTGATTTATATTCAGGGTTTACATTGTACGTATCAAAGGTGAAAAACATACAGAAACTCAAACAAAATTACACACAATTATCAATAGTTTATTTCCAAAAAATCAGAAAATTATTCTACCAAAAGATGCACCAATCAATATATTTGTTCGTATTATTCAATTTATTGCTCATGTAAGTGACTATTGTGTTGTACCATAATTTAGGTATTGATTCATTTTTTGAAATTTTTTGGTTTTGTTCACATTCAGCCAATTGGTAAATGAATTATTATTAATTTGATATTATTTTGTTACGTTTCGTTGATAGATGCTATACATTTCAGTAGATCTATGTTCGAGTTTTTTAATTACTATTATTAAGTTTTTAACTGAGATTTTGTTCCATTTACTTGAATCTTGAAAATTTATTCAGACACTTTCCAACAAGTCTACCTCAAGGCCTTTTACATAAGCCTGTATTTATCTAATGCGTTGAAATAATCATGATATTTTACATGTAATTGATTAACAGGAGAAAAAATCCTGTTACTTTCTATGAATGAACGTGTATTAAAGTGTTTTTAAGATCTTAACTTGACTGAGTGAACGAGTTGTTGGTGACATTTCTCACACCACTTGATTGTCCAAATTAAACAAGCTGTTAGTGTAGTTGTCTACAGTGAAAATAGTAATCAGAGCATAGGAATATGCATTTCATTTATTTTTTGGTGATTGTTTATAATCTGATATAGTTTAGTATTCCAATTCTTAATTTACATACTCAAAACACTGTGTGCACAAATTAGCGACTGGAAAGGACACAAGCTAAACATTACATAGTTACAAACCGGTGAAAAATAATTGAAATGATGCTGATCACTAATAAGATTATTTGTTTTGAAAGGATATTTAGGCGAGTAGATAAATGGCGATCCCACATCTAAATCATCTGAAACTGGGAAATTGCATTAAGAAGTACACAAATGTTGTTTATTATTTTTCAAAATTGTAACGTATTTTCTTATTATGACTCAGCTATTCTTATTGCTTAGTATTATTAGACATTACTTCACTCGAAAAGTCCCCAAATCAGAACACGAATAAACAAAAACGTAATTATATTACAAATAACAACGTTAGATGGAGGTAGGTATCACAATAAGAAAAACGTTAGTACATTTATAATTTTTACTTAAGGAGATTCTGTAGTTTTCTCCAAGTATCTGCTGGCGTTGATTGGTTAAGAAGTGGCCAATCAACGTGCCCCAACGCATACTTGTACGGAATATTCAATCCAATCTATATCCCGCTAACACAGCCATTTGACTGATCCTCCGGGTATCCCCCAGTATCCGGAAATCCCATATACCTGTATTACTTGTTGCTCTGGTTATCAAAGGTGACATCGACCTCGTGATTTACTAGGAATTTCAACCTTTACGTAATAGATTAGATTTCGTTGCTTAGTACTTTGTATGAAGTCCAGCACATGTTCACAAAATTAGTATCCCAAGTGTATTACTTAATTGTGGTGATGAAATCATATTTATTGGCCGAGATATGAAAATATAATAGGTTGTTTTTTGCATAAATTATTGTTGACAATCTTTGTTACAAAGAAAGCTAGTTTACCTAATGGTTATCCCAATACTTTTCTTTTTGTTTGTTCCTTTCAACCAGGAAAAGCTTGAGTTTGCCATGAAAGAAGTTATCATTGAGCGGTTAGGGGTGAATGGATTACAGAAAACTTTGGTGATGCCAGAGGTGAATCTAAATTATATATATATTCACTCACAGGATTACAGGCTAATGTATTTTCTATGTTTTTTAAATCCCATACATGCATAATGCTATGAGTGGATTATTAATGGGTTTTTACTAAATTGTACTTATTGATCCCGTTTTAGTGGATCAATTAGAAAGAATTAATCGGTTTGCTCTAGATGAATTGATTATCTCTACTTTTTTTTACAGGTTGGATGACAATCTAAAATAAGTAATACCATACATGTTATAGTGATAAGATTTTCGGCAAGGAGAAGTAAAGGTTGTTATGTAGGATATGCATAAAAATCTCCATATTTGCCAACTATTCAGTACTTTTATGTGTAATTTTTGGAATTCTGAGAAAAAATGTCAGCTTTTTCGACAATACACTACTTAGAATTCTTTATACAGGTAATTCGATGTGGATATAATCCGAAACGCTGTGTTCCATTAAGATCGTTTCAAATTATCTCACTTTTGATCACTTTTTCACATGCTTCTAAATGATATCTCTAAGAATTAGGAGTAAGGATACCATTCAGAGATAAAAATGTGTGTTGCAGTTTTTAATAAACAATTTTAATTATGTCATTATGTTATTCGTTGAAATTGCATACCATCCAACTGGTTCTCTTCCCGTGCGTTTTCTCAAACTAATAATAGTTTGTAATTTTATCTTTTTCTCTACTAGTTATTCTTATTATTCTTTTTAGCGAATAAATGTAGGTATATGTGCATTCCTGCTGATTGCCCATGGCCTTCAACAGAAGGAGGGGGAACCGCCCATGCCTCAACAATGCATTGGTGCTGGAGGGGTTGGTGGTGGTTTTAGGCAAGCTGTTATTAAACGCTCTTTTCATGGTACCAATTTGAATGAAGCATTGGGTTCCTTATTAGGAATACAAAGTTACTTAGTACCTGTTCGAAGAGCATTCGAACATATTTTACGTCAGCTGGATACTCAAGTTTGTCGTACAATGATGTTGCCAAAACAAGAAGTTACTCAAAAAGAATTTGATGAGTTAATGACGTAAGCTGGGCTTAATATTGTTGTTTTGGAGATCTATGTTTCAAGTGTATGGTCTAGGTGTTTTTTTCAAGCATTCTCATTTTTTCTTTTTGAATAACGTTATTTTAAAAATCACATAGACATTTTAACTGTTTTATTTGACAGTTTCAAAATCTTTATCTTGACTATTTATTTCTTTGTTTCTGATTAACAGCTTTTGCATGTTTAGGTATATTTAATGCATTTTCTTGCCCTCGTGATATGACGTAGTCATCACAGATTTTGTGAATCCACTGATCCACTGGTTTAGGTAAATGTTTTCGTCCTTTTTGAACTAAACTAGGGTTCCTATTATAATTGGCTGAAAGTTTATGCTATCATATTTCTTTTAGATATATAGAAGGTGCCATTAATGTTTTATCACACCTTTCTTTCTATCAACTCAAAGATGCAGGTACACCCAGTAGATAAATCTCGAATAACACGAAACGCGCGTCCTGGATTTCGCTGATAGATAAGTTTCATCCATTCTGTGGACACTGATGTGAATGATTCTCAGATTCTGATTTTTAGGCGTTGATTGTTGTATGTTGGTAGGACATTAACTATTTATAGTTGAATGATCTCTGAGAAGTGTTTGTTTTGTCCTTTAATGCTAATTGAATTTTATTCTGAAGTTCCAATACGGTCACTAGCGTTAGTGAATCGGTATTGCGTTCACCATATTGAGATGACAAATATTTGGTGGTGGTCGACAGTAAACCGTGAACTCAAGTTTCTTGCTAATCGATGCGCGTTAACGAGAAGTAACTTTGGATCGATATAGCTCAACGGTGACGTCCGAAACTGTGATGCTGGATGACACAGGTTCAAATCTCACAGTGAGCATAGGGTTTTCCAGGATTGCAAGTGCTCCACTGTCAAAAAGCATAAAATCAACGTCTGAGTTTTCTTATTGACTCTCTGCAGCCATTTAATACTTTGAGTATTTGTCTGTATTCCTATAAACACACTAGTCGGTAAAACACTGTTTCATGTTTCTGTTTTTTTTTTATAATAAAGGATAGCATTTTTTGACTTGCTTAGCTGTTAGTTCATCCTATACATTCCATAATGTTTCATTTATACAGCCATTTTGAGGGATTTTGTACCTAAATTCAGTTTTTACTATAACACAGTTTGGAGCCATAGACATGCCGGTATTAGTTATCTTTATGGAACATTGGCAATAGGCTTAGCTGATTCTAAATAAGTCATCTGCGTTGCATCAACACTTATGTAAGTCGTAGTATCTCTACTCCATGTAGCAGAGAATCTTAAAAGATATTCCATAATATTAGAAGCAAATATTAGTTTAATAACTGGAGACAAATGTAAACTAAATGTAAAATGTTTTCTGGACATACCTTGTCGAACTTCAACATTCAGTTTTTGTATGTATATAACTAATATGTGTTATAAACTACTTGGGTTCACTTAAACACGATAGTTATCCTTTTTTGAGTTGTTTTATTACCGTTTCTCATCATAGTTAGAGACGCTTGTCGTTTATAAACATCGGTGCCTCACAAGTACTAAATAACCTTCAAACCCATTTTGCTAATTTACTAAGGTGATGAGCTTATTCTGAGCATCTTCTTCATTACCTTCAAAAATAACAATGTTATGACTAAATCATAAAGTAAATTATGACCGATGCTATGTCAATGATAATGGGCAATCTGCCCACGTGTTTAGTATCCGTTTAATAATTTCAAATATTTCACAAGTATTTTATTTTTTAATGTACTATTTTCTTTCATTTTGCTCGGATAGAGCAGACCGTAAACCTAAACTGGATTTATTAAAGACCTGTGTTGCCTGTATTCCTCGTCTGCTTCCTATTGATATGACTAAACAAGAGATTTTAGAAATACTGGCCAAAGTTTGTCTGCATGTTGACGAAGACGTACGAAAAATGGCACAGCAAGCTATGGCCAACTTGATAGTCGAACTACCAGCTTATCGGGTTAAAACAATACAAGGTTAGTAAATACTTTAGTCAATTACTTCCACTAATATTGCTTGATGTATTTTTGTGGGCGAAATTACAATTACAACAAATGTTCTGCCCATATCATATTCTGAATTCCATTGCATACTCTATTTATGTTACCTTTACTAATAAGTGTTGTTTTCAACTGGGGTCAATGACTGTATATACAATAAAATGTTGATCTTTTTATAAATTCACAACCAATAATATCATATTATCACCTACAATGCAGAGATCAGTGTAAAGCTATTCAGCGTAAAGTGAAATCGTGTGTTTGTATTTTGCGTCATTGTCGTTTATGTAGTCGATAAATTCAAAGGTATGTCGTGGGGTATGCATAGGTATACGTCTTTTCAAGGGTTTGTTGGTCATTTCGCTATGCGGTCATAAGAGGATCTTGAAATGTTAAGAATTGGGTGAGGTGGTAACCCAAGTTTGTCTACTGCGTGCAAATGTCCATCCAAGAGGGTTTAATAATATTATTCGATACGGTTGAAGAGAAACAACGCTAAATCCATGAGAAGTTCCATGGTCAAACATCTTGTGGACGAAAGTTATTCAATTTAAGCAGACTCAGTGTTTGACATCATCTACAAGGTAAGTATAAATTTCCCAAACACAATGGGATCCCGTCTTCTTAACATTCCTGAAGCCTTCTCCATTCAGGTAGCAAAGTCAAAATTATGAATACCACAGAAACTTATTCGGATAGATGCACTGTGTTTCGCTGTAAGTTGAATGGCTAGATGATAATTGGAGTGAATTTCTTTCGGTTTTCATTACTTCTATAAGCTTGGGTTTTTATTTACTCAACTTAACAATCGAGTTACTACATTTTACTCCTCTAAAGTGCTTTCATTTTTTAACTGTTCATGAAAACCGTTTTGTTTATGAATAGTGATGAACAAACATCATTTCGTCCATTCATAGTAATTTAAAATTTGAGAAATCAAAAGACATGATCGTGTTGAAGTGTATATTCATTTATTTGAACACATAAACATTGGTACAAGGGGGCACCAAATACATATGCACCACACAATAATAATGAGGCTATGAAGATATAGAGAATGGGGGGAGTATAGTAAAAAAGAAGAACAGCAGTAAATAGAAATTAGCATATGAGAGTGAAACAATAATAATAATCGGAGAAACAGTTCAGTTAGGAAAAATCCAACCAGAAAGAACTCTTCCGACTAATGAGTTTACTCTCACTTTTATAAAGGCAGTTTTACTATTGGCTTCTATTTTGAGCCGTGTCTGACAATGTCTCAAGCCACTGTGTTACACCATCTCTAGGATCCCAACCAGGGAGTCGTGAAGAACTAACAGAAGCCAGTCCTGTACAACTTCCTTTCATACTACGACATCATGTCATATACTGGTCATCTCCCATATCGTCGGTAAATAATGCACGACGTGGGATTCGCCGGGGCGACATTCGTAAGACATACCCAAGCCATCAAAGTCGGTGTTCCAAGATGGCAACACTAATTTAAATATCGTCTCTGTACCCAGACACACGACGCCGAACCTCTGCATTACCAACATGGTGTTGCCACTGGATGTTGACAATCCTTCGGAGACAACGATGATCAAACACAAAGAGTCGTCTAACATCATCAACTGGGAGGGGTCAGGTCTTACAAATATAGGGTAGAACTGCTCTCACCGACGCGTTGTAGCTCCGACCGTTTACAACCACTTACTACCCAGAGTGAGTGCAGGTTCAGGGTTTCGCCAATCTTGTTAAAGTACTATGCACTTGAATGGTGCAAGGCACATGCCATACCTACGGACACTGACTGCTAACTGGCTAAGTGCGGATTGTATGGCTTGGGTATCGTCACACATTGTGACAAAATAATCCACATACTCTAGATCAAAAAGTCTCCTGGTGACAGATTCCACACCACCATAACTTACATCTATAAGAGCTGTTTCCAGAACATATTTGAAGAGGAATGGCGAGATTGAACAACCCTATTGGCCCCCACTTCTTCAATTGAACAATAGAGAGAGGTGTTTGTATGCCCTCACTCTGCCTGAGTTGTTATTATATAGGACTTTCAAGGTGATAATAAACCCCACACATTCTTCTTCAATGGACAATTCCAGAGAATAGTACTGTCCAACAAATCGAAGGCGGCTCTGATATCAAGAATTACAATTATTGTTGGTCTGCAATAAATATGACAGTGTTTTAGTATTTGGCAGAGGGTGATGGTAGCATCAGTACATCCTCGACCAGAACGAAAACTGCTCCTTGCGAGTCAACCTTTCCCGGGTTTTAAACAATCTGCGAATCATGACGGTAGCCAATAATTTGGACGCGATCGGAACTAGACTCTTTTTAAAGAGAGGAAAAGCTATCGTCTCATTACAGGACATTGAAACACTGATTGCCAAACCTTTACAAACAACCCAGCCCGTTTCATGATCAGGTCTCCACCATCCTTAAAAAGGGTTGGAGACATGTCATGTGAGCTTGATGACTTGTGGCGCCTTAAGATTTTCAGTTCCTTGCGCACTTCCGCCACTTTGGAGCGATATAATAAGGGATATAATAATCTGACCGATGTCTTTGGAGCAACAGGGTCAGCTAACTTGTTCCTTGAAAAACTGCTCGTCGTCCAAGACATCGGTAGATGTTATTGATTGGCATCCTGTCAGCTTCGCAGACTGTTTCACCCACACCAAACTTCTTGCTACTACTGACTCAAATGAATTGATAGGGCTTTCTGCAGTTACCAGAAGCTGCTACTTTTTCCAACTCGGTCGCACGTTCCGATCATCAGGCTTTCGGTCCTTACGCAAATTTTGCACTATTTCATTACGTAACGATTTTCGTTCATTGTCAAACTGTCGGTCTCTCGGAGTAAACCGACTTGCCTAAATAAGGTGTAAGGAGCCTGTTGAAACTCAGCGCTTGTAAGTGGGACATTTCGCGAAGCGGCAAACGACTTTAGTGGCCATTTTCGTGGCGTCAAGCAATTGTAGCTACTGCTCATCTATGCTTTCATCTAATCTATAATTTAAATTGACATACATAGTGTGGCACCTACTAAATCCGATTTCCACCTATTTCTCGTCAATCCATATGTCTAATTCTTCGCTTTTTTCTTGATGATTTTCAGTATTTATACAATTTATTCAGAAAAATGTAGCTGATACATCACCTCACCAACTAGATAGCTGTCTGAAGACTTTATTTCATCTATTAAACAATTGGAAGTTAGCATTGCAAAAGGTAAGTTGTATCTTGGTGTGACTTCACATCCGAAACCCTTTCTCTGAGCTTATCACTAGTAATCAGTTATTATTATTGTTATTATTGGTGTCATTGATACTCTATATTTTCCATCACAAGCTGACCCTAATGTCCTTACTACGTAGTTTTCTTGACTGAAAAAGAACTATGATCTCGCCGTATATTAAATCAAACGAAACAATTGCCCAAATTGTTTTCTCGGTTTTCATCATAAAGCACCTGAGTGTGAATTTTTAAATTCAATATTCCGCTTCGGAAACTTTCTACCCAATTGCTTGTGTTTGGTAGCTTACTCTTATATTATTCGTGACTTTAACTACTGAGAAACGTAAATCATTCGTAGTTACCAATAAAATTTCAAATTTCTCAAATTATCTATAGTCACTGAATTTTATTTTATTTTTGCATTTTAGGATGGAGCCGTAACACCTAATATGGCTGAAAAATCAGCTTTATATGAAGCTGAAGGATTTGCTTTGGTTATGTTATGCAGTTGTCGTTTAATTACTAGACGTTTATCTGTTCATATTCTCAGGAAATGTCGAGCTTTATCAAATTTAATCCAATCCGCTACTTATGATCAAACGTCAAAAAATTCAAATGATTCACGGGAATTGTGTTGTATAGATATTTTAGACCGTTCAGTGCCAATTATTTTGAAATATCTTTTACCTATATTACCTTTAAGCGAAAGAGTAAGATAATAGTCTATTCGTTAATATTTTAAAAGTAAACTATTCTACTTTAGAAAAGTTTAACATACTCTTTAATTGATTGTCAGTTGTCTACTTGTAATTATTTTTGTATGCACAAAATTTACTTGTATAGTTTTTCGCAGTCGAAAAACTTACTACTAGTATTAGGATAGAATCTTATTCCCCTGGAGATATATTATAGTTTTTTGTGTATGATGTTTTGATACGTCAGTGAATTAATAAATTTTGCAAATGTATCAGCTGTAGTTGAAATTACTTGCAGTCTAGGTCTAAACTTTCCAAACAAGAAAACAACTGCGAAATCTGTGCCAGGTAATAGACGAAATAGACTAGCATTTACTTTAGAGTTCCCGGCATATTAAAAAGTAACATATAAGGATGTCTGATAAGTATTTAGTAAATTACATTTCTCAAATTCATTAAAGGAACACTTAATGGTCACTATATGTGCCCGATTAACTATTGAAAAAGAAAAATTGCATTATTGGACAACTGGTTTGATCTATATTCGTTGTAAGGAGTTGTATCCTACTATTGGAGAGCTTATGTATATATAACACTGGTTATACTAATTTCTTGTTTGTTTTTATAAACTTCAGTCCGCTTTGTCTTCAGTGTCTAACATGGATTTTTCTGTCTTCACGGAGCGCTCTCATCCTGTTTGGTTTAGTGGTAGTACACTGCCTGTGTATTCACCTGTGGTTTTACCAGCTAATTATTTGAATAACACTCAATACTCTGGTTTAATGTCTAACAATGACGTGCAACAAAGTGAGGAAGTCCGATTTAATGGTTTATCAAATCTTCACGATCTTAACAAACTAAACAATTGTAATAATAACAACAATTGTAATACTAATAATAGTCCAACTGTTGGAAATCCAGTGACCGGTAACACAAATGAGAAATGTAAACCCGATGAATCTGTTGTACAGGAATCATTTACAAAAATCGGTAAGCACTGACTATTATTTTCAATCAAATCTTGTTTCTGTTCACTGATTTACTGCATTGTAAACATAAATTGATTACCAGCTGATTTTCTAACTATTCATAACAGATAAATGTTGATTATTTTGTGTACAATCTTCTGACTTTGATGTTTTGGTACATATTTTCTCTTTAGGAACATCTAACAGTAGATTGTTATTATCAGAAAATAATCAAGTTGATACTCATCTCGTATTGCTACTTAAGACTAAATGAATCCATAAATGACCTTTAATATTATCATGTATACGAAACTATTTATTGCCTTTGATTCAGCCTTTGGACAAATAGTAGTACATTTCATGATGTCGGGGCTAATTTGTGAAGAAAATAGCATTTTAATGATATATCTAATATGTTTAGATAAATGATTTGTATTTGTTTCGTCAATGTTTTTTAGAACTTTTTAAAAGTACAAACTGTTGAATGGTATTCTACTTTTGTGAATTGTTGTGTTCTTTTTGTGATGACTACCCTACTACTAGTAATCTAGTATCACTAATAGATATTTCATTCTTGCAACAATTCTGTTGCATCAGGATGTCGAATTTGTTCCAATCTTCATCTACCTCATTTATTAACCGGATTAACTGAAGGTTAGTCTTTTTTTGGGTTTTGGTACTCGTGGATTGCAATTTTGACCTTTACTGTAAAGTGAAAAGGAAGCGAAATTTATAACAATGATAGTGTCGTGTCTAACAGCTAACTTGAAGCTGTGTAACTCATAAACTGAAATGCTTGATATGTAAGCCGTTCTCAATTTTCTTGTTGTAATTTTATTCTCTATGAATTGTGGTGAACATTTCAGATATGAGTTGTTATGCTTAACATCTTAGTAAATGTAAACTATAGAGAAGAGTGAGAGTTTGTAAAATCTCTTGGGAAGTTTCGACAATTCAATAGTATTCGTACTTCTTTTCTATATTTACTTTTACGTGATCTTGTTCCTTGTTTGTTTCCATCTTGAACTGTAGTTAGTACACAGGTTTCTATACTTTTTTCCATATAATCTCACGAATTCATTCATATTTTTTCCAGCATTACAATGCTCTCTTTACTGATGATTGATTTATTCTTCATGGGGTTTAAGTTTTACTGTTGTTGAATATGCCAACAATAATTATAACACTACTAATTCTAAAACGTTGAAGAATGGTACATCGGCCTCACATAGTCATTATATATTTGAATATCATGTTCCTCGGTTAAGCAAGGGTATGTTAAGGTCAGTTAAAAATTCTTATACTTGCTCATCTAATTGATACGTAGTATCAAGTAGACATAAATAAGGGCTTTCAAGTCATTCATAGGATCCCATTAAATTACACGCCTGGTTTACGAACACGTCTTTTAAATATAGCTAAAGTAATCGGCATCCACTTTAACAAGCCCGACTCATATGTCAATAAGAAATTTGTTAAATTCGGCTATCACAATAGCCAACATTATAGTATATTAATAATAAGTTATTTCTTTCTCGTTTCCCATTATCTTTCGCAAAAATAATTTCTGTTCGCCTCCTGTTTTTGGATAACAGTAACGTTTTTTTAAGCTTACGTTACTGTTATTAATTTTCGACTTCTTGTCATAAGTTTGTCAATTCTCTTATATCATGCAGTTTATTAATTCTTTAACTACATATTCCAATTCATTCTTTTATTACTCAAGAGATTTAAGTACTAATCACTTCAAACCATCTTTTAGTCACTGTGCTCTTTTTGAATTCAAAATACGAAATTTAGCGAAAAGATCTATTTTCAAAGAATTTATTGTCGAGTAATACTTTTGAATTTGTAATATTATTATCTAACAGACCATCATTTGCTTGGTATTGATTTCATTGTTATTGTTAGATGTATATTTCAGTGTAGAACCAGTTGTATACTTTTTTGACAGTAGTGTTGAAAAGTTTTCAGTGTTTAGATTCATATCAAGGACGTGTTTTAGATTTAATTATTTTAAAAAGAACTCTGGTTTACTGAGGGAATTGTTTGTCTATCATATAAAAGATAGTTTACAGAAATTACTACTTACACATGTACATAGTTGATAAATTATCACTTAATGCTTTTTTTATCTTTATAAAAAAAGCGATACATAGAAAATCAGGTAATAATTACTTTGTGTTTTAGTTGTTTTTATAACTCATGTTATGTGTGCATTATAAATTGTTGTGTGGATATGCAGCTTTTTGGTGAGTTTGTTATTATCTAGACTTTATGTTATAGTAAGTGATTCGTGTTCATATTTATTTTATTTGAACACATAAATATTGGTACAAGAGGGCATCAAATATATATGCGCCACACAAAACAATGAGAATTCGAAGGGAAAAAAGAAGGTAAGGAGCGTAAAAAAGAACAATAACGAACAGATTAGTGTAAGGTAGTGTAGTAGTAATAAAAAAATAATAATAGTAATGGGGCAACGGAAAGATAAAATCAGAAGAAATCTTTCAGTTAAGGGAGAAGCAATAATTTTTTATGAAGAAAGTAAAAGAAGGTTACAGCAGGATCGCCACTGGCTTATATTCTGAGCCATATCTGATAACGTCTCTACCCACTTGCACCATCTCTAGGACCCCAGTCAGGGAGTCGTGAAGAACCAACAGAAGCCAGCCCTTCGCAGCTTTCTTTCATACCACAACATCATGTCACACTGATCACCTCTCCACTTTTACCAACCAGTCTCAGCGTCGACAAATAATGCACGACGTGGAATTCTCTGGGACGACATTCGTAGAACATGTCCAAGTCACCAAAGTCGGTGTTTCAAGATGGTGACACTGATTGAATTATCGTCTCTGTACCCGAACACACGATGCTGAAGCTCTGCATTACCAACATGGTGTTGACACTGGATGCCAGCAATCCTTCGGAGACAGCGATGATTTAACACAGAGAGTCGTCCAACATCCTCAACTCGGAGAGGCCAGGTTTCACAAGCATAGAGCAAAACTACTCTCACCGACGCGTTGTAGATCCGACCGTTTACAGCCAGACTAACATCACGAAGGCGTCGAAGATGGTCTAGATTGGCATAAGCCACTCTGTCTGTCACTATACGCAGCTACCAGATACACGAACGTTTCGAATACTTCTATCTGCTCATCATCCAGGTTGAGTACAGGATTAGAATCCTGCCAGTCTTGTAGAAGTACTTTTCAGTTTGAAGGTGCAAAGCACACACCGTACCTACGGACATTGATTGCCAACTGATTGTGTGTGGTTTGGACATTATCGCACAGTAAGACAATATCATCCGCATACTCAAGGTCGAGAAGTCTTTCTCCAGGCAACAGATCCACACCGCCATTACATACATCCATCAGAGCTGTTTCCAGAATGTCGTCGACGGCATAGTTGAAGAGGAATGGTGAGATTGAACAACCCTATGATGAGACACAACTTTCTTTAATAGACAATCCCAGAGAACAGTCCTATCCAACGAATCGAGGGCAGCCCTGATGTCAAGGAACACTACGATTGTTGGCCTTTGATAAGTATGACGGTGTTCTAACATTTGGCGGAGAGTGAAGATATGATGAACACATCCTCGACCAGAACGAAACCCAGCCTGCTCCTCGCGAGTCAATCTTTCTCGGGTTTTGAACAACCTACGAAGTATGACGGAAGCCAATAGCTTGGACGCAATCGGAAGTAGACTTATCCCCCGATAGTTGTTACAGGAACGACGTGAACCCTTTTTAAAGATAGGGACAACTATCGACTCATTCCATTACCTTGGTACACTCTCTAACTCCCAGACCTTTGTAAACAACCCCGTCAATTCCTTAGTCAAAAAGTCACCACCATCTTTAAAAAGAGCCGGAGGTAAGTCATCTGGACCCGGTGATTTGTGGCGCTTCAAGAGTTGGAGTTCCTTGCGGGCTTCCACCTCATTTGGTGGATCAGTCGCCACCGGCCATGGAGGGCAGGACAGTCTGACCGATGTTGCCGGAGCAGCAGGCCAGTTGAACTGTCTTTCGAAAAATTCTGCACATCGTCCAAGACGTCGATGGATGTTAGTGATTGGCGTTCCGTCATCCTCGCAAATTGTTTCGCTCACACCAGACTTCTTGCTGCCAGTGGCTTGGATGAGTTGGAAGAGCTTCCGGTAATTACTAGATGCACCTGCTTCTTCCAGCTCATTAGCACGCTTCGACCACCAGGCTTCTCGGTCCTTACGCAAGCTTTGCCCAATTTCCCTACGTAACATCCTTCGTTTATGGTCAAACTCACGGTCACCCGGAGTCGACCGACGGGTTTCAATGAGTTGTAAGGAACCAGAAGAAACAGTGCTTATAAGCGGGACGTTTCACGAACCCACAACTGACTGTACCCGCCATTTTCATGGCGTCATGCGATTGCAACCAATGCTCATCTATAATTTTCGGTGGAATGGTAGTTAGCTCTGTTCGATACTTACGTGGAACAGAAGTTGCAACCAACTTGCTGACATCAATCATTTGGTGGCAATCACTTCGTTGGCCACTGAAAAGTAAGGCAAGATTGGCGCAGACCAGGGCATGATCAGAGTCCAGATAGGTACTCCAAAAGGAGCGGCAGTCTTGTGCACAACCACGCCAGCAGTAGCTGATCGTTATGTGATCAATCTGAATCCAGGTTTGAGATACAGAGGGAGGACGCCAGGTGGCACATCGGCGATGACTGTGCCGAAAGTTAGTGCTAGCCAGAAACAGGTTGTGGTCTGTGCAAAGTTGCAGTAGACGGTCCTCGTTATCTGTTCTGCGACCAACAAGTCCCCATCGGCCACCTAGACGACTCTCTTCTGTGCCTAGACGCCCGTCCTGAGCATTTAAGTCTCCGGCTAGTACTACAATATCTGTCGAACACACTTTCTGGAGAATAGTTAACAACTGGTGGTAGAATTCATCCTTGATTGCATCCGGGCTGCAATCTGTCGAGGCATAAGCGGAGATGACGAAAAGACATCGTTTCTCACGCCGATTTCTCACTTTTGTGGAACTTTCTAATCTAACAGCACATAACGGACTGTTAATGGGGATCCAATCGACTAGTGCTGCCCCAGCTCTAGCGCTTAGTGCGACACCAATGCCAGCAAGACCAGACGAACATGTCACGGGGTCCCCGGATAAACGCACGTAAAACAAGCTTTTTGAAGCGACATATGGAGAGCGAATTTGTAGTACTTCACCAGTCTTGAATACGGGTCTCGGATAGACAACAAACGTCGATATTATGACTTTCTAAAGACAGCCAGCCCTATCTGTTGTCCGACCTGCATAAGTGTGCGAACGTTGAAGGTAGCCAGTTTAAATGGTGTACGTGGTTTCAGAAAAACTGCTTCAGTATTCGTATTTGGTGGTAGCATACAATTTTCAACCAGGCAGTGACTCGAGAACGTTTAGATAGAACCGAGTTCCTACCATAAGCGAGCTGCTGTATAAGATGAAAAATAAGGATACACATAGTGAGAATAAAAGAGAGTCAATAAATCACGTAAATAATAATAATAATAATAATAATAATAATAATAATAATAATATTAATAATAATATGAATCGTTTGATTGTTAATCGAAGTAAGACAAGTATTTTCCATTAATATCGACATTTCATATTTGTGTGTGGGCTGTGATACTTCCTGGGTGCCCAGACCGAAGCAGTTGGTTTTCTTAGGGGGCCACACCCTGAGCCTTTGACCTAAAGGTCTGACCCACAAAGCAGTGAAGCATCGTGAGGAGATGCAGTCCCATAGTAGCCAGTGACCAACGATTGGTTCATACGCCATTTGTTCCCGCAGAATACTGGAGCCCATGTGCACCATTGATTTGGTTTGGGATCCGGTTAAAGCACCGGACATTCGCTTTTCGTCCTCTCATTTTCGCAGATAACACCCCTGCTACGAGAAGGCAGTGAGTAGGACTTCCCTGGCAGAGGCTATATACGCGTGACCGTGTGAGAGCATTTCGAGAGGGAGGGAGGGCCCACTCCACTCTCAGCCATACCAGGGTATATAGCTTCTGAGTGTCATGGTCCATTCGTCGTGGGAGTATACTAACGTGGTTATTACCAACAAGTTATAGTATAAGACTATTTAATTTTCTTCAAGAGATCACTTCAACCAGTTGTTTTACAATGGATCTTTAGAATATCTACGCGAAATTGTTTTGAATTTTATTTTATATGCAGTCGTATATCTCCATAAGAAATAGTATTAGTTTATATAAAAAATACTATTGCGAATGCTCATTTAATCTGCATTCAATATTCATATTTGAAAATAAAAATGGTGCACAGTGCAAAATAACTTGAAAACGAACGAAACGGATTAGTTGAAGTATCCGAGAGCTAGATAATGTATAGTTTAGTACATTTCCCACCACTGTTCTTCGGAAATACACATGAAGTGTAAAGTAACTTTTGACTTCAATGTGGAATCGAGTTGTTGGCGACTATAGTATAGTTTGTGCATTTGTTTTGCAAGAAATACTTACTACGATTGGTTATGGAAGACTGACAGGTTATACCTAGTTCTACTTTCTAATTTACATCACAGAGGTTTATAAATTAGCGATGTTCTACTCATCGAACCGTCTCCTTCAAATGGTAAGTTTTAGTCTAAACATCTTGTTACTCATTGGCTTGATAACACTACTGAACTTTCAAAATATATTTTTATACTACAGTTATAAGCTACAAACCAGCATTTGATTAAATTCTTTCTTAGTAGTAACTAAAATCCCGTAATTATCTATCGTTCGGTTAACTGTCAGTATATACTACCTAGACAGAACTGGGTCCTAATGATTGTTTCTGCGCTTACTGACACTATCACTGATCGCATGAAACTGTTGGAAACTTATATTTGTCTATCTTGTTTATGTATGAGGTTTCCAATCCTTTTTTGGACCAATCAGCACTTTTGATTATATGTGTGGATTTCTGGTATAAACTTATACAAGTTTTATTGTCTTTCAAACAAAGAAAAAATCATAAGATTATCAAAGTTTTACTCAGTCGAGCGAATTTCAAAATTTAATCTCTAAATCAAACTTCACTTTCAAATAATTCATCTAAATATCTTGACATCATATTTACATTTTCATGAAAGTAATTCTTTTAAAATGGCTTCTTTATTTTATTCGAAAAATGATTACAAAAATTAGAACAACATTTATAAGTTAACAATATTGTTTTCAATTAGATCGGGCCTTATACTAATATGCATTAAAAATTTATATGCACGGATATTAAAATTATTAAACCAATCAAGGCAGTCAATAACAAAAATGAAATAGGCTGCGTAACTAAACACAATAAGTAAAAAGTACAGATTGATGGTGTGATCACGGGTGTACTGAGATCGATAAGAATAATAAAAGCGTGAGTAAATATTTCCAAATAGGAAGTTGAACAGAATGTTGAAAAAATAGACATTAGAATAATCATCAATGTAAATGTTTAAAATTGCTCGATAAGAGATGTTCAAATAATTAGATAATGAAAAATATATGAAAATATATGGAATCTATGGAACAAATAAACAAAGGATATAGAAAATGCTAATAATAATTCTTAGTAAAACTTTTTAAAGCCTGATCCAGGCAAGAAAGCAACAATAGTGTTACAAATCTTTTCTGAATATATAGAATAGGGTTGTGTGCTCGAACCCCCATAGCTTTCTGACGTCTGTAGGAGATGAGGCCAAGCATAGTTGAAGACGACGAAGGTATTCGGTAAATCCTCCGAAATGTTTTAGTTTTACTTGTCACATGACCACTGTCAACCAACTGTGTTAAAATAAAGCTAAGTATTATTTTCATCTGGCCTTTTTTAGAACACATGGGGGGATGTACTCCTTCGCTGACGCACTAACTTGATTGGTTATATATTTTTTAATATATACATATAAATGTTACTGTATATTAGTATAGAGCTCATTGAAGGATCTCACTGAAAACAATATAATTTTCATGATGAGAATTTTTAAAATTTTAATAGGGTTATATGTTTCAGAGTGATTTTGACAGATCATTCGTCAATCTGCTCGCTTTGAATCCTCAGGGCTTTAACATCAAGCGATAGTATCCTTGTTTCCTCATTGTTCTAAATTTTATCGTGATTTGTTAATGAAGCTTGACATTTTTTCTGGCTGTTTAATTAGTTTATCACGTTATTTCCATTTTTAAATCATATTTAAATATGATAACCTCTTATGGGTGTTTGCTGGTGAATGTAACTAACAATTAATATTGTTCACCGATGAGCAAAAGGGTGTCTGATTTTCTATCATGTATCGGTTGTTTCACCGAATTAAGGTCAGCCCTCTTTCTTTTGAGAGGTCTTTTTTATCAGATTTTTATGGCACATGGTGAAAATCATTGTCTATTACATGGCAATTAAGTGGTGAACCAAAAGCTAATCCGTCTCTTTAGATGTTTTAACACCAAAGTTTCACGTAGGCTAAAAAACTTTCCGTTGAATGCACATTTTTTGACCAGTTTGATACCAGATGGATTTTCTTCTGAATCAATCTTTTTGTGTGTGTTTTATTATATATATAACAAGGTATTTTGTGAATTCAGTTTTTAAACGTTGTGTTTACTGTCTGAATGTTTTACAAGAAATAAGGTATCAGGACATTCATTTTCATCATTTGAAATTGTTAAGCAGTGTGATAATCCATGAAGCTTGAAGTTTATTTGATAGTGAGGATTTCAGTTACATAGGAAATAAGCAGTTATAGAAAAACAGTTCTCAACACGGTCTGAACAAATCTTGCTTCATCTTGTTTTCAGGCTAAGTAAAATATTCTCACTCTGAACTTCATGAATCAAATAGGTTTCAAGTAACTTATGCTACTAAGCTTTCTGGATTCAGTCGGGGTCATATAACACAGTTGCTTTTAATGACTAGGTGTACTAAGAGAAACAGAATGTTTTTTCTCTCCAATCTTTCATAAAAAATGCCTCCACTTTGAAAAGTTCATTCTAAACGAATTATGTTATGTGTGTAGAACTTATTAAACTAAATAAGTCATAAAAATTTGGGTGAGGTAAATTCAGTTGTTTTAGCTGTCAGTTACCTCTCGTAAAGCAGTATACTAGTTTTCCCATTTTTAATGGAAACTTAATGGAAGAATGTTCGTGATTCAACTGTGGTTGTACTCTTAATGATGTACATGATAATTTTATATAGTACATTTCAGATGACATTAGTGTTCTTCTGCAAACTTTTGTGATTATTTAAACTGTTAAGATAAATTTTCCCAGTTTAATTTGTTTAAGACCAATAATTTTAATCATATACCGTGATTTTCTTTCGCTTTATTTTACTACTCTAGTCAGACCGCAAATTTCTGGACTATTCATACCTTCGAAATCTTTTGATTTTCGTAATATACAAACTTCTAAGTCGTATTTATCTACAACACCTGTTCATCGAAGAGCATCTCAGTATAATCAACAAATTCAGCATACTCAACAAGCTTACATTATGCAACCTGCACAAGAACGTGTAGCTGTCACAGATGTATGGGCTACTTGTCTTTCTATTGTATTCAACTCATCTAATTTGCCCACAAGTTGTCCCATGGCCATCAAATCTGCTTGGTCAATATTGTTTCAACGAATAAGTACTATTTTTCCTCTAATTGACCCAAGGCAAGTCTCTTTACTTTCTTCATGTCCATTAAATCAAAGCTAGTCATTTGGTTCAGTCTATTTTCTTTTTATATTTCTGTTTTCGTTAAGGTTTATCTTTATAAAAAGAGAAATGAAGTTGTTCCCGATGTAACGTTACTCATCAACAATTATTTGCTAACCGAAAACATTATCTTAGTACTATACGACATGGTGCTATTTTTCGAGTTATTCCTTTTAGTAATTTTTCTCTGTGTACTTACGCGTTATAAAGGTTTTGTCACTTTTTTATACTTCATTTGGTATATATTCTACTGATATATATTTACTGAAAACCCACTTATTATATTTCACTTTTATCGTAGTCCAAAAATATTCGACCAGCTTTGTCTTCAGACTTACATAAACAGTCGTTGTATTGTGAACCTATTATTATAACGAATTTGCTGTCATGAAAGATTCTAACCTTATAGGTACTGATGCCGTTTTATTTTTTAATTTTAAAGATCATTTCTCGTGTAGACGGTAATTGTTCATAAATATTTTAGCGCACAAATGGCTGAAAATCGAGCATCCTCGTTACTCCGAACTGGGAGTAAGAAACCTGCGAATGAACGTGAACAGTTCATTCCTCTTTGGCATAATTATGTCGTTGTTGGATGTTGTATAGCTCCGAGCTCTACTGGTTTACGGATTTCAAAATCTCCAGATACGCGCTATCAGCCTGGGTTTCATCTACAAAAGCATTCACCTGACTTTTCAACAAAAGGGGATTCTAATGAGTAAGTTAATGTTTTTTTTTCCTAATATATTGGTATTCTTTTTCAATAAATCTTATAAATGCTTTGTTGAGTGACAAATAAACGTCATCCAGACTTGCTGATTCCAAGTATTCAAAGACTATTCATTCAAATGTTTCTACAACTTATTGTAAATAACTTGTTAATTTAAAAATGGAACAACTTATTTTGTTTCGTTATCCTACATCGCGTTGATACTTTTTGGTAATAACTGAATTTACTTAAGTACTAAAGTATCTTTATCTGAATAGTCTTATCAGTTTGTTTCGATTGATTCATCATTTTAAATTTCACCACATACTTTTATATGTTTCACTTAACTACCACACGTATCGTCCATTTTTCCTTCTATTCTTACTTCTTCTACTTCCACTTTTTTATTAGCTATGCAGCAAGTTTTGTCTATAAACATTCACATCAGTCTTTTAATTATTTGAAACAGGAAAATTCCCTACATCAGATCGATAGGTTCTTCAAAACCAGTACCAACTTATCTATCATAACTCACTTATACAGTTTTTTTCTTTGAAAAATATTGCTTAAAATCAAGTATTTTTGTAGCTTAAATAGCTAATTTTGTTTGCTGAGATTAATTTAATCGTAATATATTGAATTTAGTATCTTCTTGAGTGAGTGACCATAATATCAGTAACAGTTTATATTTGCAATTGATTTAAATATTACAGTTATAATTATTAACTCGTGCGTTATCTTTTTTCTTAAAAAATGGAGTATTTTTGTCTATTGATAAAGTATTGTTCCTAATATATATCTTTCTGTTTGACAGATAGCTACCACGGACTTGAACTGAATATCTCGTAATTTTCCTATGCGATAGTATTCACATTTGAATTAGAGCCATTCAACTGTTCGTAAAGGACTTAGGTCCTGATGCATATGTATGGCTCTGCACATTGCACATCGTCATAGTGAAAGGAAATTAATAATATATAAAATGAACGAGTAGTAACAGACTGTGCATGGTGGAATATTGTATTAAAAAAAATTGTGGGGATTAAACATATGGAACATTGATGAGCTCAATGTTTGATGGGAAAATTATGAATGTGTCTGTTCGACTTCAGTTGCTTCTTGCCTCTGTTACCTAAGTTCTTTATCCATGAACTACCATTATCTCATGAATCCTAATTGAGGAATATTTACATTTCGATACAGCTTCAATCATCAGCCTGTTCGCTTCAAGCTTTTTCCTGCCTATCGTTTTGTCAGGAAGTATTGAGAAAAACTGATTCTGAGTCCTCGTGACGATGTTTGGAAACGCTTCTTTTACAGAATGTTCATAGCCTCATAGCTGTATCGGATTATCCGTCTAATACTATATAGATAACCTTAGTATTACTTACCTAGGGGTGTATAATATTTCGAAAGTGTCTTTCTGTGATTGGATTTTCGCAACCTACTCATGCTATTCATCTTCATAGGATGTTTCACATTCATAAAGTAATATTTAGTTGACTATTTACTCAGTAAATAATCGTTTTGTTTTTTTTATTCAAGTATTCTGAACTGTATGTTATTACTTTCAGTTATGACAATAATCGATCTACTACTCAATCAGACGAAGTAGTAAATCAAACGACTGATTTGAATGCTAACTCATCGTCTAATCGTTCAGCTGTATCTAATTCTCCATGTACTAATTGGTCTAATTCGCCAGATTTAAAGTATTCAACATCATTTGGAAAAGTGAACGCTAGAGATTTGGTCAAGTTGCTAGTACCTTTGCTTAGATGTGAACAACCGGAAATAAGAGATTCAGCTATTGGTGGTCTTGGTCGGATAAATCCGGCTGCTTTCAGGTAATTTTCACATCATTCATTATTAAATGATGCACAATGTGAGTTTGTTTACTATTCTTACTCTCTGAATTATGCTAATTTTTGAACTTACTGGATTGTTTGTTTATTACTGATTAAACTCTCAAGTTCAGTGTTCATTTACCTAATGCAGTAACGTTAATCTATAGGAATGAATTAAAATTAATTATCGATTTACTGCGTATTGACATATTCAAGGTTAACCCTAAAACATTGTTTATTGGTTCTGTGAGTTCATTTCATAACGAAACAGTGGTAGGGGATCGACACCTAGCAATATACCGAACGGATCTAACTGAAGTTTTGTAGAGAACAAACCTTGTTATGATAAGGTTTGTTCAATAATTGGATTTTATTAACTGACCATCAATTCTAAAATTTAAACCATCTTTTATCTAATTATCATTTTCCCTGAAAAAGCGGCTTACAATGAGTCACGAAACGTCAAAAGATTTAAAAATTTAGTTTTTCTGCTCATTGGGATATTACAATTATATTGTTTCTGTGAATTCCCTTTGTTGTTATTACCAATGACAGTATCGATTAATTATTCTGAATTATGTGTCATTCAATTGCACATTTTATTGTGAAAATTAAGAATTACCATTGTTTCATTATCATTAGAATTGCTACATTTTTACATTGAATTTGCAATTCGGCAATAGTCTTAAGCTGTTTGGATTAATTGGCATTTTTTATATTTCGAATAATCTATTGATACCAGTTGAATGAAAGATCAATCATCTTAATTTGATTTTTTTTCTTAATTCAAGTAATCCATGTATTTAACTTATTTATTCATCGAGGTGTGTACGTTTTTCGGCTAAATGATTTTAGAGATGTCCTTGAAGACTTGCAACCGTTGCTAAAAGAATCTTTCGATCGAAAACAAGAGAATTTACGCCGTCGACGTCGACGTGATGGTTTACGATCTGCTTTAGTTAAAACTCTTTCTCTTATGGCACAGACTGGTGTATTTGCATATCCGTGAGTAATTCATCATCTAATCTTATACTATAGTTTTATTTTCAATTTAGTAAATTTCCAGTGAGATAGTTGGACTAATGGCCTAACAACGATAACAGTAATGATAATAATGATGGTAATTTTCATCACATTTTGACATTCCATCCGATCTCATTAATTACACATACTAAATACCTGAAACCTTGCGAATTTCATATCGAAGCTTATTACTTGATTATCATTTATTTATTACGGAATGAATAAGTTCCGATAGATTGAAAACAGTATTTAGTTTGGGTGAACCTTTCATTTACTTAATTGCGAAATTGATTATTATCAAGATATTATACTTTTCTGGCAGTCTTTTGAATATTTATTGACGTGATTCCGTGGGTTCATTACTTTCGTCTTTTTGAACGAACTGTTTGGATAGATTCATCTCATATCAAAATGCTGTGATAAGCTTGATCGTCTGAATGTTTGACGTAGAATTGGAAAGTCTATTGATTTAAAACTGCTTATGGATTATTTTATTTTCGATAATTTATCGTTTTTTTTCTGTGTAGCGAATCAAATATAGTCACACCTCAAGGGTCTTTAATTTGTCAGCTTCTTGATTACATGGATGGAATGAGAGGTTATTTAGAATCAGTTTCAGACCAGTTATTAAGTCCAATCAATTATACGCATCAATTATCTACATCGTTAAATCTCTTAGTTTCTATACCATCTGGTTCTACTTCTCAACAAGTTACTACAGTTGGAAGTATTTCAAGCAATCATCAAGTGGGTGGATCTATTAGCACTAATTCTGTAATTGCTTCTTTATCTACTCCTACAACTACTGGACCTTCATTAACTAGTTATTCATCGGAATTTTATCTATTGGGTGAAATTCGCTTGCATTTTTGTATTTTTATTAAAGAGCTAATTCGACGTTTACCAAGTAAGCAGTTGTTTTATAGAGTAAAGAAGGCTTTCATTAATAAATATATATAGTAATCTATACATATATATTAGACTGTATGTTGGATGTATGAATTACTAGTCTAGCATTTCATTTTACATGAACTTTCCTCAAAGCATGGATGAATATCTTCATAAAAAAGAAAACATTTGATGTAAAATTATATTTATAAAACTATATCAACAATTGTGATGAGGCTGTTCCAAAGTTTCTCTGTACAATATATTACAAGCTTCTTTATGAAGATAATGAAAAACGAAACTTTGAAAGATCGGTAAGGTCAGAAACGTTTGTACACTCAATGATTCTTTAGTTATGTTCGGATATTGGTTTAAAAAAATGGTAACTGTGACTCACTTGACAGAAAGTGTAAAGAAAAGGAAATCATTATTCTCCAAATAATTATATCGCCTGTGATGAGTTAGCTCCTATTCTTTTTGGAATAATCATGGATATATGAATCTTCATCGACTGATGTAACTGGAATTCATAACGTCTAATCAACCAACCCCCACCTCAACTGATGATGTTTCCTAGTATAGGAGTAAGTTGGAAGCCACGATCATCAGTTTTAGACTTTTGTGATTTGTTTCAGAATCGGTAACATTGAGGTTGATACATTTACTCTTTATCTTATTCTATATTTTGAGTCCCAATATTCCTTCTTCCATACCTTCTGGCTTTTTGAACCGTATTTTCTTTGTTTAATCTTGGTGTTTAGGATTCCTCATGATTGTCGAGTTTTTATTTTTCTAATCAGAGGTTACTTTTCATAACTATTCTGTTCAAATGATCATAGTAATCATATTTAAATATTTATTATTCACAGTTATTTCTTTTGTGTTTTTCATTCATATTTTTAATCCAAATTTTTACTCCCTACTTCTTTCTACCATGTAGAACAGAATCGTACAACTTTATTGCCTCCAACATTAAGGCATCAATTATTCATTTTGTTGTCTCATTGGAGTGCTCATTTTGATCATATCATGGGAACGTAGTAAGTTTGTTTCTGTTTCCCATTTATCCTTCAATGAAATGCATTTTCTTTTTAATATGTATATGCAATAGGGACAATCTATTGGATTGTCAGTTTGAACTCAGCTTCTTTGATTCAGACAACTCGGTAATATCTGTAACTTTTCCATTGCCGATATTTCACTCCCAACATAGTACATGGATCTACAGTTGGTTATTAGATCAGGTTTTAAATAATTGTTTAACGGATATGTAAATAGGCACCATTTTCACTTATTGACATGCATTTGAAAAAGAAATTCTTCGGAGGATTAACAGATTTTTTTTTGCTAAAACATGCAATCCTTTATTATTGTCTTGACTACAACTAAAAGTACACTATGTTAGTCCTAGGAACTAACATTTTAAAATAATCTTTTTGGCAAAATTTTATTTAAACACCAGTAAAATATTTAGTAATGCCACGTTATATTGGAGTGCGAGTCAAGACTTGGGTTCTAACAGTTGAAATCTTACAGTCGTATCTAGTCACCTTTCTCTTCATTTGTACTTCCAGACACATTTTCGGTTCATCTACTCATATCAATTTATTTTTCAGTCTACTGAGGCAGTTTAATAAATCTTTAAAAGATTTTATGCTATGAATAGCTTTTCTTTTAAATGTTAGCACCTGCTATCACTTTATCTGACAGTTGGTGTAAGTGATTTATAGTGCTGTATTGCTGATCAACATGAGCAATATATGTATGTAAACTTTGCCAGTTACTGTTTTATTTTTTAAACTATAGTATCATCTAGAGTATCAGATGTAATATGAACGATTTTCTAAGTGTATTTGAGAAGTTTTGCAGATAGATTTTACAATAATTTTGAACTTACGTAGATCTATAGACAGGTTTCTTTTTACTGCTTGTTTTAAATGATGTGAAATATAAGTTGTTCACTTCGAATATTTTGTAAGAGCATCACCACATAACCTCATTAATCTAAGTGCGAATATTTATTCACACTTTAAGTTTCTCTCTGAATCTTTCTCAATCATAAATAGTATAACAGAAAATTTATCATCGCTTATAAAATCCTTATTATTAAATTCGTCAAAGATTTTCGGAGATGAATTTTTTGGATAATCACAGTTGTTGCCATATTCATGCGTGAAAACTGTTTCTACTTCAACAGCTTACCTATTATTCAGTGAACTAATAAAGGATTCAAGTCATACATTTTTAACTCTACACCAAAGCTCACAGCTAAGTTTCTTGATTTTGACTGGTTCAGACCTGTACTATGCTTTCATCGATTATCACTCAGTTGTTCTCCCAATAGCCATAGTTCTGAATCATCATTTTCTAAGATGAATTTCATTAGACTTCTTTAAAATCAACATGACGTTCATGTTATTAGCAGTGTTTAAGATTCATTTATTCAAAATAGTTAGTTCCTTTGGTTAATCTTGATAATGAAATGAGAAGTTTACCAGAACTACGTGATATATTAGCGTTACATATTTCGAACAATTTAATCGCATATTTACTTGTCAAGGGATTTATGTATCATCTTTATTTTTTTAGTATATAAATGCTTTAACAGGTTAATGTTTAATCCGATTCTAAGAGACTTCATCTTCTCTTTATATTATCATATATTTGTCCCAACAGTTTTTGGAATAAATATTTTGATGTTCAGATTTCAATTTAATATATACTTATTGACCAAATGTTTGCTTATTTTTAGCTTAGGGTCTGAAGGCCCGGTGCTTACTGAATCTTATTCTTTTGATTCAAATGAAAATATGGTTGGACAATCGTCTAGTCTAAATGGGATAGTTGGTTTTTCTCCATCAAATGAAATGCCTCACGGAATTGTTGGGATTCACCATCAGTTATCTAATGATAATTTCCTACAATCTCTCAATAGCCTGGGTGTTAACAGTGTTCCATCTTCTGGTTCTATAGAATGTAATGCTAATATGAGTGTTTCATCAACCCAAACCACTCAGAGTCCTACAATTCAACAGAAAACCTGTGAAAGCGAACAAATTGATATGAGTGAATATGTGGAATATTGTTTATGGATTGATTTAATTTGGTTGTCAAATCAAGCTATGGCAGCTTTGGTATGTTGTGGACCAATATTTGATCGTTCTGCCTTGCTACCGCAAGACAGTGGAAAATTAAACCAGGTAATCCCAGGTGTGGGTTCAGACGCATCAACTGTTTCTGGTCCAGAACGTTTGAATAGTGGTTCAGGTTCAAATGTTCGCACTCCTAGCTCTGGATATGTGGTTCGTTGGATTTCTGGACTTCTCGTTGCACGTGATACTGCTCTCAGTTCAAGTCCGTGGCTATGGTTTTGTCCCATTACAGGACGCGGTCTTTTGCATAGTACTTTAACTCCTGGAGGCGCATCATTGTGTGGCAATAGTCATACACGTTCTCGCATAATAGCAGCTGGTGGTGGTCGTCGATTAGATTCTGTATGTTGTATTCTTTGATACTGTCAATCAGACATTTTCGTATTGATTTTCTTACATAGGCTGAGAATGAGGAATTCCTTATACACATATGTGTAGGACGTTTCTAACACAAAACGTTAATTTTCAATCTATTCGAAACAGTATTTTCCAAAGCCCCTTACGGGTCACTAACTTTGAGAGTTAATCACTAAAGTCTGGTGAAAAGTCGCAACTATTGGAGTTAAGCCTTGTTTTTTGTAAGATGCATATCACTAGTGACAATAGTTAATGGTTGTACAGTATCACGAATAACTTGGATATAAAAACGTAAATCTTTGTACGCCAAATTAATCGGCTGAAGATTAAGTCCTGATTAAAAAATATTGGGTTCGATTCCTTGTTGGGCCGTGGGTACACAGTGATAGGAGTTGTATACTAGGACGAGGCAACTATTAATTACTTCCTGGCTTTAAATGACTTTATGACTATAGTATGCAATAATCTCCATCATTCCCTTCGTGAGGTTTGTTTAGTTTAGTTAAGGTAAATTATAAAACACATTCATATTAGAATTCAAGGCTGGAATTTATGGTGGTCCCTTCTAGGTGACCTGAAAATTGATCTAGGTAGACTATATACTTATTAGGATCTCATTTCACGTAAATTATTTCGTCTCATAAGTAGGGTAATATTAGCACGAGGTAGTTTGTTTCTGTAGTCAGATATTTTTATTTCTATTCAAATTAGCTTTAAAATTAATTTATTAAAGGAACTTTGATAAGTATTGCGGTTGAAATCAATTAAGATATATGTTGCGTCTATCAAATTCGTAATTTTCTTAGTCGAAAACTAGATAGCGGTAGGTGCTTTTGCACTGAATACCTTTGATTTTCTATATTTTGTTTCAGCTACTTCGACAACTAGGTGAAGAAACTTTAGTCCTTATGTTAGATTTCAATTCTGACAATACCGGTCTCTTCAACTGGGTAATTGATCAGTGTTATACTTCATCAAATATATCATTGTCTACAGCATGTTTTGAATGCATTTGCCTCATAATGAGTAATATGTAAGTAATTATTCTTATTCATCTGTTTGATTGATCATATTATGTGATATATATATATATATATATGCATGTAATACAGAAGTGATAATTACTTATTACTCAGTAGTAACGTGTTTCATTCACTAGTCAATTTTCAATCCTAATATGTCTTCTTCAGGATGAAAGTATATTTCCATCAAATATCAATAGGTTAGATAGCTCAGTTCTATATCTTTGTAGTTTGTTTCCTTTGAATAGACGTGGTCACTTAGTTACCTACTAATGCGTGTTAACCCTACCACCTACCAGAATTTTCCATCGAACTCTGTCCTGGACAATCCTTTCAAGTTGTTTCCAGTTGCTATTCATCCTTTTGATATCTGCTTCCAGTTCACGACACCCGTGTGTTCTTTGCCCTTCCTCTTTTCTGTTTCCCTTCAAGATTCCAAGTTATCACTTGCCTCGTGATGATTTCCGCATTGTATGTCCTATCCAGCTCCAGCGTCTTTTAATTTCCTTTTCATTTGGAAGCTTATTTATTCTTTTCCACAGTAGGTTGTTGCTGATGGTATCCGGCCGATGGACGTTAAGTATCTTACATAGACAATTGTTTGTAAATACTTTTACTAGTTCTCCACATTTCAGCTCCTTACAGTAGAACTGTCTTGACGTTCGTATTGAAGATCCTGGCTTTGTTGTTGGCTTGCAGACAGTTGTTTTGAGTTCCATATGTTCTTCAAATATAAAATTGCTGTCCTTGCTTTGCCAATCCTGTCCTTTACATCTGCATCCGATCCTCCTTGTTCATCGATGATGCTAACCAGGTACGCGAAAGATTTCAAAGTTTCTCAATCAAGTGTGATTGAGTTGGTGTTCTTTGTGTTGTATTTGAGGATCTTGCTTTTTCCTTGTATGTTGAGGCTTGTTGATGCAGAGGCTTCTACCAAATTGGTCTTCCACACCAACAGCACCTCTTTCAAGTCGAATCTTTTCTGTCCACCTTGAACACAGTGGGTTTCATTTCTTCCATAAGCCGCCATGTTGTATATTTTCATTTCCGTAGCTGTTTGACTCGTCCTCCTGATCTCCCACATTATCTGGACACTCCATGTACCTATATTAATTGTTGCTCTGGTTGTTAGAAAGGATATCGGCCTCGTGACTTTTGAATAATCTCGGTTTTCACTATGAGCTGTCATATTCTTCTAGACGAAGATCCTTCAACTACCAGGGCATAGTTTAAGTGGCTAAAAATGTTTAGTCTGGTTGGCGTTTTTTAGCATGGTTGTTTTCTACGAGGTGGGGTTGCTGACCCCAACCCTCTTCTTTTATTCGGGCTTAGGACCAGCGGCAACCCTAGAAGAGATACAAGTGAAGTTATTCGTGATCACTAGGATATCTTGTGGATTGTAGATGCTTTGAATTATTATTTTCAATTTATTGTTGGTTTGTCATTCATTATTTGATGCTTTTATTTTCAGTTGTCAATTGTTATTGTAAATATTCTCTTTTTTTCCACAAAGGCCGAATTTCGCTTGTGATTTTATTGCTATGATCACTTTATGCTTCGTTTTTATTGATCATCCTTCAAGATTTCTCTCTGACAGAGCTTTCTATTTACTGCGAATTCTTTACCAGCGTTTTATCATAGAAGTATGTCAATTTTAATTCTGCTTTACATCAGTTATTTATTCACCATAATTTTATTCTTAAATAGACTTATTAATTCAGATTAATCCTTCGATTGACCTCGATTTTAAAAAATAGGGTATTTCAGGTAATCAAAATTATATTTCATATGAAAAAAATAAGTAAATAACAGTTGGATTTACAGAACAAAATGAATCCATTTCACGGCTTTCTATCATCTCTAAACACCCCGAAGTTAAAAGTAGTAGTGTTATTATAAGTTTCGTATAACTTACTGAATAAAACTGAGTTCGAAACAACAGAAAAACTTGAGAAACATGAAGAGTATAAAATATATGTAGCAAAACCTTTAGGAACGATTAATAATTATATGTTGAGAATGAGGTCATATAAAGAAGGGAGTGATGTAATAAATAAACTATGCGTTATTTAGACCGTTTTAGTTTCTATCATCTTAGCAGCAAATATAGTTGAGGGAACAGAACTGGAAGCTTATGTTCAATCATAAAAGTGTAGGAAGTGATGACACATTTCGAAAAGTGTCTTATGAAAAAACGATATCCAAACAAATTTACTATGCAGTACGGAGAAATGTTTATCAAGACATAACACATTATCTTTTCAATCATCTCTGTATGTATTCTTTAATGTTTAATAGCCTGGCGAAATTCTATTTAAACAAGCACATCCAACGGAAATTGATAAATCATTTGTTCTCAACGAAGCAGCTAATTCTCAATCATCCCCAACTTTGTGCATACCAGGGGATTGTGACTGTTTTCAGTTGTGTAAATGCCTGCAAATAAATAAACTATTTTATAATTCTTTTAACCGTTGGTCTCCTTGTGAAGTTGTGAGACAGTTTTCCGCTCAACATCCTGAGTTTACGATCACTATTTTTTCGGGTTAGTATTATGTCTACTCTTTTTATGTCTTGTAATTTTATATTTCCTGTATAAATTTTACACAAACCAACAATGATCGTGTGTAAATTCATTCTAGTTCTAAACCTTGGTGTCATGTACAGTTTTCACGGTGCAGACTATTATTTGTAATATATTTCACCAACAATAAGGCGATCAGATCTCTAGAGTATTGAAGTTATCGGATTATTAAAAAGGCCCATCTTCCATATGTAAGTCTTACTGGAGGGTTATATATATAATCGATGATGCTGTCCAGGTACGTGAACGATTCCACTCCATCCAGAGTTTCTTTATCAAGTGTGATTGATTTGATGTTCTCTATGTTGTAATTGAGGATCTTGGTTTTTCCTGCTGACTCCATGTCCAAACCTCCTTTTTTATTCGGGCTTAAGATCGGTACTATCTCTAGAAAGGCTTTAGGCTGAGTTATAGTTTTGTTTTATAATTACACTTATGTGATTACTTTTTGTGTATTCTTTAAAGTTTGTTTTCTTGATCTTATTTGAACTGTAGAGATTTCTAAACGTCTCGAAAATGCTAGAGAGGGTTTACGCATCCCGTTATTACGTCTACTTTCAATTTGGCTTGTCAATGTGGAACTTGTAGATCTTGTGGAAGGTGATTTATTCGATACAACAAATCATAATATGGATAAAGACGATGATGATTTTTCCGATATAGATAAGGATAATTATGTCTGTCGGTCAAATAACTATGAAAAATCTGAACCTGTTGGAATTCCTACATCTAAAGTTTATAATACCACCAGTTTAGTTGGGACATCAGAACAGCAGCAAAGAAAAGATTGTCCTGAACATCGTACTCGTCCATCAAAACGTTACAGACGTTCAAAAAGCCTATTAAATTCGGAATTACTTTATGATCATGAGGATGCTGACGCTGATTCAGATAATATTATTGATGATCGAAATTTCAAATCACTAACACTGTTGCGAATGCGTGCACGTCAAACTATGCTAGATGAACATGCGGACATTTGTAGTCCTCGAGCATGCCATATTCATAATCATTTCAAGAAGAATGGATGCAAGTATAACGATAATAATAATAATAATAATAATAATAATAATAATAATAATAATAATAATAATAATAATAATAATAATAATAATAATAATAATAATGATCTACATTGGTCAACTGTACCTCCTACTCTTCGTTCTAGAGGATGGGGATCGAAAAAAGTTAGTTGAACTATTCATAATGTTGGTGTAATATAGGATTTGAATCGGTTTTTGTCTGAATTTATTTCTGAGTGTTTAGTGTTAATATGATTAGTTAGGTTATACTTAATCAGGTGACACTTCTTTCCAAATGAATTCTTTCACCTGACTGCTCACTAATTGAAGTTTACATGGCAATAGCTCTTCTCATTATTCCTCTTATTGTGTCTTCTGCAACAACTAGGGAATTAAGTATGGTAATTCTTTCAGAAGTGTACCTTTTACAGTGATAGCATTTAACTTTTTGTAAGTAGCTATCTACTGTTATTTAACTCATACCCTTACATATCACCTTGCAAAAAATTTCACAAGGAATTGCGTTCGTAATGTTACATATATCAACTGATTTGCTGTTTTTTCTTTGCAAACGGCAAAACTGTAAAAGAGAAAATATTTCATAAATGTATTAATTGTAGCTAATCAACTGTTCATTTTTACTGCTATACATTTCATTAAAACAGTCCACACTACATCGTTACACAACACATTAAATGAAACTGCTGGTACTATTCCAAAACATTTGTATTGCAATGCAAAAAAATAAACTTTTTCATACATATCGGTAATAGTTATGCAACACCTTTTTTTGTTACTAAAGGAACAACACTATTTTCTGTTTTATTTTCAGGCCACTGAATTCGTGCTTACAAATCTTTTCTACTTATCCTTAAGGCTTGCTGATTGTCCAACTTCATCTGAGGTACTAAAACAACTTTGGTTGACTTTAATTCGCTACCGGTCAACGAATTTACGTGTGATTCTTCGATATCTTATTATTATTACTTCTATTGCACCTGGTACTCTGTTAGTACATGTAAGTTTCTTAACGTTTACTGTTTGCTTCAACATAACGGAACCACCGAGTGTGTAGTTCTGGGGTGAAAGTAGATATGACTAGACAGCTGGTAACTCTTTAGTGACTAGACACGTTTTACCCCTGTTTCGACTCCCCATTGTAGCTAATAAACAGGAGTGAGTGGGAAAGTTACGGCCCATGAGATCAAAATATGGAATTAGTTTGGAAGATCATTGTGTCAGGAAAAACAGAGATTCTCACTGAGGTTCGAGGTAATCATTGTTGGGGACCTCTAGTGATATAACTGCATATCAGTTTCAGTAGGACAAATGTATCCACTGTATTTAGTATCCCTATAAATTATCACCTAACCGCTAAGTAATTTTCATTCATCGATTAATTTTGAACCGTTTCCTACTTTTAGTTTACGAATGATATTGCGATATAGCAATAGCTCTTTTAGCTTACATTCGATGCTTAGATACCTCAATTCATCATTTTCTGATAGCTTCTGGCTACTCTAAAAGACAAATTTAGCAAGGAAGGCTTATTTGGTAGGGACCAAAGAAGATGAAATTAAGCAGCGCGCATGCTCTTATGGTCTTATGTACAGTAATTTTTGGAACAAGACAGAAATTGGTTCACTAAAATTGTCACAGACCAATAAGTAAATGCTTTCGAGTATAAAGGCTCGCGACATAATCAACAAGTGGTTTGCTTGGGGATTCGATATCGCCAATGTAGTAAAGTTTTTTTCATATTGCTGATGTGACGTGTGGTAATCAGGGTGATAAGTTTTGCTAATTGAACGCTTCGTCTGATTCCCTAGCTGCTTCTAATAACCCCTGACTCAATCTACACGGCAACGTAAGCACAAGAGAAAAGGCAGGAATTGCAAAAAACTCACTACTCCAAGATTAGTTTATACACAAAAAAAGATGAGGGTATTCATAATATTGGAGACGATCTTGGATTTCTGTAAGTTTCTAGAACCGTACTAAATATAATAGCAACAAAGGTACATCCAATCACAAATGTGACACGTGACTTCACTTTCAGATATTCTGCGAAGCTTCTATTCATAGCCGTTTGGATGAAATGTTTCTAAGCGTTTTCTGAACCCCTTCTGATGTTTCCGAGGAATACTCTGGAGTTCTCCAAATTACGGCTGGTACACACCTTTGACAGTTTCTACGTTGCTGATGGCAAAATGAAATCAAATTGATCACTAACTTATTCATTCACCTTACACCACTTCTTAAAAATATCCCGACCGTTGTCGCTACCTTGACGTGATGGTCGGGCTTGCCTATCGTGATGAAGCAACCGAGCTATACTGGCTGGAACAACCGTTCCTCAAGGTCCTACCATGTCAGACAGGTCGGTTGAAGAGCGGTAAGACTAAAAGCAACAAACCTAAGGTCCGAAGGCGAAGTCGTACTGCTGACTGTACAGAGGTGTGACAACAGTAAGGTGTTTGCTTCAGACAACCAGCATGACAGCGATGCTGCATTCTCACAAGGAGGGGTGGGGTTAGAAAATGTCGACCCTTAAAATGCACACCTCGCCTAATCCCACGGATATCCGTCTCCGGCGGTAAGGTCTCGACAAGTACGGAGCTAACACAAAAATTACCCATAAGAAGGTCGTGTGTGACCGACCTCATGCAGTTGTCCCTTGGGCACTGCGGTCACGCTTCCAGGTCACTAAGACCACTTCTAATCCAATTTCCTTTTCAGGTACCTCCAGAAGAACCTTTCCACAGTGTGGGCAACCGGGAAGTGATAACCACCGTCATACCTCTAACAGCATTCAAGACCACTGTATTCATGGTCAACCTCCATCTTCACTTCCTATTATTGCTCCTACATTGACTTTCACCTCTAAACTTCCTTTTTCGATCTCCCCCTCAAGTGTCACCATAGCCAACGATTCTAGTGCTCAAAACACTGTCCCAGGTCTACTGAAACCTCGCTCCAAACTACATATTGGAGTCTTCAACGTACGCACCCTATGCCAAATTGGTCAGCAGGCTTCCTTGGCTAAAACCCTAGAGTCTCGTACCATTGATGTATGCTGTGTTTCTGAAACACGCATACAGGATTCCAGCGTGGTCATTCACTTGACCGCAAAACGGAGAGCCAACGAGATACACCCTTTGTGTATCTGGTGACCCGATGGCCAGTTCTCGTGGACTGGCAGGTGTAGGTATGGCACTAAGCATGAGGGTGGAACAAGCACTGCTAGAGTGGATCCCCGTCAACAGTCGTCTATGCGCTGTCCGGTTAAACGGCTACGTAAGAACTCGGAAGGATAGGGACACACATGGCGACCCCCTACACCAAACCAACGATGGACTCAAATAGACCATATTGCCATCAGTCATCGTTGGAGAGGGTCGGTAGAAGATTGTCACTCATTCTGGAGTACCTGTTTGGACTCCGACCACGACCTAATACGGGCACGCATCTGCTTGCGCCTCACTGGACGCAAAAAAGCCACAGTAATAAAACCTATTAGAACTGAATTTAGTAGCGAGAAAACCAAAGTTAGGTTCCAGGAACAACTCAGGTCACACTTAGGCAGTTCTGAAAACGAGGTTGACCCAGATGTTGCTTGGAAAGCTATACAATCAGCTGTGGAAACAGCAGTGACTTAGTGACTTAAACCACAGAATTACACTGAACCAATGGATTTCTTCAAAGTCTATCACACTGATGGATTCTCGCAAACTCGTCCCATCAGGTTCCGAACATGATGAAGAGCGACAACAAATCAGATCTAGGTTAAGAAAAAGTCTAAGAAACGACCGTGAGCAGTGGTGGGCAACGAAAGCGAAAGAGATGGAAAAGGCGGCGGCTATAGGGAACACAAGACAGCTCTACAGACTAATAAAAGAAACTGGAATTAATAAGTCAAGTGTAAGTGAGATTATTTCGGAAAAAGACGACACTCTCATCTGCTCCCAGTCCAGACGTTTAGAACGATGGGCGGAACACTTTAGGGAACAGTTCAACTGGCCTTCAGCGACTCTACAACTACCGTCCATTCCCAGACAGTGTGAATGGAACATTGAAGTAGGTCCCCCAACTCTTGCTGAAGTTCAAAAGGCTATAGATAATCTGAAACGAGGAAGAGCAGCTGGTCCAGATGGATTGACTCCAAAGGTCTTTAAGGATGGTGGTCCAATTTTAGCTATTAGGTTGACTAATATTTTAGCTAAGATCTGGGAGTTAGACGTTATTCCATCACTTATCGTCCCAATATATAAGAGAGGGTTAAAATCATCCTGTGACAACCATAGAGGGATTAGTTTAACTAATATATTATCTAAAATACTAGCCTCGATAATTATCAGACGCCTAACTAAGACTCGTGAAATGCAAACACGAGAGAATCAAGCTGGCTTCAGACCTGGTCGTGGCTGCATCGACCACATATTCACCATTCGTCAGGTTCTAGAACACAGGCATACTTATCGGCGTCCGACGATGGTGGTCTTTCTTGACTTAAAGGCAGCATTTGACTCGGTAGACCGCGAGATTCTGTGGCAGTGTCTGTCATTGAAAGGCGTACCCCAGAAGTACATAGACCTTGTGAAGGCTCTTTACTCGAACACTACTAGTCGAGTGAGAGCTTATGGCGAACTGTCATCTGGTTTTACAACCTCAAGTAGTGTCCGTCAAGGCTGTCCACTTTCTCCATTTTTGTTTGACCTCATCATAGACCTATTGATGGAAATAACATTCTCGGGTATTGATCTCCTTCCAGGAGGTCCACTTATCGACTTAGAATACGCAGATGATATAGTCCTGTTTGGTGAAGACGCTGATAAAATACAGAGTCTTTTGATAGCACTAAGCAACAATGCCAGAATGTTTGGAATGCGCTCCTCTCCCTCTAAATGAAAGTTGTTGCTTCAGGACTGGCCTGCGTCAACACCTGAACTAAGGATAGGGAGTGAAGTAGTCGAACGCGTCGACAACTTCACTTATCTTGGAAGTCTGACCAGCCCTAATGGGTTGGTGTCTAACGAAATCTCAGCACGGATTCGAAAATATCGTATGGCTTTTGTCAACTTACGTCACCTCTGGCGAAAACGAGATATTCGTCTATCAATAAACGGACGAGTATACTGCGCTGCAGTCCGTTCTGTTTTAATTTACGGCAGCGAAACATTAAGAGTAGAAGACATTCGTAAGCTATTAGTATTTGACCACAGATGCCTTAGAAATATTGCTGGCGTCTGCTGGGATAACCGGGTAAGTAATAGCGAGGTTCGATGCAGAGTATTAGGAAATGATGGTAAATCAGTTGATGAGGTTATGAATCTTCATCGACTGAGATGGTTGGGCCACGTGTTACGTATGTCCGAACACCGATTACCACGACGTGCAATGCTAACTGGTGTTGGAGATGATTGGAAGGAAGTTAGGGGCAGCTAAACCAAAACGCGGCATCAGTCCTTGAAGTCACTAACTTCTAGTCTGAGCCATGTTGGTAGATGCAGACTACTTGGTTGGAGTTCGCGTGACTATCGTAACCAATGGTTGGAGACTAGTGGTGACATGGCTCAGAATCGATCACAATGGCGTAGGTGTATACACTCTCTATCTTCCCTTAAACTATGGGATTAAAATCACTTCATATCTTTCTTTCTATGAACTAATTCTTTCTTCCTGTACTACATCCTTATTGCAATCTTTCTCCTATATATTACCACTTTTTATCTAACCACTCCTATGAATCCGGTGTTCATCTTGCTGTGCTGATGCTGTATGGCAACCTGAACCGATGCATATATGTACCTGGTCCTACGTTGTAGCTGACTGACTGACTCTTAAAAGTATGAAATCAAAGAAAGTTACTATCTGAATAAAGCGAAATAAAGTAAATTAGCTGTGAAATATAAGTGAAACATTATGTAGTTCAGTATGGTTAATGATAATTGGCTCTCTTCAGAACCAAAACACGTATATCGGTTTCAGTTTTTTCAGAGTTTACATTCCTGTTTAGGGACTTGACTATTTCACCTGAAATTTCTCCAAATTCCTATCGAATATTCTCATCATGTTTAAGCAGCACTTGGCTGACATCATATGCTCACCGAATATCGAAGTACTTCGATATATGACATTTGTTGAAATCTTGCATTATAGTTATGTTTTATTACAGAGAACTATTATGAACAGTAGTTTTAGTGGATATATATTTTCTGTTTTTGGATCGATTTAAGGTTAAACGTCTCCTTACGTATCTGGCTTCTGAGCAAGCTGAGCGTGTCATAGGAGAACTAATGGTCGAAATGCAGGTTAGTCTTCATTGTTTGGTTTGTCCATACTTTATGTAAATTATCATCTATTATCGAAACAAGATATAGCTTTATATCTGATAATCTGATCACAAAATAATTGTTAGTGTAGTTGACACATATATATATATATATATATATATATATATATATATATATATATATATATATATATATATATATATATATATATAATATGGATCTCATTAAGTAGTTATACGTTTTCATACAATTAAAAATTTAAATTCGTATTTTATGTATATAAGTTTTTTTTTACTTTCAGACTATTGATGGTATTGGTCTAGTTGTTGAACCCATATCTAGTCTGCCATTCTTTCGAGTTAGTACTTCTACTCAACATCATCGTCAGTCAATCGAAAAACTAAAATCTCACGGATTTCAGTCATGCGTTCCAAATAATTCATCATCGAAGACTGCGAGCAATTCTAGTCAGAGAGTTAATGATCGTTTACTAGTTAATCAAGAAGGAATCGGACAACCAGATGATGAATTAGTTGCACTCGGTTTAGGTAGTAAACCTTGTTCTAACACAACGGCGCGAGTACGAACATTACATAGTGCTATTGGAGGAAGTTATGATTATCGCAATATCGATTTTAATTTGAATGTGAAGTAAGTTTTTTTTCTGTCTTATCTACCCATACTTTCATCATTATAAGGTATACATAATGAAAAATCTCTGAAGTTTTCGCTCAAAGAACCTAACAATTAGCTCTATTAATTGGTCAAATTAGTTGATGAAATCAGGGACCAGAGTATTCACTTAACAATTGCTTGTATTGGTCACCTTGAAAAGTGTATGCATTGTATCCATTCAAGTGTTTATATTTTTATACGTTGTATTTAAACCTTTGTTTTTTAATACCGTGGTGTCTTGTTTAAAAGTGTATATTTTTAAAATCATGTTTTGTGCTGTTTTTGTTTTCTGAAACAGGTCTCCTTCAAATGCAACAGTACGTCCAAAATCAGCTACATGTCAACCATCTACTGTCACTATATCTACTAATAGACCAAATCAACAAACTACCTTAAATGAAAGTAGAATACAGTTTACAACAATATCATCCACTTCAAAAGATAATAACAATTGTCACAGCTCTTCTGAATCACCACAATCAGAGAAATCCCGTGAATCAGCAGCAGCTATATCTAACTACCAGCTAGTTGAAGGAAGTGATGGAGAGCCAGAAATAGATCTTGATTCATTTGAAGGTAAGTAAATGTTATACTCAAACAAACTTAATCATTTATGCGATTGTTACTGTTTACCAATTTAACCCCTCATACTGAAGGAATCGAGTGATAGCTCGGTAATGGGATTACTCTACTCCACCTCGCATGCACTTTTATTTGAGTATCCGTACAATATCACTAATCCTCATTCATGAAATATTTGAAGATGAATGCTAAATCACATTGTTCTCCTACTTAGTTCTCCAAAACTTGAGCGCTAACCTTTTACAAAATATTTTGTTTCCTTGAATAAACTGATCCATCCAATTGTTGCTTGATATGTGCCGATGATTGTGACTTACACTATGGAAGAATATATCTTCTTGGAAAACCTAAAAAAGAAGTGTATATGTACTGATCGTTTCGTCAACTTGGAAACGTGGCTATTAATTTTAATGGATAACTACTTGATCCCGATGTAGGAAGTAATTTCCTACAAATTCAATTCTAAACTAGTTTTAGCTTAACAAGAGTTTGAACAATTAAGCTGTTTAGCTTGATAAACTTGATCTGTTTCTAAAACGTAAATTAACAGTATACAAAACAATATCGTTCATGCTAAACATAAAATTATGATTATTATTACAATGTGGGTTTGTGGAGCTTATAGTCATTTTAATAGTTGAATTCATGAGTCAATGTAAGCTAGACCACCATTGAAAATCTGGAAGCACAGGACGTCCGTTTCGTCTTAGTATGGTACTCCCCAGCAGTGCGCATCCTCGACCTCACACGCGGGGCTCGGACCCATGATTGTTCAATAAGCAAAGCATAGTCATACAAGGTCAAATATAGTTAATATGGTGTCGGGCGTCTCCTGTTGTAATTGGTGGGTTCGCTTACCGATCACACTTTACACCCAACCATACCACTGTTTTACAAATATTTGTCATCAATTCTATATTTTGATTCCATCAGAAATCTGTGGAAGGAGGCAGTGAACTGTTTTTCCGAACGGTTTCTTCCCCTGTTTTTTTATGAGATGGTAAAATCGCCCGAAGCAGCTGTTATTAATGGTGAAGAATCTAACTATTGTTACGCAGAACTACATCCAACCGTATAACATCACCTAGCGTCACATTTACTGTTTGTTTCAAAATCTTGTCTTCATTCATATTGCTTCTCATTGTAGGACCTTAAAAAGGATTGTTTAGGTTAAGTCTTTTTGATCTGTATGTTAATACCACTAGGTCACACTGCCAATCACAGACAGGAGTTGTCGAGTTGTTAAGTTTGAGGGCAATCAAATTATTCTGTCTTTGTTTTTTTCATTCAGTTTCTTCCTTGTTCCCATTTTTAACGTTGTTTAACCATAGTGGATGAACATTCATAAGGTTTTTGGACTATATTTTATGTTTTTAAGAAACTTCACTTTCTCAAACTTTGTTTCCTAGGTTTCACTAAGTGTGGATCAAATTTGGATGATAAATATGCTACTCTGCGCGCTAAAGATATTGCAAATTTACTCACACTACCTAACCCGAAAGACTTGCAATCAAGTGATTCTGATTCTAATTGTGATATACCTAATCTATATAGGCGCGGCACAACATTTCCCATTATTTCTGATGCCTACGAACGATCTGTCTTTTCATCTGTGCCATCTAATCCACTGAATGAAACCAACTGTTTATCAACCGCTGGCAGAATTTCAAGACAGCCGAAATATTTAAAAGAATACAAAGAAAAACGATCTAGATGGTCTAACAATTCGAAAGTTGATGCTGTTGGATCATCGAGATTAGACCCTTTTCACCATTCAGCTTCATTGCCACCCAGTTTTGCTGCCCTCCCTCCACTACCTTTACCACTTCCTGCCAGCATTTCTTCCATCCTAAGTCTTTCCTCAAGAGGATCTACAGGATCTAACACATGTATATTGTCGATATCTCCTGTCACTGTTGATAGAAAAAGCACTACCAGTTCTGATAAATCGGATATTAAGCCTTGTGTACGTAGAAGTTCGAACGTGGAAGTAAGCCATTTGAGCAACAGATCATACCTTGACTACAATTGTAAGCCACTCCCTATGCCTGCAAATGGAGGCTATCAAGCCCCTCTTGGTTTATGGTTGTCTGAACCTTTGGTAATTGGTGGGTCAGTTGTTTTCAGTGGTAGTTGGCCTCCTGCAGGACCTAGGGCACCTTTAGTTCTAATATTGGCCGGTGGTTTAACTCAGTCAAGAGATATTCACGTAGATTGGAGTGAACATCTACCTTTAATGCTTCTTGGTGTATTTCTTGGTAAGTTACTTCTTTTTTCTCTTACATAATCTTTCCTGCTTTCTGTTTTGTTAAGAGTTTAGGTGCATTTCTATTTCTCTCTATTCTCCATTTAAAGAATCCTTAGATTTTGTCAGGTAACTAACTCAGTCATTAATTGGAGATCATTTACTATTCAAATACTGTTTGTCGGTTAGTGTTGAAAACATATGGCATAAATTTAAAAAATGTCACTCATTGTGTCATTATTGTTAAATAGCCAGTGAGGGTAAATTATATCGAAAGCACATGCGTCTTAAAAAATATATCTTCATTAGGTAGTTCTGTTTATAGACATAACATAATTACAGAAGTAATCGAAATGATAATTTAAACAATTTCCTTGGTACATGTACATACTTGAGATTTCTCTGTTACAATTAATATGTTAAATAGTCTTCATTTATTGTAATTTTGTTTTTCGCTGTGATTGCAAGGTAAATAGTTTGGGTTTTTTGCCATGACCTACTCAGAAAACATCTATCTCCTTCGTTACCTACATATAGTAATAAAGTTTTTAAAAGCCTCATTTCGATATATATGATTAACCCTTGCATTTCGAATGTACTTCTAGCTCTTATAATTTAATTCTGAGTAGTAAATGATAATCATTGAATTGTTATTCAGTTTTCACACTGGAATGTTCAGATATGGTTAACAAATTAATATGGAAAAACATCTATACATTTCTATGAAATTACTTATTATTATTTTGTTATTGTTATTGTGTCAGTGATAATAAACGTGTTTTAAAATGTTTCTAGGCGCCTATTATATCCACTTAAATTTCATTGGCCTAAGACTGTCGTAGTTCCATAGGTTTATTTTTTAACTCATTGGTTCACGTATTTGATCATAAACCCATAAATTATCGCTCAGATAACTAGATGTTGTATTTCGATCCCATAATCAGCGTTTTTATTATTCCTATACCTATTCTTTTGCTTAATTACATTATTATTTTTAGTTTATCATTGTGTTGTCATGATGTTCAACCTTAATGAATAGGATTCGTCATCAGTAGTTTATGACTAGATATATTCCTACAAAAATTTGTACAATTTACTGTATTTTATTTTTCACTTAAATCCGTAGGTATTGACCACTGTCGTGCACTTGTACAAGAAGAATCTAAACACTTGCTAGTATCCTTGTTAGATCAAGTGTGTCCACACCATGATATTCTTCGTTTGTTACGACTTGAATTAGAAGCCAATCTTCATCGTCTTGCTTATCCCTCTGGTTTTCCTGGTCCTCGTGTTCAAGACTATCGTTTAACGTTAGATGGTGGGCCATATCGTGTGAGTTTAGCTAAACTGACGTTCTAGTGGATCGCATTAATTCATTGCAGTAATTGAAACTAAGTGTTTTGTTTAACAATAAATGTTTGGTTTTCTAGCTTCAAGAACTTATACATGACCAACGCTCCAAAGCATACAATATTCACTATATATCTCAGTGTTGGAGAACAAAGAAATCAAATGTGATCAGATCAGAATTTGGTCATTTTCTCTATATGCTAATGTGCAACGTTAATGAATTTCCTCAACGGAATCTTGAACTAGACATGTTAACAAAATGTACTTATTGACTGAAAGTTTTGATGATCATTCATCTTGCAACTAGGATCCATGATGCTATATAGCAACCTAAACTGATACGTATTCATGTGTCCTAGGACTTATATTGTGCTTGACTGACTGATATAACCAATATGCTTGATGACGTATCACCAAGCCGTTTTGGCATAAGTGAATGGAGGGCTTTCATCAAACATGAGCATGAATCTGTTTTGTTTTTGGTTGAAGGATATAGAAACTACTTCGTTCTCTTCAAATAAATAAGCTGTAGACGTGATGACATTCTGAACTGTTAAAAAAATTTACGAAAAAAATTATTTTGTTATAGATTGATTTGTTTACTTTATCTTAGTGGATGAAAAAATATCGAACGTATAAAGGAGATAGTGTTATGGTCATATGGGACGATGTCAAAATATTTAGCGATAACAATGACTGACTGAATGAGGTATATGTGAATGATTTTGTAATCATATGTATTGTCTGATACGATATTCACTCGTGTTGTATTTTCTGTTTATTGAATTACAGGAAAAGTTCAGCATGGTCATTAATCCCTTCGATTCTATTGAAAGGGATCAGTTGTTTCCTTCACCACTCGTTTCTTGTACAACCACTAAGCATGATGGAAATAGTGACTTCAAGAGTAGGTCGCCAGCTGAAGATGAAGATATTCTACAAACGACATCATCTGATCTAATACCACTGAAAGATATTAATGTTACGACTAGCTCAGCTGCCAGTCCTTCTTCACCTAGCATTAGTCCACCAATAGTTGAAAATTTTCAAACCCATCCAACTCTATTAACCAACCAAGGTCGATTGAGTGGTTCAATGTTTAGTCTTACTAGTACTGCAACTTTAATTCCACGTCATCATGAAAGTAATCTCTTTGAATCACACGGTTGCAATGACTCAATAATACCTAAACGCAATTCAGTCTGTTATAACTTAAATCCAAATAATTCAGAGAAGGAAGTTTTACGTAATAAAACACTTACAAGTGCTGTTAGACCTTCATCTGTTTATTCTAAATCACGGTCTTCAAAATCTATGGCTTCGAACTGTGTCCCATTCAATAACCATTGTTCATTAAGAATTGAGAAAACTAAGAGAATTAAAAAATCTGATCTTAAACTATTAGAAGAAGCTGTTCAACAGCTTAAAAGTTTACTTTTGAATAGGTAAGTCAATATTATGTATAATTCAGCGTTTAAATAATTTTAGTATAGTTTGTGAAAAGGGATATATACTACTTATAGTTAAAGTATTGTGTTTTAAGTTCATCATACTATTCATGCATCTATCTTTAAAAGGCAAGATATTATTATTTTCGTGTTTCACAAAATATCATTTGACGTTTAATTTTAATATTTTAGTTGTGGACAAGCTATATGGACGTGGGAAGATTTTAACATACAACACAATTCTTTTAGTACCACATTTCAGTATTCTTATCAAAATGAATTTCATCAGATTATTAACAGCGAGAAAGTAGAAAATAAAGAGTCAGTTATAAAATCAATGACTAATGTTAACTCTTTGGAACAACTTGTTAAACTTGTTGCTCGTATACTAGCCTTATCTGAAGCTGGTTCTGAACAGGCTGAAAAATGTTTGCAGTGCTTACATGGTCCACCACATGATCATAATAGCCAGAGTTTAACTTTTGCAGATGATGATTACAAAGATACGATTATTGATCATTCAAATTATTGTATGGTTGCACGTTTATCTCGAATTGCTTTGAATACTGGTTTATCGTGTCCTAGTCGACATCTTGCTAGTCGTTCTTTACAAATTCACCGTGCTCTTGGTGGTCATTTAGACAAGAAATCTTTTTCGCAATTGTTAGCTAGATTAGGTGAAACAGTATCTGATGGGAGTGAAGAAATACAGGTAATTGTATTGTATGGATTTTGTTTCAGTCATCATTACGATGTTTTAGCACGTACATATTTGTTTAGAGTAATTTACACTTCTGAAACGTATACACCTATCATCCCCAATAAAGTTCACAATTATTAGTTAGAGTTTGTAGTACTATGAAGATAGTTATACTTCTAAAAATAATAATTATTGTATATTGTATTAAGGTATTGTAAGTATTTGTATTTCGCAACGGTTTGTCTAAAGACGTTGAGTATGACGAAGAAGTTGAATATGTTTAAAGAGATTTACGTTGCTGTTTAATAAAGGGCTTCATGAAAACGTATTATTGCTAATTACAATTCATAGCAGGAAGAGAAAGCAAAGTCACTAGTAATAAAAGTCACCCTCAATTCCGACGGGACTAGGAAACACTTTTGAAGAAAAATAAGAGGGAACAAAATTCTCTAGTGCTCTTAGAATGCTCAAGGTTATTGTCATTTAATTTTACATTAGAATTCGGTTTAACAATATGAGTTGCACAATGTTCTGGAAACAAGGATTTTTTGGGCTTAGTTACCTGTTTAGAAGCGTCAAATCACAGTTGTAGTCTATTTACTACTTGATGATATAGGTTTTCTCTCATGGTTCAGCCTTTCTGACACATTTGTATAATTAAAAATACATAAATTACCCACTCTTTGGTCGATGGTTTAAAAAAAATACGTTGGTACATGTTATTTATTTGACGATATTTTTTCTTAGACAGTTACCGTAGTTATTCTGCAGTATATGATACATTTGTTTTTTCAACACGTATACACTGTGTTAAGTAGTAAAACATCCTAGATTAACCGTTATAGTAACACGTGTTGGAAAACATTTTACATATACAACCTGATCATATTTGATGTGAAACTCAGACTAAATAGTCAAACCAGTCTTTCCAATTGCAATTATAATGGTAAAAACAGAAACCATACAGTAAGTTTCAGCGAGTTAGAAACCTGTTATTTGAAACTTGATTGCTAGACATATCTACAATCTCTTGTAAAAAAAACCAATACGTCATACTTGTTAGATAAATTATGCCTATCGTGACTCGGTGGATAATATTAAGGTATTATAAGCGATGGTTACTTTGTTTCGGCGTTAGTTGGGCACATCAACACAGAGGTTTAAGGTGCATCCCATTGACGATTTCGAAATAGAATCAAATTTAATTTATGTATTCTTTTATTGTCCACTATTAACAATGTCATCAACATTCGATTTCAGGCAATATCGAAACATCCAGTCATAAAGCTTTAATTCAAATAGAAAGAGATTGATACAGTTTTAACTACTACATACCGTTAAATATAAACCCATACAACATAAATAACTTGGAATTTGGTCTGTTTTCTCTTTTTAAATTTGTTTTTTTTACGAGATTAAACTATGTTAACTCCATTATAATTCCAATATTTTTAATTCACGTGCTCTTTAGGGTTATGTCGCTGAACTTTTCCTCACACAAGAAGCAGCTATTCATCATTTGAAATCAAAAAGTGATAGTTTGCTGGAATCTGCGTCTTATTTTACCTCTGAACCTACCTCACCATCATCTAGTTCACTTAATGGGAGTGGACGTAAATCAGTACAAAATATAGTTTCAATATCAGATCGTCGTCATTTTCATCGTCATTCAAAATCTTCATCTTTAATTGGAAATCGGCCATGTCATTTAAGTTCTGTTATGCCTATCAATGATTGTGGTTTATCTAAATTAACTCAATCAACCTCTCCAAATTTGGAGTATACATCATCAACCTTATCATTTCCTTCGGATTCTAAGTAAGAGCTTGTCCTTTAGTCATTATTAAGGTTGAAATAATGTTCTTAATGTTTTACTTAGTTTTCCATCCATTGAATCGCTTTTACAAATATGTTCGTTTTAAATAGATAAAGTAAATAAATATGATAAAACGATCAGTGAATACAAACAACTTGAAACAGTATTACTGTTTGGTTAGTCGGAGATGAATATGCTCAATATATCCATCATTTTCTTCAATGTAATGCAGTTGCTAGATCACATTCTCCTCTTCTGTTATGCCGTAGAACTTTCAACCTTTTGGTTTTATTACTACACTTAGCTACTCAGTGTAAAGCGATTCACTTATATATTTGAACTACCGAAATCATTTTTAACCTACTGAATTCGAAATAATTTCTTTCTTTATAATAACATAGTACTTCTATTGACCTTTTTTCTTTGGTAGTCACTTAACAAAAATATCTGGTACTTCAAATACATCTACACCTAAGCCAAATAATAACAACACTAATAATATATGCCTGTTACCTCCAGAAGAACGTGCTGATCTGATTATTGGAATCTTTTGGACCGGTGTTTTACTCCTGGAATCAGATTTTGAACATGAATATTTGGTTGGTTTAAAACTCTTAAATTTAGTTATTCCGAGTGTTTGCACATCAAATTTAAGCCAATCATCCAACTGTTCGAAAATAAATTTGAGTGATAGGGCACAAAAGATGCTTAACCAATTACAATGGAATCCATGTTTTCCTGGAATACTTAGTTTGGTGATTAAAGTAAGTTATGTTATTACTTCATTATTAATGTTTTCAATACATTATCTTTTCATTTGTCAGGATTATTTTCTTTTAACAAGAGTGTCTTCGAAAGCATATTATTTTATATGTTGAAATTGGAATCACTTTTAAAAATACCACAATTTGTCCACTAGGCATATCTTTTCCAACTCGTATTAGTTATCGCTATAGTATCTACTTTTTTTGTTGTTGATTTGTTCAATGAGTTTATTCAATTGCGGTTGACGTATGGGTATTTTGAATAGATCTTCAGCATTGCATGTTTTCACATCTTGATTTTGGCACCGATTTTTTCATTGCCATCTTAAACACAAAATTGGTGGCTATCATCCCTGTCTGAACTGTTATTAAACTGTAGAGTTAATGTGTACTGATTTACCACATCGTAGCTGTATTGTTACAATGGAAATTACATGATTAGTTACTTTTTTTGGTGGCCTGAGATCTGACTTCAGGTAGATGGTTTCTGATTGTTATTGAAACACATTCCGCCATTACTCGTATAAAATTATCGACTTAACTCGCGTTAGTGAATAACAAAATTAAATAAGTCAAATATTGGAATAAAGTTTGAATACATACATTTCATACAATCGTTGATGTGAACAGACAATCAAGGAGACGGTGTGAATATGAGAGAGAAGCGAAACGAAATGATGCGCGGTGAGGAGGGTATGTGAGCCAATTCGATTTAACCAAGCTTGAATCGATATTTATATTCAGACAAAAATAAGTTACAGACATGTGATGAGTAGGATAAGCAATGCACACACATACACATAAAATCAGTCACGGTTGATAAGTGAATACTTAAGCCGGTCAAAATGTGACTCAAGAAGAATGAATAAATTGGCCTGTCCGATTGCTATAATAAGATATATGTGCTTGACATAGCAATCGACACTACACTTTAATAACAATGTGATGCGTTGTCAGTAAAATAAAACTACCTTAAAGATGAAACAGTTGACAAATATTCATTGCCATTTTGATTATTAATAATGAATTACATTTTTCACAAAATAACTTCATAATGAGCACTATTCGTGTTTATATAATTTCTATTATTTTGCCCATTGTTTTTTATTGTAATGTTCTCGCTGTAATTTATTTTGTTCAGAGTACATCTATTTACTGTTTTTTCTCTTACTTTAATACAGGGTTGTTCTTCACCAAATCTTGTGGATCAGTCTTGTCGATTACTCGTATCATTAATCCCGTTTCTCACTCATCCTCTGATAGTACCAACTGGACGTATGGGGTTATCTATTCAATTATCATTTCCTATTGTTCTTCTTACTCTTATGCCTATGTTAATAACCGCTTGGGATGAAGATCCATCTACATCAGTCCCTGTAAACCCATGTGATACTAATGCTGAACAACTTAGTTTCCTACAGGGTGGTTTTCTAGGTAGAGGTATATGTGGATCGTCAAATGTTATTCCTCGAGCACTTGGTTCATGGACGTCGTGTTTTTGTACTCCATACACGGCGTATACGAATCCAAACATAGCATCTAATTCGAAACTAAGGACAGACAGTATCGGGCTGTTTGGTAATTGTCCATCAAACAGCCTTGGCACTTTCAGTGCTCATGAATTAACGTTGAACTTAAACTCAATAGCTACAGGAAGCACTAGTCGCGACACGCAATTGAATTCGAAATCACCAATTTTACGACCAAAGAACCCTATTTGTATTCAGGTATGTCCAATTTAAACGATATACTATTCCTATCCCCTTATGTTACTGAATTGGATAATTGTTTTCGGCATCACTCGTTCTAAATTCACACAATTGGATGTATTGAACAATTGTTCACTTCGATTCTCAAAATCGTTGATAATTATTACCCAACGTAAAAGTTACAGGATTGTGAATTTTTATATGGTTTCAGGCAGTAAAACTGACTTTATCGGTTAAAACTTTCACCATAATCAGTTCAAGACATATCACAATTTATCTATTTATATCATGTATATCATTTCCCAACCGTTGTTGCTACCTTGACGTGGTGGTTGGGCTTGCCTATCGTGATGAAGCAACCGAGCTATACTGGCTGGAACAACCGTTCCTCAAGGTCCTACCATGTCAGACAGGTCGGTTGAAGAGCGGTAAGACTAAAAGCAACAAACCTAAGGTCCGAAGGCGAAGTCGTACTGCTGACTGTACAGAGGTGTGACAACAGTAAGGTGTTTGCTTCAGACAACCAGCATGACAGCGATGCTGCATTCTCACAAGGAGGGGTGGGGTTAGAAAATGTCGACCCTTAAAATGCACACCTCGCCTAATCCCACGGATATCCGTCTCCGGCGGTAAGGTCTCGACAAGTACGGAGCTAACACAAAAATTACCCATAAGAAGGTCGTGTGTGACCGACCTCATGCAGTTGTCCCTTGGGCACTGCGGTCACGCTTCCAGGTCACTAAGACCACTTCTAATCCAATTTCCTTTTCAGGTACCTCCAGAAGAACCTTTCCACAGTGTGGGCAACCGGGAAGTGATAACCACCGTCATACCTCTAACAGCATTCAAGACCACTGTATTCATGGTCAACCTCCATCTTCACTTCCTATTATTGCTCCTACATTGACTTTCACCTCTAAACTTCCTTTTTCGATCTCCCCCTCAAGTGTCACCATAGCCAACGATTCTAGTGCTCAAAACACTGTCCCAGGTCTACTGAAACCTCGCTCCAAACTACATATTGGAGTCTTCAACGTACGCACCCTATGCCAAATTGGTCAGCAGGCTTCCTTGGCTAAAACCCTAGAGTCTCGTACCATTGATGTATGCTGTGTTTCTGAAACACGCATACAGGATTCCAGCGTGGTCATTCACTTGACCGCAAAACGGAGAGCCAACGAGATACACCCTTTGTGTATCTGGTGACCCGATGGCCAGTTCTCGTGGACTGGCAGGTGTAGGTATGGCACTAAGCATGAGGGTGGAACAAGCACTGCTAGAGTGGATCCCCGTCAACAGTCGTCTATGCGCTGTCCGGTTAAACGGCTACGTAAGAACTCGGAAGGATAGGGACACACATGGCGACCCCCTACACCAAACCAACGATGGACTCAAATAGACCATATTGCCATCCGTCATCGTTGGAGAGGGTCGGTAGAAGATTGTCACTCATTCTGGAGTACCTGTTTGGACTCCGACCACGACCTAATACGGGCACGCATCTGCTTGCGCCTCACTGGACGCAAAAAAGCCACAGTAATAAAACCTATTAGAACTGAATTTAGTAGCGAGAAAACCAAAGTTAGGTTCCAGGAACAACTCAGGTCACACTTAGGCAGTTCTGAAAACGAGGTTGACCCAGATGTTGCTTGGAAAGCTATACAATCAGCTGTGGAAACAGCAGTGACTTAGTGACTTAAACCACAGAATTACACTGAACCAATGGATTTCTTCAAAGTCTATCACACTGATGGATTCTCGCAAACTCGTCCCATCAGGTTCCGAACATGATGAAGAGCGACAACAAATCAGATCTAGGTTAAGAAAAAGTCTAAGAAACGACCGTGAGCAGTGGTGGGCAACGAAAGCGAAAGAGATGGAAAAGGCGGCGGCTATAGGGAACACAAGACAGCTCTACAGACTAATAAAAGAAACTGGAATTAATAAGTCAAGTGTAAGTGAGATTATTTCGGAAAAAGACGACACTCTCATCTGCTCCCAGTCCAGACGTTTAGAACGATGGGCGGAACACTTTAGGGAACAGTTCAACTGGCCTTCAGCGACTCTACAACTACCGTCCATTCCCAGACAGTGTGAATGGAACATTGAAGTAGGTCCCCCAACTCTTGCTGAAGTTCAAAAGGCTATAGATAATCTGAAACGAGGAAGAGCAGCTGGTCCAGATGGATTGACTCCAAAGGTCTTTAAGGATGGTGGTCCAATTTTAGCTATTAGGTTGACTAATATTTTAGCTAAGATCTGGGAGTTAGACGTTATTCCATCACTTATCGTCCCAATATATAAGAGAGGGTTAAAATCATCCTGTGACAACCATAGAGGGATTAGTTTAACTAATATATTATCTAAAATACTAGCCTCGATAATTATCAGACGCCTAACTAAGACTCGTGAAATGCAAACACGAGAGAATCAAGCTGGCTTCAGACCTGGTCGTGGCTGCATCGACCACATATTCACCATTCGTCAGGTTCTAGAACACAGGCATACTTATCGGCGTCCGACGATGGTGGTCTTTCTTGACTTAAAGGCAGCATTTGACTCGGTAGACCGCGAGATTCTGTGGCAGTGTCTGTCATTGAAAGGCGTACCCCAGAAGTACATAGACCTTGTGAAGGCTCTTTACTCGAACACTACTAGTCGAGTGAGAGCTTATGGCGAACTGTCATCTGGTTTTACAACCTCAAGTAGTGTCCGTCAAGGCTGTCCACTTTCTCCATTTTTGTTTGACCTCATCATAGACCTATTGATGGAAATAACATTCTCGGGTATTGATCTCCTTCCAGGAGGTCCACTTATCGACTTAGAATACGCAGATGATATAGTCCTGTTTGGTGAAGACGCTGATAAAATACAGAGTCTTTTGATAGCACTAAGCAACAATGCCAGAATGTTTGGAATGCGCTCCTCTCCCTCTAAATGAAAGTTGTTGCTTCAGGACTGGCCTGCGTCAACACCTGAACTAAGGATAGGGAGTGAAGTAGTCGAACGCGTCGACAACTTCACTTATCTTGGAAGTCTGACCAGCCCTAATGGGTTGGTGTCTAACGAAATCTCAGCACGGATTCGAAAATATCGTATGGCTTTTGTCAACTTACGTCACCTCTGGCGAAAACGAGATATTCGTCTATCAATAAACGGACGAGTATACTGCGCTGCAGTCCGTTCTGTTTTAATTTACGGCAGCGAAACATTAAGAGTAGAAGACATTCGTAAGCTATTAGTATTTGACCACAGATGCCTTAGAAATATTGCTGGCGTCTGCTGGGATAACCGGGTAAGTAATAGCGAGGTTCGATGCAGAGTATTAGGAAATGATGGTAAATCAGTTGATGAGGTTATGAATCTTCATCGACTGAGATGGTTGGGCCACGTGTTACGTATGTCCGAACACCGATTACCACGACGTGCAATGCTAACTGGTGTTGGAGATGGTTGGAAGGAAGTTAGGGGCAGCTAAACCAAAACGCGGCATCAGTCCTTGAAGTCACTAACTTCTAGTCTGAGCCATGTTGGTAGATGCAGACTACTTGGTTGGAGTTCGCGTGACTATCGTAACCAATGGTTGGAGACTAGTGTTGACATGGCTCAGAATCGATCACAATGGCGTAGGTGTATACACTCTCTGTCTTCCCTTAAACTATGGGATTAAAATCACTACATATCTTTCTTTCTATGAACTAATTCTTTCTTCCTGTACTATATCCTTATTGCAATCTTTTTTTAAATATATTACCATCTCTGAATTAACTACTCATGTGGATTTGGTGTTCATCTTGCTGTGCTGATGCGGTATGGCAACTTGGACTGATGCATATCTGTGCCCGGTCCTACGTTCTTGCTAACTGATGTATATCATTTCAATAGTTAGATGCTTTATCAACCTTGCCAACCATACCTCTTTTTATAACCTTGACTAACTATTCTCAACGTAATGAAATGTACTTTTTGAGTTCATATCTCGCCCTTTTACTATAAAGCCCTGTTACCGTCATCAGTGGGTGATACTGTAGTGAACAAGAAGAAGGGTGGGGACAAACGGATATATTTAGCACATCAATTGCAGTCTGTCTCAACAAATTCTTTATACCATATAATCAATCGTCAATTTGCAAAATATTAATGCATCTAACCAAACTGGACTGTTTCTGTTGCAAACACCAATCCATTGTCTCCTATTCCATTGTTCATGGATTTCCTTACAAATTCCAATGTGTTCTCGCTCTACCTTTCTTGATCTTCGCCATCTTCCGCTGCCAGACATTACGTTCCTTTAACGCACGCTATGTACTACTAATATCAATATAAGTAGCTCACACCACAATACCAATTGTAATCCTATATCTGTGGGAACAATTTAATCATACTTCTAATTTTACAGTATAACAGTGTATTTAAGTCAGATATTCAGATTCGGTATATAATATCTGATCAATAATATTGTGGTGTGTGCTGCTTATATTGATATAAGTAGTAGATGATGTTAGTCGTGAACAGAATGTCTGGCAGCAGAGAGACAAGAGGATCAATCTCTAAAGAATGGAAACAAAATGCAAAAACAATTAAGTCTGAGTCATTATGAGACAATTGATGAACATTTCGCAAATTACGTATTTACTATTTGATTATTAGATTTTATTAACATGTCCTGTAGTTTTGTGTCAAATACATTCGATTGTCCCCACCCGTGTTCTTGTTCACTACAGTATGAGATAAAAAATTTACAGTGACATTAATGCTAGGATGTTGATGGGACGAGCAAAACCACTACTGATTTACAAATACTTTTATTTAGTTAGCTTAATAGTCACTAGTAATGACCAAATGTCGTCCATGTATTGCAGTATGTTTATTCGTTGAATACTTTAAAAGCCTGTAATTATTAAGAATAAAGGCATGGGAAAGAGTGAGATTCTCACACTTATCATATGTGATATACAATGATTTTTCTGTTTTGATTTAATGCTCAACTTATTTTGGCTTATAAATAATTTTAATCGGTTTGACGTTTTACACATAAATTGTGCATCAGGATGAAATCTGAGGAAGATTGAAGTTAAAACAATGTTGTTAGCATATAATTCCTATTGTAATCAAATTTATGTTCTACTATTATAGGCCGCCGAATCACTTGCTCAGGCTGCATTAAAAACTGATCCAATCCAATTTACAAATCTAGCACTGATTCTCCGTCTTTATGCTTCTGGTAGTTTTTCCAAGGACGTTGATCAATGGAGTCGATGTGTTATATGCTATTTATTAGAAGGTTGTAGCTCAAATATATCACGTTTGCTGAAACATATCAACATGGTGAGGACATATTTAATCTACTTACTTTTATTTCGTTTAAAAATTACTTTCTTTTAACATATTAATGAGAATTTTTCCACTCATCGTGTGGTGTATGCTACTTGTGTCGACAGATATAAATGGTATGTAACACCAATCGGAAAATGAAGAGAAAGCAGAAATGGACATAGAAAAGAATTGTAACTTAGAAGAATCATGCAGAATTTGAAGGACAAATGATAGAATTTTGTAAATTAAGTATTCAATATGTGGTTCTCATATTTTACCAGGAGATCCTATAATTTTGAACTAAAATGCATTTGGTTGTCTCCACCTGTTTGTTCGTTCATTACAATCAGGATATAACAAAAAAATTGATAAGTCTTGTCAATTGAACGCTATACTTGTTCCTAAGCTATTCCGGTAACACCAGAGAGAAGACACAAGTATGAGAGGAAATACTTTATCCCAAGGTTCATTTTTGTACAGAAAATCATGGGTATTTATAGATGTTGGCGTCTGTTAAATCAACATCATTTTACAGCCAATCCGATAGTAGCACGCCACGTTGGAATTCTAGAACGTTCCATCATACTCTGATTGACTAGGACTCTTCGGCTCCTTTTGGGCCTCTGAAGGCTCCGTTGAAGTTCTCCGGAAGCCGACCCAACACGTCCCCCGAATAAGATTTCTTTCTGGGATCTACTTGTAGTTTGATAACTGGGTTGCGACGGCGTCCCATTATTCTTGTCGTCTTCCTTGTCCAAGGCTTCTTTTCAGTGTTCCTGGGCGTTTGTGGCATTGGTGCGTCTAAGATTGAATCTAACGGGAAAATCAACCGGTCACTTTGAGTATGCACCGTTCTTTTGTCTTTAATGATTTGATTTGTGTGACGTACACACGTCTCATAAGCTCCTCGAACTCTGTACAGTACTCTTCCCAGTTTTTGTATAACTTCTCCCGGCTCCCATCGGTTGTTCCCGATGAAGGATTTAATGTAAACTTTGTCGCCAACATTGAAGTTCCGGATACTTGGATCGTGACTACGCTCATCCTTTAGTTTGGATGGTAATATGGCATCGAAGACGGTTCGAATACGCCTTCCAAACATGGCTTCCGCAAGAGATTTACCGTCTGGGTCATTCGGGTTCGGGGTGGATCTGTAGGGTGTTGAACATTTTGTGATCACCTGCCCAGTTGTCCCTTCTCCTTCCCCTTTCAGTAGTGCTCTTTTGCATGTATCCACTGAGTTTTTCTCATCATCTTTCGACGGACTGACGTTGTTGCAGATCGAGTTTATGAGGCGGTCTGTTAACTTTAATCTTTCTATCCAATCAAGCCCCAATAAATCGAGTGATGGACGGTTTGTCAGAAACATTACACCCTTCTCCGTGGAATCTTTGACTGTGACTTCACAATGAACCTCACCAGCTATATTTAGAATTCCTCTGGATGCACTATGTGCTAATTGATGAGTTGAATATATTTTCGGTATCCCAATTTTCTCCCACGTTTTCCTGCTTATAAGCGTTATGTCAGAGGCTGTATCTAACTGTAAGCGGGCATCATACCCATTAATCTTGAGAGACACATACTTTCTACGGTCATGGGAGCCAGCTTTGTGAAGAGCTACCGTTACTTTAGCTGTTTGTGGTTTGAATCTCGTAGAACACTCTTTCGGTTGGTGGCGTTTTCGGGTTTTGCAATGGCTTTCTTTGTGCCCTTTTTGGAACACACTGTACAACGATGCTTTCTAAACGGACAAAACCTTTTGAAGTGCCAACCGCCACATAACCAGCATGGGGACGATAGTTTGTTGCTTTCATTATGATAATTCTGAGTGCTGGAACCTTGTGGGACTTTCTTCTCAACTGCATTGATATGACGGAACTGGTTGCCGTTCTCTACCATCGAGGTATCATGTTTCAGATTCACTAACCTTTGGCATTCGGTAGCTGCTTCTTGCAGTGTCATGTTGGGGCAGTGTTCTAGTTTGCTTAGGATTCTCGTTCGGATGTCAGCATCCTCGGGTGAACGCAGGCTACAGATAAACACTAGGCATTTGAATTGGTCTTCAGTTATGAAAGACAATCTGAACCTTTCACATTCTCGATTCACAATTCCTGCATGCTTCACCCAGTCATCTCCTGATTCTTTCGTTATTTTCAAGCATTGATAACGAATATCAAATAGAGATGATTGTTCTCCGAAGATTTGGGACAGGGTTTTGACTGTATCATCGAAACTAAAATCTCGTGGATTCTTCGGAAGAATGAAGTTGCTATAGTGTTCATGTTCCATAGTCCCAAGTTTTCTAAGAAGTATTCTGACTTTTGAAGCATCATCCAGTTTGCAAAGATCAATATAAAACAAATCTTCATACTTCTTAAACCACGACTCGAAAGTTACACCTGCTACACCATCAAAATTAAATTCATGAATGGCGTTAATGACTGAATCAGTATGTGATACTTGAGATTCACTAGAAGCAGGGTTTTGCTGGGACAGGCAGAATTTCTGCATCAGGGTTTCCATGATTCTAATTTGGGACTCTTCAAACCTCTTTTCTTGACGTACCATATAGGCTTCTAATTGCTCCAAGGAAATATTCATTGTAGTTTTCATCCCCGTCGCCACTGATAAGTCTTGTCAATTGAACGCTATACTTGATCCTAAGCTATTCCGGTAACACCAGAGAGAAGACACAAGTATGAGAGGAAATACTTTATCCCAAGGTTCATTTTTGTACAGAAAATCATGGGTATTTATAGATGTTGGCGTCTGTTAAATCAACATCATTTTACAACCAATCCGATAGTAGCACGCCACGTTGGAATTCTAGAACGTTCCATCATACTCTGATTGACTAGGACTCTTCGGCTCCTTTTGGGCCTCTGAAGGCTCCGTTGAAGTTCTCCGGAACCTGACCCAACAAAAAGATTTATTAATTAAGGTTTTTTGAAACTTGGTCTATTGTCATAAGTTGATTAATATTATCTCACATCATGAAGCTTATTTGAAAATGATGTCGAAATAGACATGGTAATCTGTGTCTTAATGAAGCTATCCACTTTATCAGTACAGTAGTATTACTGTCTTCTTTATATTTCATGCGGAGCTAATTTCCTGCTTCAATATTTTTATTAACTAAAAAATATGAAATTACTATGAACTCTTGTATTTCAACTATATATCATAATAGACCTTGATTGTAATTGCAAATACTTTTAACTGTCACACAGTGAAAAATGTTTCCTTTTTCAAATAGTCCTTTCATGATTATCTACTTTCCCCCTTACTTTTTATTTTTGATACATCCATGTGTTTTACAGGTTCAAATAAAGTACGTTCCTTATTCGTAACTGAATATGCCTTAGGTACGACTGTCATTCAATATTGTAATTCAAATTTTATCAGTTTTTGTTCAATTGCTTGTGTGAAATTGACTAAATCTTGATTACTCCATTAGAAACTTCGATGTTTTGTTATTCTATGAACACTGAATTTGTAGCTTACAGTCGAATCCTATATTAGAAAGAATTTTCAGGGAAAAATTAAAATAATCTGTTCTATAGTTTGGTTATTTTTATTGGTAATTGCCAAACCAAATACTAACCAAAGTTTTTGTTAATTGTATTTGTATGTCGTACTGATATCGATGGAGTACCAAGTATAATAAAATACTAGTTAAAATTCTAGCAACTGTTTTCATTTTAGATGGTGGATTCATGCTTATTTATTATCATCAATACAAATTTCATAGATCGATAATGGTCTTCATGTGATTGGATGACGCCTAATTTATTAATGAACGTACGGTACAGATTATTTTTCTAACGCTCACTAAAACTCGGTTAACTACCTTGCTAAAGTAAATATTCCATATTGAATTCCTAACTGATTGTTACACGCTGGAATAACTGTCATGTACATTGAATATATACACCTTGCAACGACCACCATAACACAGTACATGTGGGGAACTCTTTCCATTGCTTATACGTAATAGTCAAATTTCGCTAAAAATTTTATTCTCACTAGTGACGGTTTATTAAGCCAATCGTTATTATGTTTGCACTATTTGGAAACATAATGAAAAAATGTGAACAAAGTTATCAAGAGGAGAGTGTTTGTGTCGGCAGCAAAATGTGAGGGATTGTAATGTGGGTCAATGTTAGTCTCAAGTATGAATCGATCTCATTTTCCTTTTTTTTTCAAAGATGTGTCTTTGAGAAGTGACGAATACAGTTTTACTAACACTATTATGTTGTTCCACAGTATTTGGGCGCCGAGTTAATGTGAGATATTAAAGAGGAAGAATGTATTCGTAAAATCTCAGCGAATGAATTTGAAGTAAATTCAAGGTTTCGCCTGGCGATCCGGTTCAAGGAAATACAAATACTATAATGTTGTGTTTCTTAATTTAAAATAACTTAATTTTTTTTCTAAATTTTAGCTCTTAACTTCTGGACCACCTTGTCTCCAGTTACCTTTGCTTAAAGTGGCTCACTTGTTTTTACAACAAGTTGATATCAATCAACGAGACATGGAATACTCATTACAAAATTTTATTACGTCGATTGTTAACCAGTTTATTGGAGTAAGGAATCAAAGTTCTCTTTTCCCTATTTGTTTTTATAAATGAACGTGTCTTAAAATTATTTAATAATTATTATTTACGAAAAACAATATGATGAAACACGATCATTTAAGTTTACTGATATCAGAAGAGGCATGTCATACAACTCCAGTCTATGTATAAGAACAGAATAAGTTGGAAGTATGATGACATACATAATCAACTTCATGTAAGATGTGGATGTTGTGGACAAAAATCTAAAGTTATTAGTAATTATAAAATCAACCGTTGAATAGTCACAACGACAGTGATAGTAATACTAATACTAAAAAGATAGTTCAACATGGGTTTTAAAATTCTGTAAAAGACTTAAGATGAGGATGTTTGAGGTGTTTAAAGAGAGAGTCAAATGATATTCCTATGGTCATAAAAAATTAACCATTATAGTGACAACCATTCAATAGTTGTATGACTTATTTTGTACAGTTAACTTTATCTCCATGTAAAATCTATTTTTATTCGTTGTATTGATAATAAATGGTAATAGTTACTGAATGTTGTCATAATAATTATTATTACTAGACTTGTAATTTAGGGGTACTCATTTTTCAGTAATTTTAACAAAACTAGGGATTTTAATCGCTTGTACCTACTAGAAAACTTTACTCAGCAAGTTCTCAAGTGTACGACTAGTAGTGTTAAAAAAATGATAGGATTTGTTTTTTCATAAAATGTCTCATCAAATTATGTTAACTTGTATATATTTTCTTTCTCTTATTTTCACTATATAGACATGTTTATGGACCCATGTTATTCCAATTTTACAAGTTACCGTTTCACGTTCAGCTGTATTAAACTCTGTTCCAGAAACACCTGCATACACTTTACCTGGTTTAGATCCTTCAGGTAGTGGTCGTGTATTAGATTATGCAATCGCTTCGGCAGCAGTAGCTGTTCCATTACCAGACAGTGAACCTCCTAGATTAGAACTTGGTGGTCCTGTGTTAGATTTCACTTTTAATGTTCTTCAAGAAGCCCCATTATTAGCTCCTCAGTATGCCCCAATCTCTTCATCGCATTCAACTTCTGAAAATATATCTAAAGTGGATATTCCAACATTTGATCATAATTCATCATCAAAGGGCACTAAAAAAGATTTTATTGATGTTAGTGATATTGGCCTAACTGAAATATTCGTATCAGCATCTAATGGGTGGAATAAGCCAGGAAACTCTCAGGTACATGCAGTTATTTTCTCTCTGCATGGAGTTTGTGCTTGTATCAATGATTTGTTTGACTTGTGACTGCAAGGATATATAGAAAAAATCGTTTGACAGTTCACATACGTCCTTAGAGACGATATTTTTTCTCCTAATTTTAACAACGGGAAAACCCAAACCAGTACACACATGAATTCATACCCATTGAATAGATTAGCTCAATAGTAGCGCTTTAAAGTTTGTATCAAAGAATATGTGGTTAAAGTCTCAATGTAAACACAAACATTGGATTATAAACACATTCGATTAATGATTCATAAATAGGACTGGGTGCGCGTCATGAATTCCCATAGCTAAGCGCAATCTTAACATTAAATCTTTTCAAGCGTTTTGCATAGTAAGTGGGTCAAGAGAATCTATACCATACATATTACTTTGCCACCTTTGTTGTTTCTACTGTCTATTCCTTATTCATGATCTAGCCAGTAATAATTATAGTTTCATTGGCCGACTTGTTTTTCTTGTTTGAAATGCTGAGCGTATCAGCGTTTATCACTTGGTATTGGTAATCGAACACATAGGACTTCCATTTAGTTAATCCTCAGTGAAAATTTTCGTCTATTGTTCTTTCCATCTTTAGTTTTTTTAATTTTCTATTGGTTGAAATTCAGTGCTTATCACGTTTTTTTATCACGTTTTTATTACTGTGGTACCTCTATTGGAAATTCCAACTTTCAATGACAACACAGAAAACTGAATTGGACGTATCTACATAGTCTTATTGCCTATATTTTAAAACGAGGAACCACTACAATTCTCATGGCGCAAATTAATAACACAAAGGTTTGGTATAATTAAATAGTTGTTCACTCCGAATATAACGACCGTGGCTGAATATATATATATATATATATATATATATATATATATATATATATATATATATATATATATATATATATATATATATATATATATATTGATTTGTAACCCAACCTGATTATTAGTATAAAAAGTTACATATATGCAAATTACGCAAAACTATATGAAATTATATTCTACAAGTCATGGTGAACATAGTTCACTATAATCTAATACAAGAAATATAATATCTTGATCTAAACATCACACTGAAAATAAAACGAATATTATTCTGAGCATTTATCTCATTGAATTTAAGAAAAAACGTGATCTCATTTTTTTATCCCGTTGTGTCAGAGTCCAACTGTCGAACATACACAAAACGATTTTTCACAATATAACCGCTCAGTAATATAGATTACTAGTTCTTTTTGTCAGTGAACTTGATATAAAATACTTCATAAAACAAACACCATCTTTCTATTTATTAGATACGTTTGCGTGAAAAGCTCTATTGTTTAGTCAGTTGTTATGGACTTCCTCCTCAACAGTGTATCAGTGCTCCAAGAAGTCCTTCGGTAAGTGGTCGTATAAATTTACGTATTCGTTTAGTCTCTTTTCTTTCTCAAAATTTCCTTACAAGCAGTCCTAATTTGATGAGAATTCAACATATACATAGGTAATAGAAAATCAGAGGAAAATGTTGAAGTACCAAAAGTTGAAGGCACATAACTTTCAAAGACACCTCAATATTTGGACTGCATTTTTAACTTGTTACACAACTTCATGTTGGATATTAAACTGAGTTGTTCACGCGAATCGGTCACTGAGCTTTAACGAATCTCTGTTGTCTAGTCTCTAGTATTTATTGAGTTCTATTGATCATTTTCATTACTTTGACAACTTCTATAATTATAAAATAACGATACTACTTATTAACTCACTTGAGCAGACGAGGATGCATTCGCTATATTCTCAAATAATTTTTCCTCTACTCATTCCTTGAACATAAACTTATGAAGAAAGCACCCAACTTCCAATACAAATGAGTTTTAAGTCAGTCTGTTCAATCGTATACTATGTTCACGGTTGCTTATAAATCATGGTTGTACAGTGCGATGGTGGTCATTAAAATAATTTTACCTGAGAATAAATCATTGAGTTAATACACATTGATTTTTAAGTGATACTCCACTGTTTCTAAACGAAATCAGAATTTTCTACTTGAGAAATTTCGGAGACGAAATATTTAGCCACGAAGATTTTATAGATTAGTTTAATGTGTGAATAGATTAGTAGATTCCACCGTAATGATCGTAAGGTAAACCAAGCTCGTCGTGAGACTTGAGGATTATAAACTAAATTGTGAGTGAAGTTACGGTGCTCAGTGATAAATAATTCTAAACTAGAACGAAGCAGCCGTTCAATTCTCTTTAGTGTTTAATGATTCTGCTGTTGATTTCGACTTCTCTTTGAAAAATCTGTCTACATATTTAAAATTCTTTTCCTATTCAGTTAATTTTAATAATAATAATAATCTCTTTTTCACTTGTTCGTACATGGATTCTTATGTAATTTATTTGTTTTCCTCTCTTTCTATCTAATGAATAGGTTATATTCAGTCAATCTACTGAAACTTTAGATCCTCAATTAAGTATCCATTCCAGCAGTGAAACAACATCTGTAGTCGATATTAGTAATTCAGGTAAATACTTTTTGACTTGATGTTTTCTTTGTTACATGTGTCCATTTTTTCATGTTGCACTGATGGATGATTATATATTTCATGCATTTTGAAACAGATTCTTTTGGGCAGTTTAAAAATCCCCATAGAATATTCAAAAATGAAGAATATTTGAATGAACAATTGTTTTCAATAACTCCATCATCAGGCTCTACAGTTATAAGTCCATAACTGTAGAGCCTGATGATGAAGTGATTAAAAACAATTGTTCGCTCAAATATTCTTCATTTTTTGAGGATTTTTTTAAGATTGAAAATTTTATTCAGCTTATTGTGTAGTATAGTGGATTCTTTTCTGTCCGTTTACGGTTCCCATATATTAAGTGTACAAATACCGTCTCATAAGAAGTGTGCATAATGTCATTAAGCTCATTACAAATACCTTCCACAAAAGTACAAGTCAGTCAGTAAGCTACAAAGTAGGACCAGGCACATATATGCATCGGTCCAAATTGCCATACCGCATTAGCATAGCAAGATGAACACCAAATCCATATGAGTAGTTAATTCAGAGATGGTAATATATTTAAAAAAAGATTGCAATAAGGATGTAGTACAGGAAGAAAGAATTAGTTCATAGAAAGAAAGATATGAAGTGATTTTAATCCCATAGTTTAAGGGAAGACAGAGAGTGTATACACCTACGCCATTGTGATCGATTCTGAGCCATGTCACCACTAGTCTCCAACCATTGGTTACGATAGTCACGCGAACTCCAACCAAGTAGTCTGCATCTACCAACATGGCTCAGACTAGAAGTTAGTGACTTCAAGGACTGATGCCGCGTTTTGGTTTAGCTGCCCCTAACTTCCTTCCAACCATCTCCAACACCAGTTAGCATTGCACGTCGTGGTAATCGGTGTTCGGACATACGTAACACGTGGCCCAACCATCTCAGTCGATGAAGATTCATAACCTCATCAACTGATTTACCATCATTTCCTAATACTCTGCATCGAACCTCGCTATTACTTACCCGGTTATCCCAGCAGACGCCAGCAATATTTCTAAGGCATCTGTGGTCAAATACTAATAGCTTACGAATGTCTTCTACTCTTAATGGCCATGTTTCGCATCCGTAAAGTACAAGCACACTTTTATATCATTTATTACATAATCAATGATAAGTAACACGTGCAAGTTGTTATCATCAATAATGTAAAGTGTAATGATAATCAAACATTCGAAATATGTCACATAGTTGATCCATATGAATTATTGATAAAGACAATAACCCCCTTACTACCACCATTATGAGTGTTCCGAAATCACAGTTAGACTAAATAAATACTGACGGAAGGCTAGGATGAAGAGTATTTCTTAAGAATTCGTGACAAAAAATGTGCAATACCAAAATGATCCACAGTTTAACTTATAATTAAAAAGGAACTACCAAGTGAACTTCTGCAAAACTCAGAAATATCTCATTTTCTCTCCGCTACTAGCTACAAATAAATGGTGTGTTTACTTCTAACACTGTTAATTAACTGAGGTTCTTCACTATCAAATCAATAGTAATAATTCTAGTGAACTTTATGATGATAGAAATAAACTTTAGGCGTATAATATATTTTAACAATAATTTGATATAGTTAACAAGAGATTCATAATTGTATATAACTGTAAAATTTTGTCCAGAATAAAATGTTTGACAGAATTAATTAGTTACCTTTAATAACATTGTGCATAGTTTTCGAATAATAATTATAAGGCTGTATATTAGTACTGCAGGATGAGTAAGAATCATCTAGGTTAATTTTTAGTTTAATTGTACGAAATAATAACACCTGGTTGTAAAAGTTTCCAGCTTCTTGATTTTGATATTTAGGACTTCAATTGATCAGTCTCTATTGATATCTTTAGCAGATTGTCTCGGTAACTTAGTGGATAATGCGTTGGCGTCTAAAGCGATAGGTAGTAGGCTCAAACTAGTACAAAATCTCCATCCCGAATTTCAGTGATAGCTGCGGTCCAATTTTACGGAAAGTAACAACAACTTTTGTCAACCTTAAAAGTTTTTTTTATTGTTGTAGAAAAAGTAAAAAAAAATATATCCAAAGTAATTTGCATGAACTAATTTTCATTCTATTTATTATTATCACACATTTTTGTTGCTAATTCTGTGTATTTTTTATAGATGATATTCATTTAGATGATACAAGCAGTGGTGAACAGACTGCTGTGTTTCGCGATTTGGATACCTATTTAGATGCTCAGTTGATGAATATAAACTTTTTAGGTGTACCAGATTGTAGATTAGTAAGTTATTTTATGTATTCATATTTTCTATCGTACAATGGTATTGAGATATGGTTTAGATAGCGGTGGCCGGATAGTTGAGACTGTATTCATCAAACGACAACATTATTAACAGAATAGATTCTTATAGAACTAGTTTGAACACTTCTAACTTTCTTAATTTACATACTTCTGCTCAAGTAGTGGGATATTATCATTATCCATCATACCATCAAGTGTGTTTTACAGTTAAGTCTATGAACTTGTATTTGGCTAGTGCATAAATTTATAAACATTTAACTAACAACGTTTGTGTAGCTTTATCTCTACATTAATGTATCTACCGAATTGCGATGAAATATAGATTTTCGACGGTGATGAAATCAGTTAGTAAGATGGCTAAATAGTTTAAAAATTCTTGTTGATTCGTAAAGAAAAGCACAAGAGTTCAGCGAGAAAGTCTGATTTTTAGTGGTTTCGTCCCCAAGTTATACAACCACACTTAAGCATTATGTTCACCTGATAACAAAGCAGGAAAAATTGCAAGCCAAAAGTTATTTTGAAGAAAATTAGGTTTTTCAAAAAAAATATCAGCGAGACAATTATGGTGTGATGGGAGAAGTTGTACCAGTAAGTTGAACGATGGATGGATATTTATAGCTTCGTAAATAATATTGGGATAGAAGTCACTGTGCTAGTTAATACAATGTAATTTCAATGAAGTATTAAGTGGAAAAATGCTAATAGCTTGCTTAGTTGATGGATTGTAAAATGTTTGAATATTTTTTACGTATAATTATTCACTAACATGCAGATTATTTTATTTTTATCTCCTTGCTAGGCGTCAACAAATGTGAGTTCAAATACTCCATATTTTACAGATTGCGTCTTATTATTGAGTCGGTTGTATGTTAAGTCCCATATTGCAGTTTATTAAATATGTTGAAATAACTGATTTCATTTGCAAAGTAGTTTTTTTTTCAAAGTTCAAGTCACAGTTCCGAGTTTCATTTTTGTTAGAGATTGAAAGATCTACTGTTGATTTCAGTAATTCACATAAAAATTCAGTGTATGTTTTCGTCATGGAAGAAAACGTTAAGTTGAAAAGGATTATAAATAAATGCAATCATACAGAACTCTACTCTGTTGTGTATTGACTAACCGACTATGAAATATCAAACAAACAGAAAATCCTGCATAAAAGTTCACCAGTTCAATATACTGCACAGTTCGAAAGGAAGAAAACCAATCGATCAACATAGAAACACATTAAGTTGAACAATGAATGTACTCATCATATAAAACTTAAAGTTATGAAATGTTTAAAGTTTTGAAGGCGATCAATAGCAAATGGATTTGTATTGTCATCATCTCATCTAAAACATTTTGATACAGTTCAAAAACCTACATAATATGTTTCTAACATGATCAACTTTAAGAGGTTTTGAAAGTAACGTACGTTACAAATACTCAGTAAATATACTATCCCACATATAGTTGTTTTTAAACTTAAAGTTTCTCGGCAGCATTCAACCATAATGATTTTTAGTATTTGGACATAAAATCGTAGACTTCCACTGTAAGTATAGAATTTAAACGGTTAACATATCCTAATAGTTAATATTTCCTTTATTTGTTAACTCGTTAAGTAATATATCTTGTCCATTGGTTTTATTTATACTTGACAACCATCTCTAAGATGTTAGCTGGCAGATGAACGTACTCACACCTTCAAACAACGCTTTTCATTTGATCAACTAAAGTGCGCTAAAATCACTTTCTATATGAGTTTCATAATGTTTTATTGTTGATTCTGATAATAATTTAGATTTTCCATGTGAAATGTTTTGTGTTTCATATTTGACAGATTTCTACAAAATGTTTACATATCTACAGCTTTGTGTAAATTCCTACCAATAACTACTAATTTGTGTCCTTTAAAACTCATCCATCTAATCCTGTTGGATCACCTAAGCTAGTCTTTACACTAAATGAACTGAAAACTTGTGTTCTGAATTTCGATGCATAAGAATAAAACAATTGATTCATCCAGTAGTACTAACCAATGTCATTTCTGTAATCCTTAATGATTGAATTTAATTAATCAAATGGCAGTGTGACCACCAACTACTTGACATTTCAGTTCATTTTGTTTGATATCAAAGGTTTGAAGGAAGTCGATCAATGAAAATATCTACATCCTACAGGAAATTAATCGCGGCTGGAATAACAGTGATAACATTTACTACTGCAGTGCGCGAAATGTCAAGTCCTTCAAGATTGTAGATATGTCTTTCTGACAAGTATCAACTTACTCCAAAATTAGGTTCAACCATTCTTCCCATCTAAATGGTATCGATTACCGGTCGTCCCAATCTTTAAGAAAGGAAAAAAAATCCTCTTGTGATAATCACAGGAGAATCAGTTTTACTAGTATAATGTCTAAAATATTAGCCTCAATAGTGCTTCGACGTTTAACTAAAACTCGAAGAAACCAGGCTGGTTTCAGACCTTGACGTGGACTAAACGATACCTCTTCAGAAGGTTGTAGACGTACTTTTCGACGTCCTACTATAATTGTATTTCTTGACCCTTAGGCGTTGTTTGACTCTGTTGATGGAGAAGTTCTTTCGTGCCTGTTAATAAAAGGCTTACTTATGGCGTACATTAGCTTTTCTACTCGAACACTGCTGGTAGAATCAGAGCTTGTGGCCAACTGTCATCGGAATTTGTTACTCCAAGAAATGTTTCTTAGGGTTTTCCGCGTTCCTCATTCTTATTCAACCTTGTAATTGACATCCTTTTAAAGATAACACATTCATTGTCTGACTTCCAGGGGTTGATCTACCCAGAGATTCATTTGTTCACTGAAGGTATGCAGATGATTGACTTATTAGTCAAATTAATAGTTAACAACTTATAAGATTGATTACCAAATTTACTCTCACTACTCTATATAATCCAATGTAGACAATAACAGCTTTTTTAATACAAATTACTGGTAATCTAGTGGTTCAGTAATACATTTTAAAGAAAATAATCTACTACTTCACCCAAGGTCCAAGGTATAAACTGATTACAGTGTTTTGTAGCATCATTAGAAGGACTAGGTGTTTTGGAGACATGGGCAGTTATATTTATGTCACCTCATACTTTGCCTTTAACTAACTGACCAGCTGGTGTTTTTGATTGTCACTTAACCGTTTGCAATATATTTTGATCATAAAAATAGTTTATTTCCGTAGAAATCTTTTCGTTTATTTACCCTATTTCTCCCTGTACATATCTTCATGTTTTTATGTATATCTTTTTATTTTCTCTTTGTATTTTAGGCTTCCATGAGTGTAAGTCCAATGATAATCTTCTTGTTTAAAAACATCTAGGTTGTTTAATATACAGAAAGATTAAGTCCATCCTCATTACTTCAATACATTTAGACTACTCCCATATCATGATTACTCTTCAACTATACATTTCTATTCGCTAAAGTGGTTCGTGGTGGTAAATTTAATTTGAAGCTACTTTTCATCACAAACTATTATCAGTCAGTGATACATCACAAGCAAGGAAGCATTGTCCTATTTCGAGACTAAACAGCGCACAATTATGATATTATATAGGATTGAACCCGTAACCGTCTTATAGAGATCAAGACACTGTATACAGTAGTCGATACTCTAAACTACAATAAATTTTCCAGACCTAGTAATCCTCATCCGATATTAATGATTGGTCATGGACCCAATCTTTGCCCCTAGTTGACTCTGCAGATCATTACTCCTCACTTAGAGCCCTGTCATTTTTATCAAATTTAGTAAATGATGTTTGACATAGTCAGACAATTTATGGATGTTTATTCAGTGCAACCTAAAGGTCCTTGGTTGAATTTCATCAAGCTTCTCATCAACAGACTCGTTTCATCTAGCCAGTGTTGAAACAGTATTCATTTTCTCCACAATCATTCATATTAAATTTGACTGGAACCTATTTAACACGTAATGCTTGATTGAAATTTTTATTTTTGTTGTTCACTGCTTTTTAGGAGGAAGAACCTAGACGTCCTTGGGGTGTACGAGGCCAAGCAATTACATGTCATTTCGATTTTAATGGAGATGGGAATGAATCAGTTAATAATGAGTCTGTCGGTGGCTTATCTCGAACTGTACAATCGTTGGAGAAAACAACTAGTAGTTTGGCACATAGTATCACAGAATCAGATTATTTTACAGCTGCTTATCAACATCATCATCACTCAGAAAAGCAGCATCAAAATAGAACACATTCATTGCCACATTTAACATTTGTTACTAATAATCTAAGTGATGTGAAAGATACAGAATCTAATAGTTCGAGTACAAATCGATATTCAACGATAACAATTAGTAATAATTATGCCGATGATAATATAGATGGCAAATATTCGGCAGCATCATACAGTGAACAACAACAACAACCATTACTACCACAGTTGGAATACAAAAAACCATCAACTTCACTTGCCTGGCAATCATTCGCTGAGGAACAGTCAGAGTTTAGGGTTAATGATTTGATGAATGATGAGTTTACTGGAAAGGAAAAGTTTAATAAAGGTATACAGGTAGTGAAGTATCCACTTGTTACCGCACGCAATTCACGTAGTGAACGTGTAACATTTAATCTTGATGGTGATAAAAATCAAGATGATAATGATGAGGTCGGCAGGCAGGATGATGTTCATCGAAAAAATAAGATATCTATGGACGATGGTATAGAGAAAATCAATGATCGATGCATGTCAAAAACGTATAAGGGAATCCTAATTAATCGTTCAAATCATGATTATGTTAAGGGACTACATAATGGATTGCTACTGTCCGATACTGTGCTTGCTAATAATTCTCGAGTACGATCCGCGTCAACACAATCACTTAATAATGATGGAAATTACAATGAAACTAATGATTCAGATCAAAATTTAAGGTCACGTATATATTTTCCTCGATTTCTGTCATCTAATCGTAATGAAGTACGTACAAAATATATAAATCATGACAGATTGACAGATGAACATAAACAAATAGTTGATAATCACCATTATCATGATCATTTTTCTGTGAATACTCCACAAAAACGTTTGGTTGGACAAATCAAACGTAGTGTATCAACATCTGAATTATTATTGACTAGACAACATTTTACATTGAATAGTAAACCAAATGATTGCAAATCTTTAATTAATTCTGCAGTGTTGTCACCGTTAGCATATCAAAATAAAGTTAGTTATCATGTAAATGACAAATATTTTACTAGTTTCTCTTCATCTTTATCATCGACAAGGTCACTGTCACCAGTGAATCATCACAGCCAATCCGAACAAACGGCGTTTAATTTAATTAGTACAAATGATGAAGATAATTTGAACATTAATGATAATAATACTGATTTATCAAAAATCATTTCATATCGACCAAATTCACTTTGTTCTTCTTCCGTATTGCCTCAATCGATTCTACTTTCATTATCACCAACATTAACAGCACCATCTGTACATAGTTCTCATCTATCACTTCATTGTATTGAAATTATTCGAAAATCCAGTGATCTTCCTGTTATCCATAGAAAGCATAAAGCAACAAGTGATTCACATTTGAATTGCTTTAATAAACAGTTATTGTGCAATAATCAAAAACTACATCAATCAAATAGTCATCATCGGTGTTATCATTTTTCATGTGTTAATGAAAGCACTCATAATGTTGATTCATCTGAGTGTACTTCTTTGAATAAAATCGTATCAGTTCAACCAATACAAAGATTATGCAATTGGAAGTATCCAGTAAGTTGTATATATATATATATATATATATATATATATATATATATATATATATATATATATATATATATATATATATATATATATATATATATATATATATATATATATATACGCCATCCATATAAGCCCAGTCACAAAATAACACACAGTTTATGTGTATATGAATGACTATCCCAGTTACCAATATATATATATATATATATATATATATATATATATATATATATATATATATATATATATATATATATATATATATATATATATATATATATATATATAGGTTCATACATTTACAATTCGATCTGTCTCCGAATGTCAGGTCTATCGCATAGATATTTAAAAGCCATTTGATCTTAATAAACTGTTTACTTTGTAATTTAGATTTGAGCAAACTTGGTACATGTTTGTCAAAAGCCAGCATCATTCTGATAATGCAATTAATAAAATTATTGTTGTCACATTGACTTCAATAAGATTCATCTTTCACTATTATATTTTTATTAAAAGAAAACTGATTTATTATTTCGGTTGTCTTATCGGAAAATTTGTATACCGCATACAAATATGAAAAAATATTTTACCATTTTTTTAATTTGTTTCTAAGTTTTAAAGAATGGTGGCTTAGTGTAGATAAAGCATTTTTTAACAATAGGGTTGCATGTACTTCCTTCAGTTTTTTCAGCCGGTTAGTATCATCAACGATTAAAGTCAGACTCTATCAGCATATAAAAATAATTGGCTTAAATCAGAGCATTACTTACACTCATGAATATTACATTTTTATTTGATTCAAGTCGTTTATTTTGTAATTGGGATTTAAGAATTTTAATCATAATGAAGTTTTAACACTATCTAATTATGTTATTTTGCGAGATCAAACAATATTGTGTATATCAACTTATTTAGCTAATTACTGAACAAAAATGGATTGCATTAGAACCTTTATCGAACTCAACCTGTTTACACTTCGATGAACAACAAAAGTTAATATCGCTACTGATGGGACTTCCACAATTGTATCAGGAGATCGTTTCACGCTATATTAATGCTGTTAACGATACGATCGATTTGTCTGTTTGTTGTTGGACTGAATCAAGCCGATTGAATTGTTTAGGTGAGTTTTACTCTGTTTTTAATAGTCAGATCCGTGTAAATCATTCATCTTTAAGTAATGTATACTGCATTAATATTTACGTTTGTTTGTAAAACCGTAAAATTTGAAATCGTTTCTCATCACGAACTGATGACAGCTGGATGACCACTGGAAGATAGGAAATACTAAAATCCCCTGTCATCCTAGTTAGGGACTCTGCAATATGTGCCTACAGTCCGTCTGCACATCCAAGTTCATTATTTGTGCTCTGGTAATTCGTTTTACATGTTGACTTGACATCACCTGATTATATAAAATCAGATAAGTTGTGCATAATTTTTCAAATAAATATATAAATGTTATCCTCTTTTTAATGCAAATATCTTTCTAATTTTCTGTAGCGAAATTAGTCGAAAAAATCAAAACCTATTTGAGACCACCTTGGTTTTTTTGTCGTTTATGTCAGGTAAATCCTAATTGTATCTTACGGAATGTTTTTTTCTGAAATATCATTGCTTTTTAAGCATAGTGTTAAATTCTTATTAAATGAGAGTAGAATCATTACTAACTACTTTGGTTTTACACTTCAATCTAATTTCAAGCTTTTAAATTTTCTACACATAGATTATCCAGTCGACAAAAGAATGAGTATTTATGGTTTGTTGGCTTAGAAAAAAGTAAATTAAGTGGTAAATTGCTTAAAGCTAATATTATATGGTGAAGTTTGGGAACATTCTCAATCAACTATTGTTTCCAATAATGCTTACTTTCTTAAATCAGAATAGCTCCAAAAAAATCACAATATAGCTTTATTCATATTGCTCAACCGCCATATTTACAACGGGTGTCTATGGTTCGAAACACGTAATTTATCGTCACAGAGGAAAGTAACTGTCAACGTGAATGCTACTTTCAAATATTAATTGTTTTTAATAAACAAAATCAACTGACCCATATCTTACACTGACTGCGCATTGTGTTGTGAAAAACAAACGTTAACTGACCGAAATCGGCCACCGGTTATACATCTATATGTTAACATGTTACTCTGTTCAAGTTAATATTTTAAACCACGCTTTGTATATGTGTGTTGGTTAGTCAATGAACGTACTGAAGTATGAGCTACAAATTTTTAATACTTTATTAGCATTGATAAGATCCATTAATTACTTGTTTATAAATGTGTGAGTAGCTGTTATCAATTGATTATATCGTTCACTTTTATTTTCCATGCCGTGATGCTAATCTTTTACATTATTTATGTTCATTAATATTATACCTGTGGTCTGTAATTTCCATTTATTCAAATGACACGACTTCCTAAATTTTACCTCAGAAACAATAACACTATTATCTTGCATTGTAATTGAACTTCTTGTGTAGAAGTCTACGGTTTGTAATCAATTTCACTGTCATAGAAAAGAAATAAGTTTCTGAACCATTTTTTGTGATTCTTTGTTATATAGTATAGTGAACAAAGTGGTCAGGTGGGGAAAAACAATTCACTGTTCAATGTAAAATTACAGTGTTTTCGTAAAATATGGAAACCATACATCGAATGCATAATTTCCACAACTTCCATTAGTTGTAATTTACATGCTTCATGATTCTTTCAATTCCTTTGTTATTGCAAGTACTTAATGTTTTGTTCAATATAATCTTCCTAATCTTCTGCAGGCGTGCATTCCACTTCCGACTAGTGCTACATACTACTTATATCTGTCAACATAAGTAGCATACACCATAATAGCTCATAACCAATATTTCAGATCCCCTTGAGATATCCACTTTTTCATTTAACTTGTTAAAGACATCATTTTAATGCCAGTTTAGATGATATACTGGTCACTTCACTTCGATAGTAATGAACGTTTTCGTAATATTATGGATTGTAGTTAGGTGCTTTCATGACTCCTCATTCGAATAATCTTTTCCCCCTCTATAGTTTTGTAGTATTTTGATGCAATATGCATTTGTGACAGATTTTATCACTGACACCAGTATTCCGACACCATAAAATAATATGGGTGTAAATGTTATTAAGTCAATCTCATGACTATTAAATCTTTATCATTGCAAATACTCTTTTTTGCTAAGGATTTCATATTCGACCGGTACTTGGAATTGTAATATTTCAAATATAGTTTACCAAAGGAAATTTCACATGTTAATATACGCTATAATGAATTTCTATATTCATCATGATTACTCATTCCTGTTTTACTTCAGGATGATCTTACTGAGACGGTTCATTCTTATTTAATAAGTAACATGATTCATTTATTGGAAAAACACCAAGGAATCCAAAATCAATTTGAAAAACTTTATAATGTAAGTTTAAATTCTGTATTGCAACCGCAATTTCAAAACAAAGATTATCATTGTAGCAACTTGAGTAGGCAAAATAGAAATTTAATACTTTTAGTATTGTGGTATCAACTTTGCAATAAGAAAATAGTTTTCCTGGTTTTTGCGTTTTGTAAATACGTCATGTGAAAGTGTTATACACTAGCCTGCTTGTCTGTGACTATTATTGTTGATTATGTTACTATAGAAGGTAAATGAATTTTACTTTTTTAAACTGAATGATAAAGAGACTAAGTATTGTTGACATCAGTTTGAAATTTGTATGTTTTGCTAAAAAGTACTGTAGTTTCTGAAATCTTGAAGACTTTGACATAGTTTAAATTGCTCATACTCCAAAACTTTTAATTAAAGAACAAAATCTGATACATTTATTAGAAGGTACGACCCCGACAGACTGAGGGCAAATAATCAGTGTTAAGAATCAAGAAGAGTTATTAAACATCCTAGTTTAGTTTTACATGACTTACAGGTCAATATAAACATTTGAGCCTAGTATTGTAAGTAACTATACACTCAGTATAATATTAACAGGTTACTATTAATAGATGTACCACACCAAGCTGATCACAGGTAATCTTAATCTACCTACACCAAGGTTCTGTGATTTATTGACCGGGAAAGTGAGCTTATAAGAAATACTAGTGGTCCTCTAAGAAAAACACCTGCTTAGGTCTGGGTACCCGGGCGGTACCACAGTCCTCACACGAATCAATGATAACTGCTACTGACCTCATTGTTATTGTGTGGCATTTATGTATTTGGTGCCCCCTGTACCGATGTTTATGTGTTCAAATAAATAAATAAAGTAATTAAAACACATGTAAGGACCCACTGATAATCTGAATTGTGTAAGTATGGTACATAATCCACAGGTAATTCTTGATAACTATCGCTATCTAAAACCCGATTGTCTAGGAATTGTAGCGTGATTTAACTATTTCTTTTAAGTACTAGTGACGATTGTAGTTTTTATTTGATACTCACTTTCCTCCTGCTTATTTTGCTCGTTTTAACAGCTATTACAATCTGAAAATACCAGAGATACAATTATCCAAATATTCTGTAATATGTTCACTAACTTAATAGAATTTGTGAAATATTCATATGCTAGTGTTGAAACCATTTATGTTAATTTATCCAAGTTGAAGAAAAATGAAATCCTATTACCTGCAATACTGGATCGATCTTGTCGTTTCCAATATTTACTAAAGTGTGTTCTATTAGGTCTAGATTTGACCAGTGATATCAATAATCATGAGGATAACAGCGATGTACCTATCAAACCAGCTATTTGCAATGAGCCCGCTGCTTTAAAAAATCAACTATGTGAATTCCTAGCAAACATGCTGACAAGTTTTCTAAACGATGAATTATTAACCGGGTCCAATAATTTTAATCCGGAAAATTGTAAACAAGTAATTAGATTGTATAAACAATTATCACATAAGTCCCCTGATGAGTAAGTGAAAGTTTCTTATTTATCCGCCTACAGAATTAATCCATACTAAGTTTATTTAATTTCCTAAATTAGTTTGAATGAGGATAATGATGCATCACAAATTGACTGAAGTCGAAAGTGATGACCACTGGGTTCCGACTTATCATTCTAAAGATATCATCCTGGTCAGGGGACCTGGACGCTGTTATTTCGATCTCATGCTTGTACATTGGTAGAGTCCCTAACTATGGCATAACATCGGTCTGTACTTGCAACGATCGATCACGTAGTCAACATTCAATTTCGTGTATGAATAGTCCTGATCGAGTTCTATCTATCAAGTTGCAGTGTCCCTCAAGTCTAAATCAATCAACATATGCACTGTGTTTTCATTTTAGATGGTTATAGAGAGTCGAGAGAAAACTCTGGGGCTAGGTTTTGTAGTGGTTGAGACTCGTCAGCTATGGCCACCTAGTATCTTCAGAAAACTGATGTTCTCTGTGACACTAACTCGCATCACCCGACCCTATTGTTTAAAACGTTGCAGCTGAACTATTGGAACCATAGTTGACCTTCCGTGGGAAACTACAAGTTTTAGGGAAAAGGACGACTACATGACCTCATAAGAAACTGAGGTTTTCAAATCTGTAACCGTATCAATTCCCCATACAACTGACTTATACCTCTGGATCAAAAGTTAATATATATATTGACTATTCGATTATTTGCTTATGAAGCTTTTTAATGTTACAGATCAGAAGTACCGATTGATATGATGATCAATATACTGAATATTTTTGCAAATTATGTCTGGGAAAGGGACTCCACTTCATGTAAGTTGGCGTTCAGATGCACGCTTCGACTTTATTTTGATATATGAATTGTAGCACCCTTCACTGTTTATTTTGCACTATATATTTTAATTGTCATGAAGTTTTACAGCTCCGTTTGGCTTTACATCTAAGACGCTGTTCTTACTGCATTGAAAACCTTCCAATTATACTTTAGTTCTACTGTATTAGTTTTTGTGACAAAAACCAAACAATATCCTTTTCCTAATTGACTAAACTAGTAAAATAGTCCCACCAAAAAAGGGTTGTAATGTCTATCAATTTTTAAAAACCCCTTTAGTCGTTAGTTCTGTATGCATAACATTCATTACCAGAAATTTACTCTGAGTCATTTATTTTCAGAAATGGTATATATAGTATTTTATAAGTTCAAGTATTTCGAAATAGAATGAATCCATCTTATGAATGTATAACCCCAGTTGTCATTAGTCTGAAATGGCAAGCTGCAAACTACAGAGGCCAATCATTAAATATATATTTTATTTGTTGGATAAAAGATCTCGATTTCGTAAACGTATCTTATTTCTGTTGTAATATTTTGCTAATAATTTGATGTATTGCACTTTGCCCGTCTAAACTCAGTTCTTATGATTTATTATACAATATATTTTAGCTTCCCTTTAGATATACTTCGTAGTAGAAATGCGATTTCGTAAACACGTTTTACTATGTTCTAAGCAAATTTTTGCAATATTCCTAGTCTGATGCATTGTGAAACCGATATGTTAAAATGGGAGATTGTAGTGTTTGAAAGTAGAACGCCCTTCTAATAAAAACTGACCAACAAAATAGCTGAATTCTATTCATACCAAGCACCAAAACTTGTTTACCTAATGAAGCACATTATTGGTGAACTCCAAAGCATTCGGTATTCATCTTTTTTCGACTTACCTTAGGATGAATTGTTTTTTAATACGGTTGACGTCTAACCTTTCATCCTAATCTTTTGAGCAGCCCGTCATAAATAAATAAAACCAGTAGTTATTTGCTAACAACCAGTAAGAAACTGTTGGCCAATGTTCTGAACTGCTATTTAGCAGTACATTTTGTTTACATACAAATCTAAATAGTTTGCTTTTTTGTTTAGATATTGCATATCTTCCGTTACCGGCGCTTGACAAAGACATAAACGACCAACTAGATACTACCAATTACTGCGCTTATTTAACTGAAAACCTACACAACCTCGTATTAAATGATAGTGTTAATGATGGCGGTAAATTATGTTGACTAACACACCATAGTGTTTTTTCAATTTTATTTTGTGATTACACGAGAAAGATTCACTGCTGACATTTTTCCCAGCTTACGATCAATACACTTTCGCATACACAGTACAAAATATACGGTAAATTTGGACGGATATTTTTGTACAAGCAACTGTTTTCAAATCTGTTTAAAAGAAAGAACTAAATTTTCTGAATATATTCCTTTCCTAGTTCTTTTCACTGAGATAAGACATAATTAACTTCCATCCAATATTTCACTTTGTTATTATGTGTATTTCCTTACAGTGTATAAAATAACACTATGCTTTTCTGATTTACTTGGTTTTATATGTAAATTTTGTTCAGAAAAGTGCGGTTAGTGAAACCTTAGTTTTGTAGTGTACTGAATCGAACAATATTTGACAGCATATTTACAATGAGATGTTTTACATCTTAGAATGCCATGATGATAGATTTGTAGTGATGGCTGTCGAAGTTAGAACCTATTGAGATTCGTCCTTAGAAGTAATCCGACCACAAAGCTTTCTAAGCGCAGTTTGGAAATATGTAGTCTTAATACCTTAAATGAATTAATATACAACCAGTTGTAAACAAGGTTCTTCTACACTATACAAATAAACTTAATAGAAGTCCTTTCTCGAACAAGTGAAGTATTTGCTACGTAGTTAATGGTATAGAATCTCAATATAGAGCTTCAAAAAAATGCTTTGAGTAGTTACAAGTCTTATGACCGCAAACGAAACACACTTATTGTTGTACTCAAACTGCTTTTTGAGTAGCTACTATTTCCTCATAGATTTAAAACGTTAGCATCAGGTCTTAGATTTGAGCGAACATTCTTATTCATATAAATGAATATAATAATGGAAGGACTGGTATTAGGATAACCAACAAACTCATGTCAAATTCTATTAGATTAAAGCAAATTTCAACATTCTTTTACATCACCATCTGGTAAAAGCGGTATTCATTGTGGTCCAAAGTTTGAAATACGCGATATGGTATACAAAACACCTGATCTCCGTCCTCATAATTCGGGAGAGTTGCATGTTTGTACTGTATTCACGTATTCCTATCACACTGCTTTTTTATGATATGATGGCTACACAGAGAAGTTAGTCAGTTGACGACCCACCCTTGTGTCTGTAGTCTGTAACGTACGTTCATGTATACGATAGCTTTAAGGATACTTAGAAGCGTGTACTCCCAGTCATTTTCAGTGGTTGCGCAAGTGACGAAGATATACGATCCAAAATCAACCATCACCTAACCAGAAGTAGACGTTTAACGTGCAAATCTCAGCTACACATGACACTTTCATTAAGGTGAAAGCGGTTACCATTATTATCAGTAACTGTTGTCTCTATATCACTGCATGCTTTAATACAGTGACCATGTTGAAGCTTTTGTTTCTTACACGAACAGTAAAACTATTCCAAATTGGAAAGTAAGATCCATTAGCAGTTTCTCCTATGGATAGCTCCGAATGCTCTTATGGTATATTTGTGCTTTTTTTATACTATCGTAATACTTTTGTATGACGCACAACTGAATATTAATTTGAGACACTGAAGAATGGATTTTAAAACGCACTTTATTGAAAATGGGCTTATAAATAGTCAGTGAACCCCAGTGCCAATAGTCCACTCAACCAACTAAAATAATGTTTTCAAGGATATGGCAAACGCATATACTTAGGAAATGTATGGAGATATACTTGAAAAAGATGAACTCAAAAGTGATTAACCTGTAAAACGAATGAGATTTGTTGGGCTGATCCAGAAATCGCTTGCAAAAGGCAAGCAAGCATCAAGAAACACTGAGAAGTGTTTTGTCCAATCAACGTTCACTTGGAGTCTTGGCCAGAAATATCAAGGTAGCGAAACGTCACATGCGGAAGCTCTGATTGGCTGGCTACTACAGTGCTACTATGTTTAGTAGCATTCCAGAATATTCCAGCGACCCAAGGACGCTTAGATATATTATAAAAACCCTATATTTTCTGTAATATAATAAACCTTGGAGTAAAGTATTTTCCCCTCATACTTGCGACTTCTCTCTGGTGTTCAAGTCGCTGTGTAGTTCTAGCTTGCGGGTTACCAGAATAGCTAGGAGAACTAATATAGCGCTCAATCGATAAGACTTATCAGATTGTACTTTAATGTCGCCAATCCCTTTTAGATAACTATAAATAAAAATGTGTTATCATCATTTGGGAATGAGATTTTCTAGGTTTAAATAAATCTCGATTTTATGACGTGGAATACGACACAAGGGAGGGCTGGCGCTCACTGATGATAACTTTCTGATTTTGTAAAGAAAATTCCTTGACCATCACAACCTGGTTAAAGCACCGGACATTCCCTTATTGTCTTCTTAATTTCGTAAACAACACCCCCGTCACGAGAAAGTAGTGAGTAAGACTTCCCTGGCAATGGCTGTACACGCGTAGCCATGTGGGAATATTTTGTGAGGGAGAGCGGACTCTCCTCACCCTTGGCGGTACCTGGGCATCTGGGAGCCTCTAATCAGTATCCTAACACTCTAAAAGGAAACCAGTGACAGATTGGTGAGAAAGAATCCTTAAATTTAAAATATTTAACACATTTACACCGTGCCAACTTTCGCAATTTAGTTATGAATTCGTATGTACGGACAACTTTTAGTCCTAAGACATGAAGAAGAATAAAATTTAGTCTTTATTTCAGGAGAGCATTTGTAAATACAATGACATAAACTAGTTTCTTTTCCGACGTCCTTTTTTGCGTCTTAAACGCTTCAGTTGTTTCTTCTTTTTCTAAATTTCAATCATTAATTATAACAACAAACCTCACCTTTGTTGGGGGCGGTTTATATTCCAATTCTTCATCCGACTACGTTTTTAAAAAAATGTGTATACAAGATTAGCAGAAATATATTTATTGATTTATTACAAGTTAACAATGTCTAAATACATCACCTGAATGTTAGTTATCACAAAGGGAAGAGGACTACTAATAATATGCGACTGTGATACTAGTTGTCAAAAATATAAATGACGCTTTAACTGGACACTGATATCAAAGTAGCAGCCGACAAGTAAACCAAATGGTAAATTATTTAGGGAATAAGGCTGAAAAATAGCCTACACGGGTCGTTTTTGATTGCTGATCATTAGTCATATATTTAAACACAAGTACTGATACAAATGGGCACCAAAAACATTATAGACCACGCAATAGAGTAAATGAAACTTTGAAGAGGCAGACGACTTACGCCTGTTAACCATCTTAGAGGAGCATAGGTCTCTCACCAGCAACCTCCAACGAACTCTGTCCTGGGCAATTCTTCCCAGTTGCTATTCGTCCTTTTCATGCCTGCTTCCGATGCACTGTGTTCTTTGGCCTTCGACTTTTCCGTTTCGCTTCAGGATTCCAAGTAAGTGCTTGCCTAGTGATGCAGTTTGACGATTTCCTCAATGTGTGTTCTATCCACTTCTGACGTCTTTCCCTAATTTCCTCCTCAGCTGGAAGTTACTTTGTTCTCTCCCACAGTAGACTATTGCTGATGGTATCCGGTCATCGGACATTGAGTATCATGTGTAGACAACTGTTCATAAATATTTGTGCCTTGTTGATGATGGTTGTAGTAGTTCTCCACGTTTCAGCTCCGTACAGTAGGACTGTCTTGACGTTCGTATTGAAGATTCTGACTTTGATAGTGGTTGACAGTTGTTTTGAGTCCCATATGTTCTTCAAATGTAGAAATACTGTCTTTGCTTTGCCAATCCTCGTCTTTACATCTGCTTCCGATTCTCTTTGTTCATCGATGAAGCTACCCAGGTACGTGAAAGATTCCACATCTTCTCCATCAAGTGTGATTGGGTTGGTATTCCTAATGTTGTATTTGAGGATCTTGTTTATGTTGAGACCTGCTGATGTAGAGGAAGCTGCTACACTGTTGATCTCGACCTGCATTTGCTGGTATGCACGGGATAGAAGAGTTAGGTTGTCTATGAAGTTCAAATCCTCTAGTTGCATCCAAGATGTCCATTGTATTCCGTGCATCCCCTCTACTGTGATGGCCTTCATAATCCAGTCAACCATTAGAAGAGAAAGGGGGAGAGTAGGCAGCCTTGTCTGACTCCGGTCCTCACTTGGAATGCATCTGTCAGCTGTCTTCCGCGCACGACTTCGCAATGCATTTCATTGTATGGATTCCGGATGTTGTTGATTTTCTTACGTACTCCATAGTGTTGAAGGAGTTTCCACAATATTCTCCTATCCACTGTCAAATACTTTCTCACAGCCAATGAAGTTGATACGTAATGACGTGTTCTACTTAATCGATTGTTTGACGATGGCCCGTAGTGTCACGATCTGGTCTATGCACGACCGATCCTTACGGAATCCAGCCTGTTGATCTCGAAGTTGGGTGTCTAGCGAGTCTTTCATTTAGTTCAGCAACACTGTGTCCAAAACCTTTCATGGTATTGACAGTAGTGTGATGCCTCTGTAGTTTTAACATTCGCTCAGATCTCCATTATTTGGTATCTTGATGAATTATCCTTCTTTCCAGTCCCCCAAAATCTTCCTAAATAGAACGTGAAGAATGTTTGCAATTACTTCTATGTCTGATTCCAGAGTTGCGGCTAATATATTATCAGGTCCTGCTGCTTTCACACTTTTGATTTGTTTCATGGCCATCCTGCTTTCATCGATCGTTGGTGGAGTGACATCTGTAGGTGCTGCTTCGATTTTCGGTAAATTGGATGAAGCTGTTCTATTCAAGAGTTCCTCGAAGTGTTCCACCCATCTGTTCCTCTATCCTTTCAGTGATTGTCTTACCTTCTTTGTCCTTGGCAGTTCTCTCTGGTTTACCATATTTCCCTGCCAGTTTCTTCGTCGTGTCATGTAGTTGTTTCATATTTCCTTCTCTTGCAGCTTTTTCCGCTGTCATCGCCAGCTCCTCCATGTATTTCTGCTTGTCGGCTCTAATGCTCTTATTCATTCGCTTGTTTGCTTGTGTATTCAGTTTGTGCCTTGATTTTCTGTTCTCGTTAGGCTTTTGTGAGTTGCTGCCTTCTTGTTCTTGCTCTCTTGAATCTTATTCAGGGTTGTGGTGGAGATCTACTCCTCATGATGATGCTTGTTGTGGCCCAGAACCTCCTGACACGTTGAAGTTAGTGCTTCTTTGATCCCTTTCCAGTTGTCCTTCATAATAGTTTCTTCTTTCAGTAGATCCTGTAAGGCTTGGAACCTGTTGCTGAGAGCTATCTTGCGTTTGCCAGTATCTGGACAGAAGGTTGTATTGAACCTTTGCAATACTGTTTCTCCAGTTGTCCATTGCTTAGTTAGCTTCAGTTTCATCTTGGTAACCACTAGGTGGTGATTTGAATCTATGTTAGCTCCTCTCCTGGTTTTCACGCCTCCCACTGATCTGAATTTTTACTGATGCAAATATGATCTATCTGGTTCGCCGTGATGTGGTCCAATGAGACCAAAGTAGCTTTATGTATGAGTTTGTGTGGAAATATTGTGCCGCCTATAACCAATTTGTTGAATGCACATACAATTGCAAATCTTTTGCCATTCCCGTTCCTTTCTCCTAGTTCATGTCGTCCCATGATATCTTCATAACCATTGTTGTTCATTCCGACTTTGACGTTTAGATCTCCCATCCGGATTGTTAGGTCTTTTCCTAAGTACTTCGCTGTGATCAACTGCAGCTTCTCATACAGTTGATCTTTATTGTCGTCATTTCTATCATTGGTGGGTGCATCACATTCATTGTAATCCCCTTCTTATTTGTTTTGAAGGATGCTTTGATGATCCTGGATCTATGAGATTCCCATCCTATAAGTGCTTTTCGTGCTTCTTTGGACAGTATTAGAGGAACTTCCTGTGTGCAGAGCATTTTCTTCGTGATCAGAGTAAAGCAACATCTCTCCCGAATCTATCCTTTTCTATCCAGCTTGGGTTCAATGGGCTTCACCTATTCCAAGAACCGCCAATTTGTATTTCCTCATTCCCATTGCTATTTGACTGGACTTCTCGGTCTCCCACATTATCCGGACCTTCCGTGTACCTATAAAAATTGTTGCTCTGGTTGTTAGAAGGGACATTGCTCTTATGACTTCCGAAGAATCTCGGTTTTCATCTTGAGGCGTCATAATTCTTCCTTCAACTCCCACGGCAAATTTTGAATGGTTCAAATTGTTTATTCTGGTTAGCGATTTTCTAGCAAGGTTGTTTTCTACGGGGTGAGGTTACCAACCACATGCCTGACCCTCCTCAATTACCTGGGGCTTGAGACCAGCAGGAGCGCTGGAAGAGCTACAGGCGGAGTTAACAGGTAAGGGAAAGTGAGTATACTTACTCTATAGTGAATAACATTTTTAAAAAATCCAGAATTTATCTTGCTGCTTGCGAACTTGCTGCTGACCACTACAGTTTCATGTAATTAAATACAGCCTAATTACATGCATTCGAATGTATATAAACCATATAGATCCACACTTTATCATCTTCCTTACCTCGTATGGTACATTGACCAACAACTAATCAAGTACTGAACATTTTGATGGCAAATGTTTAGGAGCGAACAACAGAGCGAACGGTAAAATACCTAAAAATAAATAACTGTATCGCCGTACACATTTCTAGTTTCTTTCAGCCTCAGTAAAACTAGAGAAGGTTAGATGAACAAATTTAATAAATTTGGAGATTTTGTAAATAAAGTCAGAACTTTCCAAAGCTCATTTATCAAGCGAAGGTACCATGAAATCAACAATAATCAGAAGCTCTAAGAAACTCCTGTCTTTAATTTAAAATTTAAATCATGGTCTTATTTGTTTAGATAATGCTAGTGTAGTTGTTCATGATTAGTTTGGAGTGCTATATTGTAAGAGAAGAAATCAGAAAAAGTTACCATCAAGTCAAGATATTTGATGTCTTTTCTGTGAATTAAAGGTTAAATAAGCACTTTATTCAAGGGAAATTCTACCACCTATTGTGATTTTTAAACATAAAATTTATATGTTATACGCATGACTTACACTTTGTAAAAGTATTTGCATTTGTTTCAGTCTTGAGGAAGTATCGGATAAACCACTTGGGAGTAAAGAGCGTTCAATTCGCTTTTCTTGTTTTGTTATTTTCAAACGAGTGAAGTTTTCTTCCTCATAACTAAGAGATAGTCAGTAGTCAGTAACACAGTACTTCTGTTTTTCTTTCATTTTTCTTCGTGCAAAACTTTCTTCGGAACCACATCCAAACTGAATAGGTAAAAATAGCTTATTAAATTAACATACATAAACTTCTTTAGGCAAATCTTCTGATTCATTTAAATCAGTGTCTTCTAAAATAAACCGAGCTGCTCTCAACTTGGCTCGTTCTATTGACGGTTTTTTCTTGCTTTCCTCTAATGGAATAAAAACAGAAACGATCAAAGCACCTACCGAAAAAGACTGGGGTCAAGTGTGGTGGTTGATAAACACCATTGGGTTTTAAATCCTCAACCGTTACGGATTCACATACTGGTCTATTGATTATGTCCTTATTTAACAATACAGAAGGCAACTGAAAAAACGTACCACAAATCTACCAAGGTTGGGCCGTAACTCTGTTTCATCCATAATTAAAAATAACCGTTGTGATTGTTACTACAGAAGTGCTTCTTGTTCAGTGGTGACCACACATTACGACAAAAACTGAAAAACAGAAAAATCTAAAAGTAAACTACAGTCACGAATTAGGAATAATCATTTCAAAACTCCAACTGGCGCTGCCGTAATCACGGATTTTAATAATCTTGGAAAGCTGACTATCAACGCGTTACTGCGGGAAGACTCGATGTCTGTCACAAAATGTCGAAAGTAAAATCTCCGCTAATTCCATAACTCTCATGGGTAGATAAGCCTACAAATTCGGTAAAGAATCTTGTACATCCTGGAAAAAAACTCTACCTTCATTTGGGTAACTAAAAATTATTAGCGGATCATTCTTATATAAAATCATTCGGAAGACATGGAAGAGCACAGTTTGGTTATGCTATTAGCGCTACAAGTCAGACAAAAATATACTTCAGTCTACAGTCCAAGACTTAAGGTTTTGTATGGAATTTCGAGGAAAACAAATCAACATCCAACTTTTCAGCAGCCCGATTGGTGCTATAAATGATTCTGTCAAATGGTAACGATTTCTGCTTTACGTATGGAGATATTAATGATGGTCCTATAAATGCGATCACAAGGCATGACGTCCTATTGTCGAACGTAAATAAACCTGGTACACCACGATCATATTCATTTAAAAATTCTTTCACTATACAAACTATTCGTCAACTTCTGCATCTTCCGTATATATTATATACCCTTATTTTATGGTTAGTAAACATGCATATATACTATCGTATGCATACCCAATATATTTACGACCAGCTAACGTAAAGCAATTAATTTCTTTGAGCTCATTTCTTGATGTTAAGATACGGCCCCAGTTATTTGGTACCATCTAATGAAAGTAGTCTAGCTACTTGTCTATAGTGATCCCAGTGGATTTTCAAGTCAACATGTCCTGTGGACACCTGAATATATCTGTTACAGGCCAGTCGGTTAGTCATAACCTGAAACTATCATATTACAGAGCAGTTAATTGGTTGACCGTAATATGGAAAATTTTAAAATCAAAATAGAAAGGAAGATCAAGATAAGTAAATGGACCTGTTGAGGAACCAACCAATGTAAATAAGCAAACAAAGAGAAAATGGCGAATAATGAGATACGACGGCAAGGTAGTTACTAATGAACGTAATCAGTAGTGACGGATAAATCGCAAGATATGGTGAAACCACACGAGTGTATAGCGTCTTTCCCCCGTGAGTGCGTAGTCGAAAGCTATTCCAGGGAAAAGACGGTAAACTATGGGTACTTATATGGCTAAGTTTCCTTTTAACACTTCCCAGTGGTTAGACTGTAGTTACATCTGCTAGGAGGATGTTCCAGGTAAAGCCAACTCGTAATGAGGTGTGACCTTAAATGTGTTCTCTCTTTGATAAGCTGCTTATCGAAGGTTGATTCGGCAAGCCAGAATGATGAGGTCTAGATGGGACGATTTTATTGGGGTAGCCTGGAGCACTTGATACTGTGTATACTATTATTAGGATCGTCTTATTCTCACGTAACTTAACGAGTACAATCCCGTAGTGAAGTCGGTCTTCGTGGGCTTTTTCTACCAACCTTATGACACACATTGCTACACACCCTATTACTTGCCACAAGAGATCGATATCAGTTTTATGAAAGAGCATAACAATGTCGTAGGTTCCAAGAAGTGGGTGAATGTAAGCTCTAGATAGTGTCGAAAAGAGCTCGAATCAGAACTGTCATTCGGATGGTTGGAATGATTATAGGCGCAATGGAAGCTCTTGCTCTACGGGCTTCTGTAACTAGTAGCAGTGAACCACTAACGCCTTCAAGTAGGAATCAAGTTATATTTAACGAGCAAGAAAGAAATGCTAGTAAACTACAACGAAACATCGTCTTCCTTATAAAAAGTTCAAGTTTTCACCTGAAGGACTCCAGTGAAGTCACTTGAACAAACTCAACCGATAACAGATTTCAGGAGTTGACTACTCATAAGAGTAAGCTTGATATATATAACTTATTGATAAGACAGATACGGCGGGTTTATGAACCATTACGTGCTGTGGTACACCGATTCTGAACATTATTCGGATGATTTATATCATTACAATTAAAAAATAAAAGACTAAAGTATTTATTAAGTAAATGAGTTTATCTAACAGTGGTTAGGGTTATTTAGGGTAAAAAAATGATTATTCGTGGTTGTTACAAGCTAAATGTGTTATTGACTAAATCTCTGTGTAATTAAGAGATATATGGATCGAAATGAACATAACCGAGCAAAGTACCATATCGTCACTTCAGGAGGAACGACCTAGCAGAAACGAACTTCCCTCATTTTTTTCACCACTTGACTAAACCCTTGTAAATTGATCTTTCTTAAAACCTCAATTTCTCATTTCTTTTCTTTGTTGTATGATGCTGATTCATTAACAACAACGTTTTATTTGGCTAAACTCTGAACTATCGATTGAAGCGATTGATCGTTGTTGCTCTTGGACTGATCTTGGGATAGTTCGGCATTCTGTCAGATCATTTCAGAGAGAGATTCGATCTCCTTTAATTGGAAATATTCTTCCCGATTTTCAGACAGTCATTTTGTTTATGATGGTGGTTAAACGGTAGTTTTGGCGTTGAAGTCGTAAATAAATCCACAAAATAAATAATTCTGTAAGCCTTAGATATTTTACTAGCATGGTACCACTACAGTGTACGCCATGTAGCCAATAACACCGTCTGAAGGTAAAGCACTCATACTCATGATCGAAATCCTCCATTTAACACACAGTCATCTGGACTTGAGAGCTCTTCGTTTCAGAATCCTGTACTATAACAAAACATCTCTTCAGTGCCTCAAAGTTTTTGGTGGTCGTCTTTGATGGGTACGTGATTTCAACAAAATCTAGAACTCTACATAATCTCATTCTGAATATATATCTATTGTTTCATCTGACGAGGTACTATTGGAAGTACTGCACATCATATGGCAAACACCCAGGTGAGCTTGTACTTTTTCTCGCTGCATGTAGGCCGTATTTGTTATGCATTTTTATATGAAGTGAATATAGTCCTCCCAATAGACAGCCTTTAAGGAAGAGTCAGTAATTATGGACGCGCTAAACGTTTATCGCCATTCACCTGTAGCGAATGGTAATTACACACAAGGACTCAATAAGACCTTTTTCACTTATTGTAAAGCGATATGCCTATCTGACAATCCATTAGTCTTGATCATTATCATAAATTGCAACAATCAAACTCTAAATGCTCGATCTAAAAACGTAAGAGGACCTAATAAAACAAGATTTATTCAACTACTACAAAATACCTGCTACTGTGAAGCGCACAGAGTTTCTTGGAGTCACTCGTATTTAATAATTATATCAAAACATATTTTGTTCACAATTTACATGGTTGGAAACGCAAACCAAACTGTTTCGGAAATATAGACAATCTGAATTTCCATACAACTGTTCTATTGATGGTTCAATTAGAGGATCAGGATTCACTATGAATCTTCGGCAATAACTTACTAGTTCATTGAATGTTCACAGTCGCTTGGGTGTTATAGATTCTTAGTAATCCATAGGCGAATACACTGAGTTTTAATTTTATGCTCCCAGCCAGCGGGATTCGGTGATACGGTGCAGGACGAAGTCACCTGTTCCATACCTGCATTCGGTGGCATATCTCAAAGGGGCTGAAAAAGAGTACAAGAAAAAGAAAGGGCGAGAAGCAGAGCAGGCAATGTTCGTGAAGGAATAGTTAGGGTATGACTACTCAGTTTAATTCTTTTTTATTGGGGTATTTATTAGGCAAAAGCATTAAAGAAAATATGTGTAAACAAGTTATGAGTAAATAAACAACTAACACATGAAGGTGGTTCAGAAAAAAACTGAGAATATGGGGTTATGTGTAGTTATAATATATAGTACTGAAAGCAATAGTCTGATACACAAATGACTGTCTCCCATTTTCTGTCGAAGCCATTTGAGCCCTTTTTTAGATTTTATAGGGTATCAAGTATGCTTCCTCTTTAATCGAACTGTCTTGTTTACTTGTAATAGGATTACTCGGTAGGAAGTGAAACCAAATCAACGTTCTAAACACGATTTAAAGAAGTTGTGGTGTTTGAAAGAACTAACGATTCTTTCACACTTGTTGAATTTTTCGATTTCGAATTTTAAATACAATACATTCGTTCGTGCTTGTATAGTACTTATTGATTCAATTGCGTTATTTCTGGAACTCTTAGTTTGTACTGTAATTCAAATAATTCGAGACATTATATCGGCATCGCGATGGAGCTTGCGATGGAAAAGTTAGATATTCATTCAACATTTGAAGCTTTTGAAGATGATTTGTAAAGGTTTTTAAATCTGGAGCGTGACTAAGAAAGATGTTAAAGGTGGTAAAATTGTGTCGCATTTCTTGACATTCACTGGGAGAGAAGCGTGCAGCTTATTAAAAACTTTGGCATATCCAGAAAAACCTATCCCATTTCTTTATGCAACTCCCAAGGAACTATTATTAAATCATGTAAAGTGCACTAGTTTTGAATGCCATGAAAGGGCGAAATTTCATAAGATGACTGGTCAAAATGACCAAAAGGTTATAGAATTCATGCTGACTATTGTGGGCATCGGTTCTTTTTCAAAGTGACCTGAAGTTTTTTCACAACTTCACCATGTTCTGATTTCACAATTCGGGCATTAAGAAAGATGTTTAGTTGAGAAGGGGTTCCTACTGTGTTATGACCGATAATGGCTCTCATTTCGTTTCAGTGACTACTTGGTTGAATGGTATAGGGTGCATACATCTGTTTACTGCTCACAGACATCCTTGTTCTAATAGTCAGGCAGAAAATTTTGTCAGGAAATTAAAGACTGCTATTGATTCTGTTGCCACCTCAACATTTAATGAGCTGGAGAGGGGAGTAAATACCTCTATATTACAATATAGAAATGCCAGAAGTTCAGTGACGAAAGAGACTCAAGCGAAGCTATTGAAAGGAATAATTCTTCGGTAAAATACGAGATGTTTGAAGTCTTCAGACGTTACACACCGTCGAGGAAATGATCTTTGACTATCTACAGGGATTGTTCTGAAGGATATCGGGAAATCGATGGTGCGAATTCTAGACATCGATGACTTAAGTACACGCAATCGACATGTTGATCAAATACAGTTTCAGGAACCAGGTGAGTCAGTTCCAATTCTGGTTGTTATTTCTAATGCTAATCAGTACATCCTATATAATACAGAGTCCTTAGCCAATACACTATCCGACAGACACAAGATGAACTTGAGAAGAAGATGTACAATTGATTACAAACACCCAGACTCCAATTTAAGCTGTAACGGGTGTGGTGTTTGAAAGAACTAATGATTCTTTTGTACTTGTTGAATGCTCGATTTCGAATTCTAAATACAACACATTCGTTCGTGCTTGTTTAGCAATTCTTGACCCAATTGCGTTATCTCTGGGACTCTTAGTTCGTAACGTAATTCAAATAATCCGAAACATTATAGAAGTATAATAATAATAAGTCACCATCAATACCATTAGTTCGTGACATTTCACTAGGTCGTAAGAAGCCGTAATTAAACAAAATGTTCTGCCCTACAGACATAGGTGGATTGACGTTACCTCTTCACCATCATTTTTTATGGTCAGTAGCGCCACGCTCCCTCTTTATACTGGAAGCTAGTAGGTGTGCTCACAAGAGAGAAGGTTGCCCTGTAATCATGATGTGGTGCAACATTGCTGGTTACATGCTGAAGTTTCAGCCATGATCGAGGCAGTTTGTAATACTTACCGAGTATTGGCCGAAATACGGATCACTTATGAGCTAAAATGTGGTTTGTTATAATCTACAATCAGAAAATGTAGCTTGAGAGGCAGATAATTTTGTACTTCCGTATATAAGAATACTTTTTCTTAAATTAACGAATTGATTATAATGTAGGTCTAACTGTGTGAGACATCATAATAAAGTGAGCGTCCTTATCTTGTATGGTAATAATGATTATAATTTACTCTCAAATTATGTGTTTCATGAGATACGCAGATTTACATGCGAAATTATACAAATGATATGGGATATACTGCAGTATGTCAGTCAGTTAAGTTTATATGTAACAAGACACTGGTTACAGAAACAGGAAGATAAATTTGCGTACAAAAGAATGTGAATAATATTGATGAGAATCGAATGTTTGATGTCAACGTTTTCGCGGTTTTTGGAGTTTGGTGGTCGAAAATTAATGCGAAGGAAGTCCAGAGCTCTTCGCAACTAGAATAATTGTGATGAATACATGATCAGTTAGTTAAAAACGTCAGCCTAAACTTACTACTCTGTATTTCTTGATAGTATTCTCATAGTAACAGATTTGACAGGCTTCTTGTAAGCACAGCTACAAATCTTTCTGAACTATGGGAGATATTAATGAAAACCAAATGTTCTAAACGTGTATTTTCAGTGGTTTGTTATCCTTGTTACATAGAATACACATTCATGAGCCTGAGAATCCTCAATTAGGACAAAACTTTATCATATACCAATACCCTTTTTATCCAACACGTTACTAAAAATAAATATGGTACCATTCCGTCGTTACATTCGATTCCATAACCTTTTTTATGTAATAGTCGTCTTTGTATTTGACTTCAGTTCTATCAAGTGTTTACGAAAACACTATTACTTTACGGGTGACTAGAATAATCTAGATGCCTCATTTGATAAGAACAATAAATATTTTCTGCTTAGACATAACGCGTTGTGTCACTCTAAAGATCGACCTGTGTAGCTAAAAATAGTCATTAACAGTGTGTAGTAGCATCGGATCATAACCACACAATCCTCAAAGCTGAACACGAGACAACTCGGAAAATAGATATTCAATATTTAACGCGGAGAAATACCTAGTGATGGAGAAAGCGGGAAGAAGGTATTGAATGAATTGGAGTTGATCGAATGGCATGGATCGGCCATGCAGGCGTGGACCCTACTAAATGTTACTTTATATCTTTTATTCATATCAAATATATTGTTCTATCTCTAGCTTAAGTTTGTTCTACATCATGTACTGGTGATTGTTACGATACGATGAGTTGGTGTAGACGATTGTACGACTTATACGTAAGATCTTATAGATTAGGCAGTTATATCATGACAAGTCTACAATTTTAGGATTAGGTCTATTATTAGCGCAGTATTAATATCATAGTAGACCATTATTCTACAAGTGTAGTCTGGGTGAGGTCGTGCAATAACGAAAACTGTTTTGTGAGTTTTCCAGTACATTAAAATTTAGAATTGTCAAAATTTCCGGAGTCATACGTTTGG